TGCAAAATTCCTAAATTTGTTAAGTACATTTATAGTCTTGTGCAACACATTGCGAAAAAACCCAACAAGAACCAATCATTTTTGCAGGTTTTGGTTAAAATGAAACCATTACATTTTACTTTTTGCTCTTTACAAACCAAAGAACATTTCAATGCCCAAATTCTATACATAACCGCCCGATCCCGAGAATCGTCTGCCAGTCTCGCGCGACCGAAATATGAGTAATATTTTTAATCCTGTTTTGTTTTTTCGTTAAAAACTATTGATAATGTTTACAATGTGATGATATACAAGCAAAATAACTGTATTAACATTTCTAAACATTGCTCTTTTTTCATCCCGATCTTGTAAATCGTCGCCCGATGCTGCACGATCCCGTTTACACGAGAGCGATCTCAGACATCACCGTATCATCACAACGAGTTATCTACCCTTAGTTAAACAGGCAACCACAAGGAAATAGCCGACTTCCGCTAGATCTTCCTAAATGTTTATGTTCTCCGACTGAGACGTAAGCCTGTACAAACGAAAAGGTACAATCTTATCAAGTTTCAGGATATGTTGATATAGTACACTTTGTGTAATAATCATGGTAACTTGATCACGTCAAAATGTGGTCGATTTCTCCTGGTTTGGTGTTATACCCATCATCGAACAAATGGCCAGGCGCTGGAGCATTGGTAAACGTGCCTAAGACCATAGACATCTCTGCTAAGACTTTCTGTTTATTTTAAGTGATATATTCTTTATATTTCTATTTTTCGCTGAATTTCCTTGACTTTGTTTAGGGATGGATTTTGACAATATTGTAAATGAATCATTATTTCCCTGGTATGGAAATAACCTAAGTGTACAAAATTCATTAAAATCATTCACGAAAGAAGCCACTGGAAAAGGTTTGAGATACAAAGAATATATAGTAAAATAAACAAATGTGAAAGACTTATGGCATGTCACTGTACATATAGTCAGATTTGACTGTACAGCAAAATCTGCCTGTATGGTGAAATAGGGAGCGGGTTGATGTGGCTTGCATATAGTGTTATATAAAGTCTCTGTCATTCAGCTGACAGAGCATGCATCTTTGGCTCAGTTGGTAGAGCCGATTTATTATCATGCCAGAGACCCAGATTCGATTCCTGGTTGGGGCACTCCAGTACCTGATGGCATCCCTAACAACTATGATCTCTGCTTATGTGCTAGGTACAAGAATGTAGTTATTTTATGCGAAAACAGACAAAAAATAGCTCAGTAGAGCTATTTCTGTGACAAACAGATATAATGATGTGCAAAACTTTAAAACATATGAAGCATAGCATGTCATTAACATATATCATACGGACAAATCCTTCAACCTAGTAGAAGTATCGGTTTGGAGTCAAGGAATGTATAGAACTCTGTCCCTTTAAAAAGTGATTGAAATCAGTGACCTGTTCATGGATTGGCATGCACATATAATTTTTTCATTTTCACATGCATCGCACATGGATTGAGAGGTCTGTTCTTCTTCATTTGTCAGTATTATCAAACAGGACATGGCTAATGATACCACTTCACCCACTAAACATACTTTCCTCTACCTTTCTCTGTTTTAACTTACATTTGTGTAAGTCATTCCTGTAGTCACATGCCTACAGTCTTGCCACTTTTTGCATATGCACAAACCTTAGAAAACAATAATGTAAACTGGGATATTCTGCTGTAACCTCTTAAAGTATCCACTTCACTTAATTCTGTGTCATTTGTTGAAAGAATGGAGCCATGTATCATGATTATGACTAAAATCATTCATTTAAGATTATAAAACTTGACATATTACAAAGAACATTCATTTTCGCAAGTGGTATTAAGCAGAGTTTGTGTGTATATTTTTTCTGGGTTATTTTTGTAACAGTATGTCAAAATGAAAAAGTGTATTTTTTTTATCGATGACAATGTTGACAATGGATCTTTTATATCTGGGTACTGAAGAAGCATATGCTTTTTTGAACTTATCATACTCAAGATATAGAAATCAGGCTAAATGGAAGATAAAAAAAGCAAGGGATTTGAAAAAGATATAGCAAACAACATGAAGTACTAGCCAAAATGTTTTTTGAAAATTACAAAATGAAATCAGAAATTGTGGGCTGAAAGGACTGGACAGCAGTCCAGTGAGTTTAGCTACAAGTGATACAGAAAAATCAAATAAAAAAACTTCTTATGAACTTAGATTGAAGCAAATCATGCTGACCAGATGCTTCCATCCAAAACTTTAAAAAGATGCAGATGTCTAAAGAATGAATGAAACTTTGATTATTTTACGATGAGTGAGTCTCACAAGGGTCATTTGTAAATTTATGGAAACACTCATTCATGATCATGTAGTAAAACAGATACATGATTTATTTAGTACTAAGCACTTAGGCTTCCACACCGAAAATCTACAACACTTCAGATGTTAATAGTTTTGGATGAATGCTGGTCATGGGACAAAGTAGATGTTATTTATATGAACTTATGAAAGTGTTTGGATGAAATACCCCATTGTTGCTTTAATCACAAAATGAATAATCATGGATTCAGAAAGAATACAATACTGTAATGGTTGAAACTTTCGTCGAGGGTTATGGGTAAACTTTGTATGTGGAGGTTATTTTCATGATCGTATGACATTTGGATAATTGGTGATTATTTTTTTTTTAAATCAGTAAGAGTTATCACACCTGATCCTATGCTTGACAGTGATCTCATTGTCTGCCTGCAGGCACTTATAATTCTTACCTTTGTACATGTACAGTGTATGTATTAAACAATAAAGTGTGAATACATATCATGGACCTTTGTCCAAGTGGATGATACCTGGTATGTAGCTCAGGTGTTATAAGAAATACAGTTCAGATCCACACACAACCTTAACACAGCTTTACATCACAGTATATGTCACAATGTCTAACTCAGAAATGAACTTAAAATACAACTTCAGTCATGGTATTGAGAGCAAATTGCTGTAAAAAAGAAACAAACATGATGTAAATAAGAGGGGAGATAACAACAATATCTGAAAACATCCATACTGAAACCTTTGTATGCAAAATGGGCCATTTTTTCATATGAAAAGATGTCAGAAGGTAAGTCTTTCATTATAAACTCATTCTCCCCAATTGGTATTAGTCCGTTAGGGGCACCTGGTAATTTATACCATTCGATGCAGTCTTGTGTATATATTCTGTTGTTAAACAATATTCTTTGACTTAAGCAAAACTTTGTTACTGATTGTTTATTTGTTTTTGCTGTAATATATTGTATTGAAGTGTTTGAGTAATAAAAAAATAAAACATTTTTGCTGTAATATAATATATAGTAATGTAATATAAGTGTTTGAGTAATAAAAAAATAAAACTTTTTTGCTGTAATATATTGTATTGAAGTGTTTGAGTAATAAAAAAATAAAACATTTTTGCTGTAATATATTGTAATGAAATGTTTGAGTAATAAAAAAATAAAACATTTTTACTGTAATATATTGTAATGAAGTGTTTGAGTAATAAAAAAGATAAAACATTTTTGCTGTAATATATAGTAATGAAGTGTTTGAGTAATAAAAAAATAGAACAAGATGTAACTAGCCAATTTTCATTTTATTTCGTCTGCAAAATTTCAGCAAATTTTTGTGATTTAACAACATTTTTGTAATTAGTTTAAATTTCCTCCTTGCATAAATATCCATGTTTACAGTAGTCTGGATAGAAAATTTCCTTAACAACAGGCACCAAAGAATATTGATCAATGAGTCATCATCCAAATCATATGACGTCACCATGTTCCTTCTTTGCAGATGACTTAAAACTTTATTGAAATATTATAAATTAAGATGAAGATGTTCTACAATCAGATTTAGATAAGCTCCAAAAGTTCAATGTTCACTGAACATCAGCCATCTACATGATCAATGTAGCAAAGTGATGCCTTAAAAATACTGAAATTGAAAAAGACTTAGGTGTTTTATTGGATGAAAAAATGGGATTTTGTTTCCACATCCAAAACTCTATTCTTGGTATAATCAGAAGATCTTTTAAAACATAGACAAATCAACAACTCTCCAATCCAAATTTTTGTGATTTTTATACTTAGGCCTCGAAAAAATATTCTGTAAATCCTGAACAGGAAAAAACATGTTGACATATGTACTAAATTGTTTTCCCAGGATTGAATATAATTGTCATTTATTTTCTGTACATACATCAAATTATATTTATATTGGGAGTGGGTGGGGTTACAGTGGTGATAGCCCATAGGAGTGTGTGGGGTTACAGTGGTGATAGCCCATAGGAGTGGGTGGGGTTACAGTGGTGATAGTCCATAGGAGTGGGTGGGGTTACAGTGGTGATAGCCCATAGGAGTGGGTGGGGTTACAGTGATGATAGCCCATAGGAGTGGGTGGGGTAACAGTGGTGATAGTCCATAGGAGTGGGTGGGGTTACAGTGGTGATAGCCCATAGGAGTGGGTGGGGTTACAGTGGTGATAGCCCATAGGAGTGGGTGGGGTTACAGTGGTGATAGCCCATAGGAGTGGGTTGGGTAACACAGGTGATAGCCCATTTGGTTTGAATGTTGACCTACATAACCTTAGGTGAATATCCTAGATGCATGATTTGGCACTCCTTACCCCAAGCTTTGTAGTTCTCAAGAGACTACTAAATGGACTGGTCAGTGGAGACATATCCTTGGGCATGACATTTCACCCTATTTGCACTCTGGATGTCGGTTAACTACATATCATATGTATTTAAGCCTATATAAATACATGTGTACTTAGATGCACACACAGAACAATCCTTGTTTAATTTGTATGTGGAACATGTACAGTGTTACAATTATTTGAAATGTATGATAAGAAGTTCATTGTGTTACAAAATAAATAAAAATTTGGTTCTGGTTGTACGGTTTACAATCTGTCTAGTACCATATCGAGTGTTTCAAACGCTTTTTCTTTCTCATTTTAATTTACAGCCATCATGACGTGAACAAATATTTGCTTTGAACCGTTCATCTGAGGTGGACGTGGATTTCGCCACTGCAAAGATGGAGAATATTGAAGAAAAAAGTTTGTTTCTAACTTATTTTAGTTAATTTTGTAATGGGTTTAGATTAAGCCATAATAGTATACATATAGTAAGCATTTAATAGGAATGTTGTTGATAGGTTCAAATTTTTTGTCAAGTATAACAGAATTGATAAATACACTAATTTGAAGGAACTTTAATAAAAAAACCATTTTATTTAAGTTAAAATCTTTCCATAAGTTAATAGACCTTCAATTAAGATGTTGTTGCCTTTGAGGAAACAGTTTTTAAGGACTATTCCAAATAAGTATAGAGAGATTAACATATCTGCTGTGAGGGAGGATAAATATAAATGATATGTAATATCTGACTGAATCAAGAAAAACTTGTAGACATATTCTTATGGAAAAGTTGCTTCACTTAATATAATTCATGTGTTTGAAATTATGTAGGATCATGTTTGGTTGTTACAAAAACAGGTGCACAGGAAAGTAAGGAGATGAAAGATGGACAGGATGGTAGAGAAGTGGCAATAATACGCTTCCCATGGCGTAGGAATAACAGTTGTCCGGGCGGCCGCCCTGGGGACGATGGCACTAAACCTGGAGAGTACATTCTACAGACTCTTTTTCTTGAGTTCTGTAATATGGCAGAAAAGAAAGTAGAACAAGTGCTTGCTGAACCTCTGGTATATATATATAATACATATATGTTTTAGTAGATGTATGTCTAGAGCTGAACCTCTGGTATATATATAATACATATATGTTTTAGTAGATGTATGTCTAGAGCTGGACCTCTGGTATATATATAATACATATATGTTTTAGTGGATGTATGTCTAGAGCTGAACCTCTGGTATATATATAATACATATATGTTTTAGTAGATGTATGTCTAGAGCTGAACCTCTGGTATATATATAATACATATATGTTTTAGTAGATGTATGTCTAGAGCTGAACCTCTGGTATATATATAATACATATATGTTTTAGTAGATGTATGTCTAGAGCTGAACCTCTGGTATATATATAATACATATATGTTTTAGTGGATGTATGTCTAGAGCTGAACCTCTGGTATATATATAATACATATATGTTTTAGTAGATGTATGTCTAGAGCTGAACCTCTGGTATATATATAATACATATATGTTTTAGTAGATGTATGTCTAGAGCTGAACCTCTGGTATATATATAATACATATATGTTTTAGTAGATGTATGTCTAGAGCTGAACCTCTGGTATATATATAATGCATATATGTTTTAGTAGATGTATGTCTAGAGCTGAACCTCTGGTATATATATAATGCATATATGTTTTAGTAGATGTATGTCTAGAGCTGAACCTCTGGTATATATATAATACATATATGTTTTAGTAGATGTATGTCTAGAGCTGAACCTCTGGTATATATATAATACATATATGTTTTAGTGGATGTATGTTTAGAGCTGAAACACTGCTATATATATAATACATATATGTTTTAGTAGATGTATGTCTAGAGCTGAATTACTGGTATTTATATAATCAACTTGCCAAATAGTTACTGATTGCCAAACTATCACACCACCATGACATCCTCAAAAAAGGATATATGGAAGTTGTACTGATAGACAGCTGAAATTAACATATATCTTTTAGTAGGACCTATGTACGGGATGTGCCCTACCTATATAAATTTTTAATGTTGAGATTATAATGTACTTTTCTTATTTTTGATAAGAATCTTGATGTTGAAAACCAGAATTAATTCTAAGTTACTTTTAAATAGAACCGTCAAGGATTTCAACACTTTGGTTTAAACAATATTTTTTTTATAAGACTGACAATTAGTGTTTTGCATTTTTTTCAGGAAAAGCTTCTATCAAAGTCTTTACAGAGAGGAGAAGATGCACAATTTGATCAAGTAAGCTATTGTTTATTAGAGAAATTCAGCACAATTTTCTGTATACAGTCAAACTTCTATGAATCAAAGTTTGATTATTCAAATTTCTCAGTGTATCAAGGTTTTTGCCCGGTCCCAAATTTTCTTTCCTATACATTACTACTAACTAACCCCCCTTATGAATTGTAGTTTTATAAATTGAACTTTTTGATGTATTAAAGTTTTTTCATGGACCATAAGCTATGATTACACAGTCATTGACACCTCATGATTCAAACAAAACATTTACCTGCACTGTACAGGTATTTTTGCCCTGCGACAAAATTTCAAACATTTAAACAAAGAGTGCTATCAGACAATGGGATTACGATAGCCTGCTATCACTAGCTCTGTGTTACGGGGTTAATTAATGACTGGACACAGATTTAAATTTGATTAGATAATGGGACATTGTGTGATGTTCACCACCATCGTTGCAATGGCAATTAGAAAGGTCTAATTTACGGAATTATGAAAACAATCAGAGGAAATCCTATCTCTTGTATGATGATTTCGCTCATTCCCAAAGTGTCACATTTTAGTTTTTAGCATAAAAACAAGAGAAACATAGTGATTTATCTGTCAATCATGCATTTTCCGATTGATTCAGACTAGCCATAGTCAGAACTTTAGCAAACACTCTTGTGATTTCTACTGTTGCTTCTGGACATAATACATTATAATTTTGTTACTTTTAAATTCATATGTGCCTATAACATTTATGTATCAGTCCTAAAATAATTACCGTAACATGTGAAGACCACTTTAATGCTGCACGTCGGTTCATTTAAGATCGACCCGTAAAATGCATATACTATGTGACATGAAGGATCAATTTCCCGTTGATTTCTATTTAAAGTTGTTTTTTTTTCATGAAGATAAAAATGCTTCTTTTCATTTAATCTTATGTTTGTTCAGGTGAATTATCGTGTGATTGACTACATATAGCCATGATCATGAAAACGTTTATATAACCCACCAAGCATGATACGAAATCTTGATGTATCAAAGTGTTTTGGTAGTCCCTTGAACTTTGAAACATCTGGCTGTAGTTGTATCAGTAGAAATGTTGCTGTGTATTATCTGTACTGTGAAAAAATCTTAGGATTTCAGTAAAATTCTTTAGAACCCCCAGAGTTGATATACTTAATAAATTTTTAGCTCACCTGGCCTGAATTTGAAGAGAATATTTTCATGTTTTGGACTGTATATCATTGGTCTGATGTGTAAGCTGAACATTCTGTTATCAATTTCTTGGCTCACAGAGGTCAATTTGACTAGATTTCTTTGTGTACACGTTATGCTGGTAGAAGTTTTTTTTACCATTTTCAGCCCCAAAAAAATACCTGCATACATTATGTAGGTGTGCACATTACGCTGGTTTTTAAGGTATACAGTAAATAAAGTAAATGGCATCAAAGATTTTGTACTTTTTATAAGTATAATACATTTAATACATGAAAATTGACAGAGTTATGATAATTTTACTGTAGCAGGAATGACAGCCTGGCACATGTGTGTATATTTATATAAATACCATATGGTAATGGTGATGCACCTTTAATCACTATAACTCAGAGTGCTTGAGAAGATAGCGGCATCAATAGATGATTCGTTAATATGATTATAATACATCTTGTACTGTGTTGCAGAGAGGTAAATTTTCCTCCATCACTGATGGTACGTGTGTGTTAGTATGTGTATCTCACTTGAGAACAGTGTTATCTTATTTTATATTTTTTGTAGTTGTTGAATTCCTTTGGGTGTCTGGCTGAACAGTGTCTACCATCCATTCTACGCAGTCTTTTCCGTTGGTTTGAACGTCAAAATCTGATGGATGAGTGTTCGCAACCTGACACTCGACAACGACACAGAAGCAAAGGGTGTGTTGTATAAAATTGTTAGCTCACAGGGGGTGTCCATCGTCCATCGTCTGATGTCAAATTTTAAATATTTCTTCTCAATAACCAATGGAACAAATGTTTTGAGATTTGGCTGGTATGTTCCCGTGATCAAGCCTGACAATATATGCGAAAAGAAATTACCTTTATCTATGTTCAAGGTCAAAGGGGCCAAATTTGTTAAAAACTTAACACGACTTCTTCTCATGAACTAAAAGTCACTGAGGCATGCAATTTGACTGGTATGTTCCTAGGATGAAACAGGACAGTGTTTGAGAAAAGAAATGACCCTGACTTTTTTATATTCAAAGTCACAGGGGTCAAATTTGTTAAAACATTTTAACAAATTCTTTTTCATGAACGAAAAGGAACCGTGCTAGTATGTTTCTAGGTTGAAGCCTGACAAAGTTTGCAAAAATGAATGACCTTGATAAAATTTAAGGTCACAGAGGTAAGATTTGTTAAGACCTTTAAATGACTTCTTATGAACTGAAAGGCCTGGAGGTAGGTATGATATTTGGCTGGTATGTTCCTAGGTGAAAAAAGATACCTTGATGCATGTTTAAGGTCATAGGGTTCAGATTTGTAAAAAGGTTTGCACAAATTCTTCTGAATTATCAAAAGATGCAGAAGCATGGTGTTTGGTCGATAAGTTTCTAAGATGAAGCCCGACAATATTAGCGAAAAGAAATTACCTTGACCCTCACTGAAGGTCAAAGGGCTAAAATTTGTTAAAAATAGAAAATATGGTTTTTGGGTTATACTTTTCTAGGATTATGCCTGACAAGGTTTCAAAAAGAAGTGACCTTGACCCTTATATAATGTCATAGGGGTCAAATTTGTTAAAACTTTGGAGCAATTTCTTTTACTTTTAACTAATCAAAAGCATTGGAAAAGTGTTTCTAGATCAAAGCCCAACAAATTTCAAGAAAATAAGACCTGACATTTACTTGAAATCCAAGTCATAACTCTCACTGTTTAGAGTTGAGTATTAAAAGCTCTTTGTTGCTGAAATTGGATAAAATCTATTGGATATGCCCAACTTTGAATGCCAGTGGTGTATATGTCAGTATATATAATATGAACAACGATTCTATTTTTGATGAACATTGAATATCAAATGAGTGATGTAGGCTCATTTGGCCTCTTATTTATATAAAACATGTTTGAAAATCAAAAAGCGATAACATGTTGAATGCTGTGGTAAAATTTGGGTTATATGAAAAAATGGCATGACCTGATCAATAATGTATGTCAATGTCTATTGCAGAAGTAAAGATTTTCTCTGTGAACGAAGAGATGTAAGTATATCCTTTGATATGGCTTCATATTCTTTGTTAGTTTTGTGTCTTTGGCTTTACTTTTGACTTTGAATTTGTAAACTGGAAACAGCATAATAATATGTTCCATTTGTCAAGGGAAATTGTGATAATAAGCGTAACGTGACATTAATAGTTGTCTAACCCGGAAGTTAACTTTCTGGGCCAAACTGTTTCTTACAGAAATTGTTTGAAGATGAAAAGTTGTGATATGCTTTGTTTTTCCCAGTGATTTTCCTCAACTTTTGTTTGTTTACTCTTTGAAATATCAAACCTGCTATCATGAATTATCTTGTACAATCATGTCATATTCACAGTTTACACATGGTGGAATTCGTACATGACACAACAGTGTCAACAGCTGATATTTTGTCACCTAATTCATTCTACTCAGTTTTCTCAGATTTAAGATGGCGGACTGGGCTTATTGTAGGACAATGTATTCAGAATTATCAACATTTCTACACAATTGAAAATAGTAGGAATGGGCTGTATGACAATGTATTTAAAATTATCGACATTTCTACACAATTGAAAATAGTAGGAATGGGCTGTAGGACAATGTATTTAAAATTATCGACATTTCTACACAATTGAAAATAGTAGGAATGGGCTGTAGGACAATGTATTTAAAATTATCGACATTTCTACACAATTGAAAATAGTAGGAATGGGCTGTAGGACAATGTATTTAAAATTATCGACATTTCTACACAATTGAAAATAGTAGGAATGGGCTGTAGGACAATGTATTTAAAATTATCGACATTTCTACACAATTGAAAATAGTAGGAATGGGCTGTAGGACAATGTATTTAAAATTATCGACATTTCTACACAATTGAAAATAGTAGGAATGGGCTGTATGACAATGTATTTAAAATTATCGACATTTCTACACAATTGAAAATAGTAGGACTGGGCTGTAGGACAATGTATTTAAAATTATCGACATTTCTACACAATTGAAAATAGTAGGAATGGGCTGTAGGACAATGTATTCAGAATTATCAACATTTCTACACAATTGAAAATAGTAGGAATGGGCTGTAGGACAATGTATTTAAAATTATTGACATTTCTACACAATTGAAAATAGTAGGAATGGGCTGTAGGACAATGTATTTAAAATTATCGACATTTCTACACAATTGAAAATAGTAGGACTTGGCTGTAGGACAATGTATTGAAAATTATCAACATTTCTACACAATTGAAAATAGTAGGAATGGGCTGTAGGACAATGTATTGAAAATTATCAACATTTCTACACAATTGAAAATAGTAGGAATGGGCTGTAGGACAATGTATTTAAAATTATCGACATTTCTACACAATTGAAAATAGTAGGAATGGGCTGTAGGACAATGTATTTAAAATTATCGACATTTCTACACAATTGAAAATAGTAGGAATGGGCTGTAGGACAATGTATTGAAAATTATCGACATTTCTACACAATTGAAAATAGTAGGAATGGGCTGTAGGACAATGTATTGAAAATTATCAACATTTCTACACAATTGAAATTAGTAGGACTGGGCTGTAGGACAATGTATTCAGAATTATCAACATTTCTACACAATTGAAAATAGTAGGACTTGGCTGTAGGACAATGTATTTAAAATTATCGACATTTCTACACAATTGAAAATAGTAGGACTGGGCTGTAGGACAATGTATTTAAAATTATCGACATTTCTACACAATTGAAAATAGTAGGACTGGGCTGTAGGACAATGTATTTAAAATTATCGACATTTCTACACAATTGAAAATAGTAGGACTGGGCTGTAGGACAATGTATTTAAAATTATCGACATTTCTACACAATTGAAAATAGTAGGAATTGGGCTTATTTCTGCTTGAGTTTAAAGTATGAAACAGTGTTATAGATTGCCTCTATTTGTGCTACCTGAGAGGATGGTAGGTTTACAGTGTATTGTCAGTATTGAATACGTAATTATTTTAAAATCTTATTTCTTTGAAATTATGTACTGATAAATATTTTGTTTGTTCTTTACTCTAATGATGTTGAACTCTGTGAATTGTGTTTTTCCAGCTTGCTGTGGAGTTTGTGTACTGTCTGGTACTCATAGAGGTCTTAGCTAAGGTCAGTATGCATAGGGGTCATCATGTTTACACATTACATTTGTGTTATTGTTCAGTATCAATGTAACATTTGTGACATGATATCAATCAAAGATTTTTCTCAAAGGAGTGCATGGAGTATAGCATTATATTGTGCACCTAAACATTGGATAAAACAAATACAATTTCCATAAAAGATTGGTCTAGCCCCTTTTGGCTAGAAGGGGGGGGGCCCAAAAGGGGAAATAGAGATTATTCTCTGAAATCCTTCTCATGTAATGTCCCCACCCTCACCCTTGGGACAGGAGCTGTATGGCCCTGTAGGGGAAATCTGAAGGAATGGCAGGAAACTATCATAATTTGGTCTGAACCATGCTTGAAGGACTTTGATATACCGGTATATGATTTAGGCAGAAGGATGGAGAAGTAGACATTAATCTTTATAGAATTTATTTTAGTTTGGATGACGCCATTTAAGCTACACAAAGTAAATACTGACCTTTAGGCCCCTCATTCTCAGATTTCATACAGTGGTTCTCCTTTGTCCCTAGTTGTGTTCTTCTCCTTTGTCCCTAGTTGTGTTCTTCTCCTTTGTCCCTAGTTGTGTCCTTCTAATTTTCGGACTGATGAAGAGGAAAAATGGCTGACAGATAACCTGTTTGGTTATGCAGTTCAAGATTATTTTTGTTAATTCTTAGAGAAATTTACAAATTTCTTGTGATTAATAGCTCAAACAGAGGAAATAAAATGGGAAAATATTCAATTTTTTAAGAATAAATGAAAATTAAACTGTGGTGGGCTCCCTAATGTTTTAGAACTTTGCTAGAAATCAATTTGTTGTATCTGCACAAACATTTAACTGTAATTATTTTTTGCGTTTCTGCCATATCACAGCTGAGTTTCCATCCTGGACATAATGATCTGGTAACCTACATAATCACCCAGGCTTTTCGACATTTCAAATACAAAGACGGGTGAGTTATATTTTCATTATAAATAAAGTGGTTTATTAGCCCACCATCAGCAGATGGTGGACTATTCAAATTGCTCTACATCTGTAATCCATGATCTGTCTGTAAACAATTTTTGTTATCCCTATTTCTTCACAGATATTGGACGGAGCTTTCTGAAATTTCATATGAAGATTCCGCTTTGCTCCAAAATTGTACTCATTTGGGTTTTTGAATGATCAGGAAAACAAAATGGCTGAAAGGTGGCCATTTCTTGGTCATATTTTTGATACAGCGGCAATACCAACCTGATAACTATGTTAACTGGGCACCAAAAGAGAATGAGTCATGATATAAGAATTTACCCATTGGTCTTGCTCCATCAAAGAGGTTAAGTGACTGAGCTTTAATTTGGATTTTACAAAGATTACCGAATTTATTCAAATGATTGACCTTGTCACTTGGGTAGAATGTGATGAGAATTTGGAATTTCTTCTGTCTACAAGCAATAGGTCATCGGGCACGGTATTTGTGTAGTAGCATGTATGACAAATAGAATTTTCAAATGGGCAGATATTGATTTTTATGAACGGACAAAGTCTTGTTTGTAAGCTGTAGAACAGGTGAGCAATTCAGGCCGATTCAGACTGATTAGAAAAACTAAATATCTGACAGGTGACAATATTTGAATTGGCAGTAAAAGGTTATTACTTTTTTATTGGGAATTTGAAATTTCATATGATTACAAGCAAAAGTGGAGGAAAGAAGAGAAAAGATTAGTAAAGATCCAATAATTGAAGAACAAAGGAAAATTAAATGATTTTTGGTTACAAAATCCCCCTCAGATCTCCTGGTTTACAATCACCATCAGTTTATCAGAGTGATATATGGAATGTATAAATATCTCATAATTAAGATTAACAAATACTTGATCACTTTAAATCTACACAGTCTGTCTTTTACCTGATATTTTGACAGAGCTTTACACTATTTTCAGTTTTGACCCCTTTGCACTACATTGGCCTATATAGGTTCTTACTTATACATGCTGCAGTGGTTGATGCTATAAAATGATATATGTACTGTAAGTCATTTTGGTTCATTTCAGTATACAAACCAATCCCAATTCAGGGAACATCAGCATCCTGACTGACCTGTACTCGGAGGTTATTGGTGTTCTTGTCCAGTCCAGGTAGGTCAGGGGTCATAGGTCATATGTCAGGATCTTGACTTGAATTAATTAACATAATATGGGCTGCTAGACCCTGGATTTTCCATCAGTGTTTTGGCTCATTGTATAAAGAACAATATGGTCAGGATTTGTAACTATGTTAGAGAAATCATTTTTATTGTCATCTTCTTGATAGTTGTGTGTTAATTTGTCCTGCCTTTTTATACCTAACTCATTTCATGAGTCATGTCAAACCTACCCTATCTCCTATCCCAAAGCAATAATCAATTTCATTACAATTACTTTCTCATTTCTGAAGAGATTTCAAAATCTATGCATTGTACCTCCGATGAGATTGTTTCTGCAATGTTAGGGTCAACATTACTGTGGAAAGAAAGTTATCAAGAATTCAATCTTAAAATAATCACTACTACATCTCTTGCTCTAAATGATTTGAAGTTTGAAATAATGCATAAACCAGTGTTTATTTGCATGACTCAGATATATTTTTTTTGTATAGATTCACAGCAGTAAAGAAACATTTTATGTCCGAGTTGAGGGAGCTAAAACTTCGCGACCAGACCCCATATACTGCACAGAGCATCATCAGTTTGCTTACCAGTCTTAAGTACTTCAAGGTTAAGGTAGGTCACAACTATCAGGTGCTTCAAGGATCATTGTAAGTCACTATAAGGTGCTTCGTGGTCAATTTAGGTCACAGCTATCAGGTGCTTCAAGATCATTGTAAGCCACTTTTAAAGTGGTCCCTGGTCACTATCAAGTACTTCAAGGTCAAGATAGTTCTCTATTGAGTTTTTCTAATGTTGTGTTACATTTGGATGCTACATTGTTTAGATAAACAGTACACATGTATATATCAATTTATGTTCCTTTCATATACATCAGGCTTAACATACAACAATTAATTAAAATATTGATTCAGATTATAAATAAATTTTCACAAGAACAATGTGACATATAATGATGAATCTGGAGTGATTAGTAAATGGTAAATAAACATTGATGTTTATCTCTGTGATACTGCATTGAAATGACATGAATTATTTAGCTGTAATAATATTTAAATGGTGTAACTTTTTTGTATGTTCAGATGCACCCAATAGAGGACTTTGAGGCCTGTGTGATGTTTATGCAGGATTTAGGGCATTACTTTTTGGAGGTTAAGGATCGTGACATCAAGCATGCTCTTGCGACTTTATTTGTTGACATTCTTTTGCCTGTGGCTGCTGTGAGTAACAACACATTTACTTTTAGATACTTGGTGCTATTCCACTCTGAGTGTAAGGAAACATCCCTGATGTAATTTTCTAATTCTGAGATTATGCTGAATTGTTCCATTTTTACGGGTCATAGCTTACCTGGTCTGAAGGACTTAAACCATGGCATTGCATTTGTTGTCTGGAATCCCTCATCTGCAATGTTTACTGAAAATTAAATAGTACTAATAGTCATGATTGACTGAACAGATTTTAACCATATTTGGTCAGAAGCAAGGAACCAACTCTGTGTCAATGGTAATTTTTGGCCTTCAATGGCCTGAGGGGAGGGACCTAAAAGAGGAAATTTAGCAAAATCTTCAAAATCCTTTTTCTGTAGGAATTTTGGTCAAAAGTTTGGCTGAAGCATCCTTTGGTGAAGAGGAATCAATTGTGTGTAAAAGGTTGGTCTTAACCTCCTGGTGCAGGAAGAATGGGGCCAAATAGGAGAAATAAAGCAAATTATTTAAAGTTCTTCTTCAGCAGGAATGCTTGGATGTCATAATTTTGTCCCAACCCTTTGGTGCAGGAAGGGTGGGGTCTTATAGTGGAAATAGAGCAAATCTTGGTAACCTTTCTTCTTCTGCAGGAGTGCCTGGATTTTGTCCTGATTTGGACTGAAGCATGCTTTTTGAAGGGGAATCAATTTTGTATGAACAGTTGGTATTGAACCCTGAGACAGGAGGGGTTGGCCCAATTAGGGGAATGATATAAAAATCCTTCTTCTGTAATAATGCCTGGATTTTGCCCTTATGGTCAGAAGCATGCCTTTGAAGGATAATTAAATTTTTGTAAATGGTTGGTTTCCACATGGTGTGTGACTGATAGGTTCCTAGAATGACAAAATTTACAGAAATACACTGGCCCTTATTCAAAGTCACAGAGGTTGAATTGAGGAAAACCTTCAAAACAATTTCTTCTGACCAACCAAAAGGTGCAGACAAATGGTATTTGACTGACAGATTCCCAGAATGAAGCTTGACAAAATATTGGGAAAGAAATTACCTTGATCCATAGTCACGGTCATAGGGTCAAATTTGTTTAAATATTACAAGATTAACCAAAAAGCACAGAGGCATGGTATTTGGCCGGTAGGTCTTTGGGTTTAAGCCTGACTAAGTTTGCAAAAAAAGAAATGACATTGAACCATATTCAAAGTCCCAGGGGTCAAATTGTTGAAACATGTAAAAAACTTCTTCTGGTAAACCAAAAGTCTAAGAAGGATGTTTTTTTGAAAGGTGTTTCCAGGTTAAAGCTTGACAAATTTAGATATAAAAAAGAAAATACAGTTACCTATAATCTCCACAAATATCACTGATTGTACAGAGTGATATTATATTGATACCCAGTTCAAAATATCATTGATACAATGGTAGAAAATATTGTTTAAGGAAAACAGATGAGTTGATCTTTCCAATCTTGTAGACGGCCAAGAATGAAGTGAATGTACCAGTGCTAAAGAACTTGGTGGATATGCTGTACACACCAGCACTGGATTTGACAATGAAGAAAAAACACATATTTGTGAGTCCCATTTCTACACTGAATACAATGATGATTAACAGTGACAGGCTCATAGTAACTTGACTAGAGTAGTTAGAATGTATTGGATGTTGGAATAATTGTCTTAAGGAAGTCACAATCTTCCAAGAAAAAAAAAACATAATTTATCTTTGTTATCGTAATGTAACACTTTTGTGTGGGATATTAATTTGGGCACCTTGCGTGCATCCCTGCGTCTGTTCATCGATCTGTCTGTCTGTCTATTTGTCCATCTGTCATAAATTGGTCTGGAGCGTAACACAAAAACTAAAAGAGGTATCAACAGGAAACTTCGTAGATAGATAAATCTCAAAAAAGGAGAAATGCAGTGCACAAGAACCATCACTCTCTTTTGCATAATTTAGGATTTATTGCCTACTAAAACTATAAGAAATATCAACGTTTCTGAGTGTTTAATAATACATTGTATACTTGTTCTTTTATAGCACTGTTTCCCTCTTGTGACGTGCCTATTGTGTGTGAGTCAGAAGACATTCTTCCTTAACAACTGGCCATACTTTCTGACCACACACTGCCTTTCACAGCTGAAGAACAAGGACCAAAAAATATCTCGTATGGCTCTTGACTCTCTGCACAGACTTCTGTGGTTAGTACACATAAAGAGTTCTTATTATTTTGACTTGGGAACCGATGTAGAACCGTGAGAAAAACGATCAGATGAGATACTTCAATTAAAGTCTGGTCTTCATTTTCTTAATCAACGATCATCAGATGATGGGATATTCGACTCACCCTTCATCTTAGGTCTCTGGTCTTTTTGTTAGCATGTTTTGTATAAATGGTCGGACTTGGAACCGTCTGTGTTGGGAGGGAGGGGCAAGTTTGGAAATCTAGCAAATTCTTTAAAATCCCAATTCTTTCAAATCCTTTGATTCTGTTCCAATTTGGTATGAAGCATCTTCAGGTAAAACAAAACCAATTTTATATAAATGGTAGGTTTGGGACCCTGAAAGGTGGGAAGGGTGTGGCCCAATAGGTAAAATAGTGCAAATTCTTTATAATCACTCTTCTATTAGAATGATTCAAATTCAAGTTTTATCTGAAGCATCCTTTGATGAAGAGAGCTTTGTCTTGTATAAATGGTATATCTCCCCTCCCAGGGACAGAGGGAAATAGATGCAACACTATACTTTTCTTTAGTTTCAATATAGTGAAGCAATTTCAACAGGAAAAACAAGGTGAGCTAAACAGGCCCTTTGGGCCTCATTTTCTGTGATTCCAGGGTGTACATGGTGAGGATAAAATGTGAGAGTAACACTATTACTCACAGTCGTCTACAGAGCATTGTCAGCAGTCTCTTTCCAAGGGGCTCCAAGATGGTCACCCCCAGGGATGTACCTCTCAACTTCTTTGTCAAAATAATCCAGTTCATTGCAAAGGTATGTCAACCATCATTTTTTGTCTCCTTAATTTATGATAATTGTTTAACTGTCCTCCTATCATCCACTGTTGATTATTCCACCATTATTGTAATTAGTTACTTTCTTCTCTGTAGATAATGAAGTCTTCCTTGTTACTAGATATTGAGGTACCTTGGCTGTAGTTAATTGATATAATTGTGTTTTCAGGAAAGACAAGACTTTGCTATGAAGGAGATTATATTTGACCTGCTGTGTGTGGGGCGTTCAGCCAAGATTCTGACACCAGAGGTATGACAATAAAAACAAATTGTGCCCTTCAAACAGGCAATCATACCATTTGCACAATCTGTTTTTGAGGAATGGCAATTTGCAATCTACAAATATTATGATATGATACAATATTGCGATGTAAAACAATGTTTTTGACAATGGATGACTATTTAATCCCCCAAAATGCTTGGTCTGTCCATCCATCATCTGTCTGGTAATTACTTTATCAAGTAGTTGCTGATATCACAAAAAGTTACAAAAAACTATTCTTATTTAGGTACAAAAAAGTTATAACTTTTTAATGTCCAGGGTTCTGATACAGTAATAAAAAGTTAAAAAAAACAGTACAAAAAGGTGTAACTTTTTTGCGAGTACAAAAAGGCACAATAAAGGTGTAACTTTTTTGCGAGTACAAAAAGGCACAATAAAGGTGTAACTTTTTTGCGAGTACAAAAAGGCACAATAAAGGTGTAATTTTTTTGTGAGTACAAAAAGGCACAATAAAGGTGTAATTTTTTTGCGAGTACAAAAAGGCACAATAAAGGTGTAATTTTTTTGCGAGTACAAAAAGGCACAATAAAGGTGTAACTTTTTTGCGAGTACAAAAAGTGACTTTATCAGAGATGATCTTTACTATATATATAGGGGAAAAGGTATAACCTTTGATAGGTACTGAATTACAAATAAATACAGGAAATAACAAATTGGTCTAGATCAGACTGTATTAGTGTACATATTAAATTTTAATCATCAAATTATTCTTTTGCCTTGTGCCCCCTCAAAGTAGATCAGTTTTTCAAACTTGCAGACCCTGTCGCCCCTACTGATTGCATAATATACCACCCTGCTAGTGCAAGCAGGTGTGAGTCACAAACAATATGTAATAATAATTCATTGGCACAGTGCTCCCTCTATTTACAACCCCCCAAGTCAGCAACAACTCCCTTCAAACAGCTGTTTTCCCTTCAGCATTCTATCAGTAATAATGAACCCCATCTCAGTGACCCTCCCAAGACTAGACCAGTGACTACTTCATTGTGATTGGATTTCAGACTTTTAATTCTCTAATCTCTATCACATACATTTTTATGGCTTCCAAACAAATATTATTGTCAAAATATCAATTGATAATTGGAGACAGCCAAATCATGATAATGTTATATCACAGATTTTACATGGGTGTTATTTTTCCACAGATTAAATTTCTGCGATCATGATAAACTGCTTGAGAATGCAAAACTATCCCTGTCAAAATAATCTACCATACAGAATACTGCTCTTCTTGTTACTGTTACTAATTTAAATGTTAGTTAAAGGATTTTACTGTATGTTTATGAAACATAAAGTGATTTTCCCATCATTTCCCACAGCGAATGAGTATTGGTCTGCGAGCATTCCTTGTCATCGCTGATAGCCTACAACAGAAGGATGGTGACCCCCCAATGCCACAGACGCAGGCTACTTTACCCTCTGGAGCCACAGTGAGGGTCAAGAGGACCTTTCTCAATAAGATGCTGACTGACCAAATGGCAAAAACTATAGGCCTAGCTCAGTATTATCCCCACATACTCAAAGCATTTGATTCTATGTTACATGCACTAGATCTACAGGTGGGGAGACAACTCCTCCTTACCAAGTTAGAGAATGTCAACAAGGAGCCAGATGAACTGATGACGTAAGTAAATTGCTTTCACTGGAGCCTTAGACAGCATAAGTTAGAAATATAGGTGGTAATTCTGCAACATCTTCCTTAGTAATGCTTTTTAAAAATAGAAAAAAGTTAATTGTTCACAATATTTTCATAGGTATGCAACTTGTCATTGGTATTGAAGATTTTGTGTGCAATGAAAAAATCTTAATTCTGTAATTTTATGAAAGAAGGTGAAAAAATGAGATATTGTATATCATGAGATATTTTTGCTCATTTAGGTTTAAATACCAATAATTGGTAGAGACATATTTTACTTGCAGTTTGACTATCTGATGACGAAAAATCATGAGATTTTATGATAAATGATATATTTTGCTTTATTTTGTGGGAAGCGATCGTAAAATGAAAAATATGTCTAATTTATATTCAAGCACAACTACCAGGGTATACATATATCTCTGTGTAAGGAGAAGGAAATAAAAAACAGGACAAGAATGGTTTACTGTAATTCTAACATATATCTCTGTGTAAGGAGAAGGGCATTTTACAGGACAAGAATGGTTTATTGTAATTCTTACATATATCTCTGTGGCACATTGTTGGATAAAATTGACGATTACATTATACTGTTTCAGTGGAGAAAGAAAGGCGAAGATAGAACTGTTCCGAACCTGTATTGCTGCCATCCCTCGGTTAATTCCAGATGGAATGAGCTGTCAAGAATTAGTGGAACTGCTTACAAGGCTTACAGTTCACCTAGATGAGGAGTTAAAGGGGTGAGTGTTGGTACTGAATGAGGGGCTAAATGAGTGAGTGTTGGTACTGAATGAGGGGCTAAATGAGTGAGTGTTGGTACTGAATGAGGGGCTAAATGAGTGAGTGCTTATACAGAATGAGGGGCTAAAGGGGTAAGTGTTTGTACTGAATGAGGGGCTAAATGAGTGAGTGTTGGTACTGAATGAGGGGCTAAATGAGTGAGTGCTTATACAGAATGAGGAGCTAAAGGGGTAAGTGTTTGCACTGAATGAGGGGCTAAAGGAGAGAATGTTTGTACTAAACAGGGGCTAAACAGATGATTGTTGTAACTTCCTTATGGGCTGAAGGTTTGAGTGTTTGTAATAATGAGGGGCTTAAGGACAGAGTGTATTGAATGATGGGTGACAGGGTATAAAAGGTTGAATGTAATTGTAAGGAGATGAAAAGATGAATATATGTTAATATGTTGGGATAAATGGGTGAGTGTTTGTACTGAAATAGGGATTAATTGTTTGTTCTAATGACAGAGGGAATAAGGAAATCAGTATTTGTACTAATGAAGTGTTAAAGGAAAACAATGTTTGTACTAATGAGGGGCTGAAGTGGTCATTGTTTGTACCAATGAATGGCTAAAGAAGTTATTGTACTGAAAGAGGAGTTAAAGGGGTGATATATATGCTGTTGTGTGGTATCTGTCATCTGTTTGGCATCCACTTTTCCACTTAAACAACTTCTTCTCAATTAACCAACAGAGCAAATGTCATGAAATAGGCTGGTAGGTTGCTGGGATGAATCCCCACAGAGTTTGTGAAAGGAAAGGCCTTGACCTTCAAGTTCACAGAAATTGGATTAAAAACCTTTCTACAACCTTTTCTGACTAACAAAAAGGTGCAGGAGAATAGTATTTGGCTGATAGGTTCTTAGGATGAAGCCAGACAAATTATGCAAAAAGAAATTATCTTGACCCATATTCAAGGTCACAGGTTTCAGGTTTGTTAAAACTTTTAGGCAACTTCTTCTGATGAACCAAAAGATGCAGAAGCATAGTATTGGGCTTGCAGGTTTCTAGGATGAACACCGACAAAGTCTGGGAAAACAAATGACCTTAACCTTTAATCAGGGGTCAATCTTGTTAAATCCTTAAAACGTCTTCTGTTAACTAATCAAAAGGTGCAGAAGCCTTGTATTTAGGTGATAGGTACCAAGGATGAAGCCTAACATAGCTTGCATGTAATAAGAATGAAGAAATATTAATGACATGATAACAATTTCTGTCTCGTACAGCCATGCATTCCAGGCCCTACAAAACTTGATGCAGGAGTCGCCAGTGTGGAGGGAACATGTGGTGAGAGGTAAGACATTATATGAACCAGATATCTCCTTAAGTATTGATCCTTTATTAGTGTGTCCCATTTGATGTGATAGTGATGGCCATCATTCTGTAAAAATTGTGTTTTCATTCATTTTCTCTTGGATGGACAGTAAAATTGTATTGAAATTTTGTTTGTAGTTGCATAAAAATAAGATGCAGGTTAGGTTTTTTCAATGGTTATGGTCCCTTGAATTTAGAAAGTTTCTAGAAACTTGAACAGTTCTTTCCATTTGGGTATATTGAATTGAAAGTTAAAGTGTAATAGTATTGTTACAGTATACAGGTCAATTGTTAGTATTCAGTCATCATATTTTTATCCAGATTTATGACCCTATAACTTTTATTGGTTACTGGTGGGGGACATTCATGTGAAACCTATACATCTAGTTATATGATTATGATAATGATGTTGTTATATGAATATTACAGAGTGTTATAATTTGGAATCTAAGAAACATTATATTAAATAAAGACCTTTACATTTCTATAATAACCTCTCCATGGACTGAAAGGACAGTTGAACTTCTACCTTGGTGGTGTCTGGTGTCATGTTCAAAAGTCCCAAACTATTTCCTACTTTCCCAAAACGCATTTCTAGTTTTCACAGGATTGTTTGCTTATTTTGTTAGAAGATTGAAATTTAAACAAGAAAGGAAATAACTTAAGATTTGTTATAGGCACTAAGGATTAAAACATAAGACTGTTGGAGAACTGTGTAGACAATACCTTAACAAGAAAGAAAATAACTTAGATTTGTTATAGGCACTAAGGATTAAAACATAAGACTGTTGGAGAACTGTGTAGACAATACCTTAAATCATTTGTTTTCAGGTTTCGTACAGTTTGTACAACGAGATATCAGTGATACTAATACACAGCTACTGGACGGTGCCCTGCGACTTCTGATGCAGCTCTTGGTCCAGTGGAAAACTAACATTGTTACTGCACAACAAAGGGTAAATCTCACCAAGTAGTGGCAGTAGTCGTTTTTATCTGTCACAGTCACTTTTTATGTGGAGGGGACAAATAGCATTACACATGATTATGTCTCCTGTCCCATTGCATCCCGACACGTCCCGTTCTAAATCAATGCCATTTCTCGAAAGCCTCTCAACAGATACGGTTCATATTTAAACCTGAGTATAGTAACATCAAGTTCTACACCTGATCATATTAAGGTGGTCATAGGTCAAGGTGAAAGAGTTAACGGTCACATTTGACAGTGGCAGATTTGTCAAATAATGCTACTTGATCAACATTTTAGATAGACTATATGCAATGTTCCATATAGTATGAACTGTTACAATTTACACAGGATATAGCTTTCAAAGATATGTTTGACTTAAATAGAACAGGCCTTTACATGTGCAAGTTTTATGAAGAAAAATGTCCTTGTTTTATGAATGGGCCATGCAGTCAATTCTGATGTGGATAACTTGCAATTTTCAAGAAGTAATTTAATCCAGGGTTTCAGTATAATGTCACAGCCTCTGGAACTAACATTTCTAGCTTTTTGATTGGTTAAAAAATGCCAATGAGTTAACCACATTACCTAGCAGCAGTCATGTGCTATAAATAATGACACTGTTTTTCAAAATAGTGTTATGCATGCATGTGATCACTGTGAGACAACAAAATGCTATTCTAAAAACTTACAGGCTAGGTGTCCTTGACAAGATTCAGATTGGGATTTTCACAAATCATGAACCAATATTGTTTTGGTTTGAGGTTTATGTTTGAATGGGACAATAAGGTGAATACACTTGATTATGGGATGTCTAATATCTATTCTTGTGGGTTGATCTAAAAACGATCAACAAGTGACAAGCAGCGACTGTAACTGTCTTCAGAAAATATTTGATGGCTCACATGTACATTGTGTATCACACTCAGGGGAAGTGTCATCAAATCATTTATCGTTAAAATCCAAATAAAATTATTGACATCAAAAGTTATGTGTGTAATATGATTTATGGTAAAATTAGTACATTAAGTCTCAGTTTCATAAATGAAAAAATGACAATGTTACTCAAACAAGGTGAACAGCTTTTTATATAAAAAGCAATGGTTAAAAAAAACTACTTTGGTGTCATAAAATTCTATATATGCCTTCAGATGTTTCGTATGTACCATACAATGATAAGGAACAATTACAATGTCAGTTACTGTGCTTAGACTTGAAGTGTTGTGGCATCATGCACCTTATTATCACTAAATAAGCCCTTTATGATCTGTTTTAAAGTTTCAATGTTGTTCTAAGTCCATTACATGTACTCAATACCAGTGGCAATGTGGTGTTTTAGAACATGAAATTGTTTCAGTGAGTGGTACATTTCACTGATTTGATGGAAATCTTTTTTTAAATCTTCAAATTTAATCTGTTGATAATCATTTTCTATCACAATGTTTGTTTGCTTTGCATATGATGAATTATATCTTGCATTTAAGGTTATAAATGTATGTTTTTATCATGTTTATACTTTCAGTAATTCTTATGTTATTGTAGGAACGTACAACAGGCGACAACGCTACCCAACTGCGGACATTACCAGAAGCAACCAACATTTTGGTATTACGGGAGGTGGAAGGTCTCTCACTGGTTATGTTGTGTAGCTGCCGTGTTGTTACACGCAAACTGGCTGCCCTCCTTTTAAAGGAAGTCAGGAACATCTTTACCTGTTGCCAAGCACAGGTAAACAGTAGGAATCAGTTAGGATTTACCTACGTATATTAGATCTCCTTATTATGTATCTCTCATCACAGGTCTAACAGGGTTTAAGGTCTAACAGTATAGACCAAAGAAATAAGAAGAACCTGTGATTTCTGCCAACTTTTGTTTAAGCTTTCCTAGCCTTTATATGTCTGAGTGTTAACTTTTAGCTCACCTGGTCCGAAGGACCGGCGAGCTTATGCCATGATGCAGTGGCCATTTGCTGCCAATCTTCTTTTGTTGTCAACTTTATAATAAAAATTGCTGCTAGTTATAAATGACCGTACAGATTTTAACCAAATTTGGTTTGAAGCATCCTTGGGGAAGAGAATCAAGTTAGTCTAAACATTGAAACTGGTCAAAGGGGCCTTGAAGTGGTGTGGGGATGTGGATGGGGATGGGGATTTTACCCAAATTTAGAAGCATTCTGAGATGAAGAGAATCAATCTTATCTGAACATTAGGTCTCAGCCCCTGGAAGGGGAGGGGCATGGCTTAATAGGGGAAATCAAGCAAATTCTTTAAAATCCTACTGTTCTTGTAGGATTTCGCAAAAATTTGAAAAATTGAAACATTCTTGGGTGAAGGGAAATCATTTTTGTTTAAATCTTGGGTCTCTTCAACAAAGGCAGGAAGGAAAATAAAACAAATTATTTTAAATCCTACTCTTTTGGAGGAATGAATGAATATTGCTCATTTGGTCTAATGAATTCTAGGGTGAAGGGAATCCATCTTGGTTAGATGCTAGGTCTTGTTCCCCTGGAACGAGAAGGATGGGACATAATAGTGGAAATAGAAAAGCAAATTTTTTAAAATCCTGAAGGAAGGAATGGAGGCTGTCCAAATTTAGTCCGAGGCATTTATCTTAATCATCTTTAGGTGAAGGGGAATCAGTTTTGTGTAATTCTGGGGCTGTAGGAGCAGGATCCTCAATGGGAAATAAAGCAAATTCTTTAAATTCTACTCCTCAGATAGGAATGATTGGATTTATCTGTAATTTTGTAAGAATGATTGTTTATTGTATGAATTTGGTCTGAAGTATCCTTTGGTGAAGGAGAATCAATTTTTTTCAAACCTTGAGTCTCTTCTCCCTGGGGCCAGACGGAAAATAGAGCAAATACTTCAAAATCCTACTCTTTTTGAAGGAATTATTGTATATTGCCCAATTTTGGTTTGAAGCATTCTTGGTTAAAGGGGAATCAATTTTGACAGGTGAGCAATACAAGCTTTATGAGCCTCTTCTTAAGTGGATCTACTCATTTGTCCATGAGCATTAATGACCAGGTGCTGTGATGTCTGTTATCACAAGGGAAACACTTAACACTGAAACTGCTTTGATGAGAATTTAAAACTTAACAATCAATGCTTGTAATATTTCATTTGTTTACTAACAGCTTGTTGTAATCTGTGGATGACTGTGTATGAATAAGTATGATTTATACTTAGCAGATGTCTGAACCATGCCTTCTAGAGATGATAGACAAGGCCTGTCCAGATGTAGTCAAAAGACTCCTGCTGTCCTTGCCAGCATCAGAAAAGGTGAGGGATTAATCCGGTACCATTAACTAAAGGAAGAAACAACTTTTAGAAATCGTTGAAAAACCATTGTTTAATAGTATTTGTGGCCACAGCACTCAGACCAACAGCTTCATATTTCATGTCATCATAATAGATTGACTGAATACGTGTTATGAGGGGAAGAAGTTCATCTTTAGAAATTAAATTTAGTTTCATTTGGAAATATGATGATTGGTGCATAAATTTAGAATAATGGACTCAGTTTTCAAAAATTTATCTTTAAAATACCATCAGAGTAGTTGCCATCGATGTTTTCCACTACTCATCCATATAATTTTTGTAATGACAATGGACTGGAAGATGAGCATGTTTCTTTTTGATCATAATGATTTGTTTTTATTTTGAATCTTATTGGTCTAAAGATATGCTTAAGCCTAATATTTCCTTGGGGTTAACTCAGAGATAAAGTGACACAACCTGTAAGATGAAATAACTAGAAATATTGTTTTGATATTTTACCCCATAGATTTGAAGCATTATATCTGATCAGTCCTCCTTGATAGAGTATTCTTCCTACCACTTGATACCTGTCTATAACCTTGTTTCATACTGATCATATTAAACTGTTTCTGGTGGCAGCCTATTCTTCTGACCTCCCCAAACATTGACCTGGCATGGGTTATTGACCGTGCAGCCTCGGTCTGGAACCCTATTTCAAAGGAGAACAACATAGAGGAGAGGTCAGAGTCTGCCTTTTCCAAGGTTGACCCCTGGATGAGGTGCATAGCCACTTTTGTGTCCAGTGAATATGGAATGACCCTTTGCCCTCATGCAGTTGCTGCTTCTTGGCCCATTGTCTACACACGTCTGGTCAGCATGCACACACTACTGGACCCTAAGTAAGTGTATATACTTATATAGTCAACATACTACTACTTATAGGATCTTACTTGAATTTCTATTTCATTTGCATAATTTATCACGTGATTAATTCTTTTTTTAAATATCATAAAAATTTTCCTTGTGATCATTGTGGTTCTTTATCAATGTCATTATCTTATCAATCTTTGTGTTGGACATAATTTGTAATGTAGCTGAATTAGCCAGGTGTGTGATGCAGGCCCCTTGGGCCTCTTGTTCCATCATAGTGCCATATTGCTCACACTTTAGTTATTGTTTACAGCAACATGATCAATGAATTCCGCACATCGTCCATCTTGAGATCCGGAACATCCAGTAAGAAACCAACAACAGAAAAAGATGTACACATGCAGTTATGGCAGAACTATGTCATCCTGGCATGTTCTGTAGCTCAGAAGGACAGCCTCATTTCCTATCGATGTGCTTCACCTGAGCAGGGGTATGTTATGAGAAAAATTTATTTATTTTACGACAAGTCATTTTAACTTCTACTTATCACTCTTGTTGGCCCAGATGTAAGTGTGCAAAGGTTCTTATGTTGGAGGATAGTGGGAGTACCCAGAGAATATCCACGTTGTTGGACAGGTGACCAAATTAGTGAATTATATGTTCCTCATCACCCACTGACCATGTTAACTATAGTTTATATAGGAAATCTAGATTTTTGAGCATAATTCATTTAATTACCACTATGAAATATTTTAAAGTTAGTTAGAATTATGAACAAAGGATGACGGCTTGATGGTATGCCTATATTGATCTTGGTTAACCAGGGACGAATGGGGAGAGCCAAAAGTGATCAAATTGACTCAAGTTTTAAAAACCTCCTTCTCAACACTCAGATATGGTAGTATCAAATACTTTGCAGAGATTGAAGTGTCTTAAGGTCCTGAAAATGGTGAATTTCATGGCTCACATTTCCCAGTGGAAAGTTTGCTATATCTTTTATAGAAAAAAAAGCCTTTTTGAGCATAATGTTGTTTATTGGTAAATGTTGGTTAAAATTATGAGTGTAGATGACAGTTGTGACGGTATGTATATAACTGGCTTACGATCATCAATGTCACAAGTTCTTTTTCATGAAACTTGAAAGCAACTTAACCTATAACCCTTATATTCAATATTGCTTATCCCCGGTGACTGTCAAGGCAGTGAGGCCTCTTGTTATGTAATCAGACATGACAAGCATGAATGAAATTGATTGAAAGTCAGAATTGTTTTTTTATTGTTTGATTTTACTTCTTTACTTCATATTCTAAAAGTTTTTGCCTTGTGATACAACTAAATCTATTTTTAAAAAGTGATCTCTAATTTTTTTGTGTCTGGTACATATTACAGAAAAGAAAACTAATTCTAACCAATTAAATTTCCCGAAAGATTATCAAATGAAATAAATGTAAGATCATAATTGTATTTGGGCAGATACAATGAACTTATTAGTTGCCTTATAACTGTATTTTGCTCTTTATGTCAGGTCATCCCCAGAGTCAGAGAAAAGTGACAGTCGTCAGGCTAGCACCAGTTGCACAGACTTGTTCAAACTCATTGTACCACTGATGAAGTGTGAAAACTCTGACATGCGAGACACCATTGTCAATGGTCTTGGCTATACAAATGCTGCTGCCTTTAGGTGAGTTAGGGCCGAACAACAACAATCGTAAGCTGGTGTATACTGACCCAGGGTATAATAGAACTGACCTTAGATATATAAAAACTTTAGTCTGCTTGTCATTTACAAATTTACAAGCGTTTATTTATTTTATTTAAGTATTTCAGATTCTGATGTAATTTGTTGATTACATTTCATTTATTCAATCTTCAGCCTGCCTATTCCCATATGTCCATGGTCCATGATCTCTCTGTTGTCAGTCCTGACATCCATGAACAATTCTTGTTATCACTATTTCTAGAGGAGCACTGGATGGATCTTTATCAGATGTCATATGTAGGTTCCCCTTGGTCTGTAGTTGTGCCATTTTGAATTACGGAATAATTAGAAAAACAAATGGCTGACAGGCAGCCATCTTTTATTTTGACAATGGAAAATTGCTATCACTATTTCTAGAGAAGTGCTGAATGGATCATTCTCAAATTTCATATGTATGTTTCTCTTAGTCCTTTGTTGTGCCCCTTTGATTTTGGGACTGATAAAAAAAATGGATGACAGGTGGCCATCTTGGATTTTGATTCATTTTATGAATAGGTTCCCCTTGGTTCTTAGTTGTTCCCATTTGATTTTGGCTCTGATCAGAAAAAGAAATGACCTACAAATTGTTATTTTTGAAAATTTTCTATGTAAGATTGTTAACAATGGTGGGGACCAAAATCTCTCTTGGACCTCTTGGTCAGTGTGAAATTTCTCAAGGCAAATTTTCTCGAAATGAACTATTCAGAAGGTGTATATTTTTTAGAATCTTCTAGACGATTTTACATTTAAAATTGAAGTGTTTATCCTGGTGATTTTAGGGACCTCATTGATGAGTTACTTCCCTTCCTCAAGGAAGCTATTGAACGCAAACAAGAAACCAAGAATCGACGTCGTAAAAAGGACACTCTTCGAGTACAATTGGCTCATATATTTGAACTGATGGCAGAGAACAGAGCCTTTGCCCAGAGGTAAGGAATAATTCTAAGTATGTAAGACAGAGGTGTGAGGTTTAACGTAGATTTTTTACCATTTGCCCAGAGGTAAGGAATAATTCTAGGTGTGTAAGACAGAGGTGTGAGGTTTAACGTAGATTTTTTACCATATCAGTTAATAAGCCCACCTACATGAACTGCAGATTCAGTTAAAAGGCAAACAGAGGATTAACCATTATTTTGTAGTACGCCACTCCCCTATCCCCTTAAATCGTCAAAAGTTATGTTAGTGACCCAGGGGTCTTGTAATAAGCCCCCACCCCTACATTATCAAAGATATTGTTGGTATTTCTGGGGTCCTATAGTAAGCCCACCCCTCTACATTATCAAAGATATTGTTGACATCTCTGGGGTCCTGTAGTAAACCATCCCCTCTTCAATGTTGATATCTCAGGACTTATTTCAGGATAGATATGGTTAATATAGACTATATAATCTGTGTTACAGTGAGTCTGGTGTGATTGACACAGAATCTAGCTGCCTGATAAAGACCTTTGTAGAGTACATAGATGGGGCACGTCAGTACCTGGAGAGTGAGAGTGACCGCGACCTGCCTGTCTTACATGATATTCGTCTACACTTCAGCCGTTTTGTCCGTGAGCTCATCGCTCACACACCAGGCATGTTATCAGGATTACAATTCACAATATCTATTTAATTAGTAGATAATTGCTACATAAAATAACTACTGAAACTTCAACATGCACAACCATTTTTTTAGAGCAATAATTTCAGCATGGGAATAGCAAAAATATGAGATAACCACTAGAAAATGTGTGGTTACAGTAACCTGTTTCATTAAGAAAATATAATTTTGTCCATTATGTGCATACATTTGTATTTTCCTTTCTTGTCAATAACTTGCAGATTCACAGGAAAGGTAGTAATTAGTCAAAGTAAAATGATGTGAGTTAAAAAAATTGTTGTAAAACAAAATTCTGTCCTAGGATCTTGTGAATGCATTTCATAGTGCAACATAAAACATGAATCGTGTAATCTTTACCTCTAATACAGTTAGATATCAAGTGTGATAGGCATCTTGTTTTCATAAATAATATTTATTACTTGACCAGCGGAGTTTAAGAGAAGTTTGTTGACCAGAGATTTGCGATATAGCTTGTTCCACCTGTTTGCCAGCTGGAGTGGCAAGTTCAGCCACACCATTGGAGATACATTGGACAGAAGGTGAGTGACACTTGATTCCCATTGGAACACTAAGGAAGGTACAACATATCCTTGATAAATTGCTAAACTTAGTGTTTTGCCATATCGAGTCATCAACAACACTATGTTAATCTTGATTCACATGATTCACAGATTTAATAAAGATGAGAGCTGCTCTGAGCTGGAGCTGTCAGCTGTGAGAGCCATGTCTGCAGTACTGTGCTGTGGACCTGTGTTCGACCCAAGTGGCCTGAATGATGATGGATACATATACCAGTGGCTGGATATGTTATTGAGTTCTCATAATGATAGGGTAAGCTTACACTCATCCTCCTATACATAGACAATCTACCTCCATAATGATAGGGTAAGCTTACACTCATCCACCTATACATAGTAAATCTACCTCCATAATGATAGGGTAAGCTTATACTCATCCTCCTATACATAGTAAATCTACCATCATAATGATAGGGTAAGCTTACACTCAACCTCTTATACATTGTAAATCTACCCTCATAATGATAGGGTAAGCTTACACTCATCCTCCTATACATAGAAAATCTACCCTCATAATGATAGGGTAAGCATACACTCATCCTCCTATACATAGTAAATCTACCTCCATAATGATAGGGTAAGCTTACACTCATCCTCCTATACATAGTAAATCTACCTCCATAATGATAGGGTAAGCTTACACTCATCCTCCTATACATAGTAAATCTACCCTCATAATGATAGGGTAAGCTTACACTCATCCTCCACATCCACCTATACATACATAGTAAATTAACCTCCTATACATAGTAAATCTACCCTCATAATGATAGGGTAAGCTTACACTCATCCTCCTATACATAGTAAATCTACCCTCATAATGATAGGGTAAGCTTACACTCATCCTCCTATACATAGAAAATCTACCCTCATAATGATAGGGTAAGCATACACTCATCCTCCTATACATAGTAAATCTACCTCCATAATGATAGGGTAAGCTTACACTCATCCTCCTATACATAGTAAATCTACCCTCATAATGATAGGGTAAGCTTACACACATCCTCCTATACATAGTAAATCTACCTCCATAATGATAGGGTAAACTTACACTCATCCTCCTATACATAGTAAATCTACCTCCATAATGATAGGGTAAGCTTACACTCATCCTCTATACTATACATAGAAAATCTAGAAAATCTACCATCATAATGATAGGGTAAGCTTACACTCATCCTCCTATACATAGTAAATCTACCTCCATAATGATAGGGTAAGCTTACACTCATCCTCCTATACATAGTAAATCTACCCTCATAATGATAGGGTAAGCTTACACTCATCCTCCTATACATAGTAAATCTACCCTCATAATGATAGGGTAAACTTACACTCATCCTCCTATACATAGTAAATCTACCCTCATAATGATAGGGTAAGCTTACACTCATCCTCCTATACATAGTAAATCTACCTCCATAATGATAGGGTAAGCTTACACTCATCCTCCTATACATAGTAAATCTACCCTTACATTGATAGGGTAAGCTTACACTCATCCTCCTATACATAGACAATCTACCCTTACATTGATAGGGTAAGCAATTGTTGTTAAATAAATTAAGGATTATTTATCTATAACCTAAATAATCAAAATATATGGAAAATCTGCCCCATAATTGAAATGGTAAAAGTTTGTTCAATCTTGTATACCTAAAAAAAATTTACTTCAAAGGAATTGGGTAGCATACCTTGTTTTTCCAGATCATAAGTTACAATTTTTTCATTTTGGGTTGTATATACAGCTTATACAGCAATGCAGCTTAAATACAGACTGAAAATATTGGGAGAATGAAAAACTGAAAAAAAGAAAGGACAAGCATGGTATTTCTTCACTGAGTATTTAGGTCATGTGACCATCGTCCATTGTTGGGCGCTGTCTGAAAACTTTTCCTTTAAAACACTACTCCTGTTTACCGTCTCAGCAGATTTCAGCCAAATTTGGTCTGACACATCATGGAGGGTGGTGAATAATGTTTTAGATTCAGAATGTTGATTGGACCCCTAGGGACCTGGAGATGGGTCCCCAAAATGGTAGTTATACAATACTTTGCTTCAAAACATTCCTCTTCCTTAAAGCTTAAAAGGATTTCATTCAAATTTTGTCTGTAACATTAGTAGGGGTTGGCAAAAAATTCTTAAATTAAGTAAGTTGATTTGATCCTTACAGATATGTGGGTGGGTGGGTCCCCTGGGTGGGTGGGTCCCCATGGGTGGATGGGTCCCCATGGGTGGATGGGATATGAGTAACAGGAAATAATTCATTTTGAAATATATATTACACTTATGATTTTGCCTGAATAACAAATATTCCCTGTTATTTTCATGACATCCTTTTTGTGAAAAATTATCTTCCATTACAAACTAAGGACATGATACTTGGATATCAAACAAAATCGTGTGACCATTTCATTCAACAAGCTTTAAACTGCATTGCAACCAAAACATTTTCTAAAATGACACCAGTCTTTTAATTGATCATCTTCTAGTATTGACATTTTCTTGTTAAAGTCTTAAATTTTGATAATAAATTTTCAAGGATACTTTTCATGATTAAGAAAGAGCGAGTCTCTGTGCTTTATTTTTAGCAATTTTCACCCAAATAGTCAGTTTTTCCAAGATAAAAAAATCAGGTTAAGTATTTATTTTTTGGACCTAAAAATTTGGAAAAATAGTCCCACTGTTGGAATTCATGTGTTGGGAAGTTGAAATCTACCCATTATTGAGTTATACTCAAGAGAAGTACCTAAGTAACCAGAAAATGTCGAAATTGTTGACGCTATTAACCGAATCACTACCTCGTCAAAAAGTCTATTCCACAAGCCAAATTTCTTTGAAGCGTTACATTAACAGCCTGTTTTTAATTTTTAAGTACAACTCTAGATAACTAAGTATGTAAAACGACAAAAGTCAAAGATATTATGTTAGAATTTATTTTATATTGAATTATATCTTACTTCCGGTCAAAACATCCTTAATTCCTGGGTAGATTTCAACTAAATTTGACCTGAAACATTATCAGGGAAATGGACTGAACTACTTCTCAAATTTCATTCACACCAACGAGTAGATATTGGGAGTTCTATTTGTTATGGAAAAGACTGATGATTTTGATTTTTAGCCTGATTAAAACTTCAACATGGTAACCACAGTAGTAATGTTTTAATATGATTGTGCAACTGTTTTTTGATGAACAGAACCTACCATTTATGAGTATCTGATACATTCAAGAAGTGTTCCAAATTTGAATTCTGAATTTTGAATTATGTGGTTTGTCCATCCATGTGTCAGTTGTTAGATGACTGTTAAGGGCCATGGCTCTCTTTTTTAGCTTATAGTGGCTTATCTAAAGTCTTTTTATGTTGGGTTATTAAGGACTGTTACAGAGTGTTATGTAAAGTCTGTTGATGACAGGGTGTAACATTGGGTTATCTAGTGACTGTTGATGTAAAAATGTAAGAGTTGGTTATCTAGTGACTGTTGATGTAAAAATGTAAGAGTGGGTTATCTAGTGACTTGATGTAAAAATATAAGAGTAGGTTATCTAGTGACTGTTTATGTAAAAATATAAGAGTAGGTTATCTAGTGACTGTTGATGTAAAAATATAAGAGTAGGTTATCTAGTGACTGTTGATGTAAAAATATAAGAGTAGGTTATCTAGTGACTGTTGATGTAAAATTGTAACAGTGGGTTATCTAGTGACTGTTGATGTAAAAATGTAACAGTGGGTTATCTAGTGACTGTTGATGTAAAAATGTAAGAGTGGATTATCTAGTGACTGTTGATGTAATATTGTAACTGGGTTATCTAGTGACTGTTGATGTAAAATTGTAACAGTGGGTTATCTAGTGACTTGATGTAAAAATGTAACAGTAGGTTATCTAGTGACTGTTGATGTAATATTGTAACTGGGTTATCTAGTGACTGTTAATGTAATAATGTAAGAGTGGGTTATCTAGTGACTGTTGATGTAAAATTGTAACAGTAGGTTATCTAGTGACTGTTGATGTAAAATTGTAACAGTGGGTTATCTAGTGACTGTTGATGTAATATTGTAACAGTGGGTTATCTAGTGACTGTTGATGTAAAAATGTAACAGTAGGTTATCTAGTGACTGTTGATGTAAAAATGTAACAGTAGGTTATCTAGTGACTGTTGATGTAATATTGTAACTGGGTTATCTAGTGACTGTTGATGTAAAATTGTAACAGTAGGTTATCTAGTGACTGTTGATGTAAAATTGTAACAGTGGGTTATCTAGTGACTGTTGATGTAATATTGTAACAGTGGGTTATCTAGTGACTGTTGATGTAAAATTGTAACAGTGGGTTATCTAGTGACTGTTGATGTGAAAATGTATGAGTGGGTTATCTAGTGACTGTTGCTGTAAAAATGTAATAATGAATTACCTAGGCACTATTGATGTCAGAATGTTTCGAGTTTGTACTAATGTGCATACCTGTATATCTTCGTCACCATTGCAACAGATTAAGGAGCAGGTGAGTGTCCACTCCTGCATGGTATTCTTTACATCAATTCATTTTTCTTGTTGACTTTATGCCTGCCAATTTCAGTTGAATTATCATCTCATTTAGGTCAGCATCATTTCTCATCATCGCCACCTCTCATTATCATTGTCAACATTTCTAATATCTTTTTTCATTATTTGTATTGATTCATGATCAGAAGTCATCATTGTCATTATTTTTGTCATCATCTGTTGATTTCAAAACTGCATACATTTCCTGTGTTTTTTAGAAATTTTGTGGTGTTTGCCGTACATTGTACTGTTTATGATATTTCTGTGATATTTTCCTTTTTCCTCTTTTGCCATATTCGCAGAGACAACCACCAGCAATTCTAAATAATTGTTTTATTATGATTTTTGTACTGTTTTTGATAGCCTGAAAGGCCAAGTGAGCTTATGGCATACAGCAGCGTCCGTCTGTCCATCAATTTTACATACAAATTGCTACTAGTCATAAAGGATTTTGACCAAATTTGGTCAGAAGTATCCGTAGAGATTTCGTATAAATGGGGCCTACAGGATGGGGCTTAAAAGGGGAATATTCTTTAAATTCTACTGCTCCTGCTTTTGCCCAAAGTTCTTCTGAAGCGTTGTCTGATGAAGAAGAATCAATTTTGAATAAATGGTATGTCTCGGCCCCCACAATAGGGGTAATAGAGCAAATTCTTTGAAATCCAGCTTTTCCATTATAAATGATAATTTGGTCAGAAGTATTCTTAGGTGAAGAAGAACATTATTTGTATAAGGATTGGGGGGATTCCCAGGGGACTTAATGGCAGGGCCAAAAGGGAAATGTTTGCAAGTTTTATAAAAATCGTACTCCACCTATAAGAATATATTATTATTGCCCAAACTTGGTCTTAAGTATTCTTGGGTGACAGGGACTTTATAAACAGTGCATCCTGGCCTCCCTGGGGTAGGAGGGATAGGCCCTATTGGAGAAAATGTAAGTAAATGTAAGTGTAATTATATCAGAAATTGTTGGTCATATTTAAAAATATTTTTATTTATTTGTCAGGTGAGCATAGCTGGCCCCTTGGGCCTCTTGTTTTATATAAATATACTGGTTGATACATTGCTGCTAGCCAGTTTTGCGATGTAAAATGCACATTTCTTGCATGTCTTTTTCATAAGACAACAAATTTTTCAGTAATATATGTGTCCTTTGAATAAGTGATATGTGTGTGAATGATTACATGACTACTGCGTTGGTGTGTTTCTGTCTTGTTGCTCCCTGCATATAGTTGCCACTTAGTCTGCCAGTCCATCCGTCTCTCTGTTGGTGTCTGGAGAATGACTTTGCCCAAAGTAAAGCAAGGATCTTAAATCTTGTTGTGTATGTTGGTCATATCAGAAGGATATGCAGTGTAAATTTCATGCCTAAAGCACATTTAACTTGAGATAATGAAACTTATTGTTTACATTGGTCCTACTAAGAAGATATATATTGTACAAAAGTCAGTGCCCTAACCCTCTGGATTACAGTTAATGCCCTTTTGTGTCTGGAGCAAAACTTTAAATTGCTTACATTTATACTAGCAATATAAGACAATGTGCAGTGTACCTAATTCATATCCTCCTAAACTTCATATCAATATAAAGGGACTGTATGTAGATGTGCATGCAATTTCCACCCTCCCCACACCCACACCCAAAAATTTTTGTTGCCATTGTAACTGGTAATTGTACCCTATAATGTACTGCATGTTCAGAACAAATACACATGTCCATCTTCTGTAAACTACATAATAATGTTCAATAACCATATTCTTTCAATCATGACTATTAGTGTCATTCATTGCTCTACATTGATAAGGGCACAAGCTGCACTTTCCTTCATCTTTTTTGATAATGGATAAAACAGTTAATTATCCTGGTTTAGGAGCGCTGAGTGACTCTATATATTATTCTGGTATGGCCGATGATCCTTTGAAATCTCCATAAATAGACATTATTTACTACACAGATAGATTGACTTAAGGTTATGTGGCGATATTCATCCAAATTCAGGATCTAGTATTGATACAAATATCTGTATTGACAATATTTCTCTATGTCATGGTAAAATATGGTCTATAAGAAACAACACAAATATTTTTGAAGATTATGATGTTTTATGTATTTCAGAGACCCATCTTAATAATTCTGTTACTGATGATGATATATCACTGGAAAATTATGGGAATATTTTCAGGAAGTATAGAGCTAATTGCAGCTGTGGTGGTGTGCTCATCTATTCTAAAAATAATCGTCATAGTAATGGAAATACTTGATCTTTAGTGTTATTAACCCAGATTTCTACAGGCCAAAGTCACCACACGTAATAAACCTATATTTATTGGTTGTATCTACAGACCTCCAAACTCACTGGTTGATTATTGGGCCAAACTTAAAAATAACCTTGATGATATTATTGATTTAAAAAGGTTCTGATGTGGGGTATAAATCAAGACCATATTTGTTAATATAAATGACCTTGACCCACTTTTAAAGTCAGAGGGGTCCCTATTCAGTGCAATGACGGATTCATTCAGTATGGTTTCATCATCTTATTGGTGTTAGATGTGTATAATGTTGATACTCCTTAAAGGGTAAGCATTGTGTAAAGCCGAGGCCTTCCCACTACACCGGATAATGCATATGACTGTCATTTGTTGTTTCACGGTCCACTGGTGGGAATTAGGGCCTTGATTACTCATGTAAGGCCCATTTTCAGAAGTAATTTTCAGATCAAAATCCTACCAGAGTCATGATATTTGTGTAGTTTGATAGAGTAGTTGTAATGGTGAAATAAGGACCATGAAAGAACTCGAGGTCATACTTTGTAACCTTCTCTGGTCATACTTTGTGTGTCATCCATCTTCTGTATTGATTGATTGATTCAAGGTCACCAGGGTCAGATTTGCTAAAACATTTAAACAACTTCTTCTCATGAATGAAAGACCTGGAGACATTATGTTTGGGTGGTATATAAATATACCAGGTGAGCACTGCAGGCCCATTTTGTCTCTTGTAGGATTTTGACCAAATGTTTTGCTGAAATCATCCACTAAAAAAGGGGAGAAGGATGTGTAATTGATAAGCTGTTTTTGTTTTCTTGTTTTCCAAATGCATTGATACCAATGGTCCATGGAACTGCAGTTTGTAACAAGTGTTACTCCTGTACTGTGCCTATGTGTCCCTACAAAACCTATTTGCATGACCTGTCCATCTTTTAGTTGTGAACTTAGACATCAGATAGAACTTTTTGTCATTTTTTGTTTTCCTCTTTTACTTTCTCTTTGACTATTTCCATGAAGGGACAGAGAGTATTAGTAAGCCTGCTACTTACAGACTTAGCTGATGTCTAGAGAGCTTCTGTAAGCATGCCTTCTGTCCTACACCTCTTCCACAGCATATGGACACTGCACATCTGGATGACATGATGTTGGTGCATGACTTATGATAGATTCTGTCTACTGCTTCAGGGAACGCTTGAAAGCAGTTGTCATAGCATTATGCAGGATAAGAAATAATTACCGAATATTCTGTGTAATGAGAAAATGAAAGTTTTAAGATATATTTTTGTAAAAGTAGTTATCGTCAGTTGATAGATATATTAGACCTTGTTGATATTTTAAAGAAATAATTTTAAAGTTTAAGAATTTACTATTTATTCTCCTACTAATAGACAGTGTTAGTAACTTAGTAAAATGTGAATTACCAGACACCCTGTGTTATGTGAGCTTAGTTTTTAACCAAAAAGATTGGTCATTCTTTCTTTATACTTTTAGATATGTTGTACTGACACTCATGTAATTCAGTCTCTTACTTTGTATGCGAATCATTAATTGATAACTTTTTTTGTCGTGTATGATGATTTTATAGAAGTATCTTTGGTATAGATCAGTGGATGTTACAGTGTTTATCCTGAAATAAGTCCATTAAACACAAATTAATGTGAACACCATTCAAATTATATGGCAATTCAAATCACACTCTGTTCGTCTGTCTCTCCATAAACAATTTTTGTCACTGTTTCTTGAGAAGCACTTGATGAATCTTTCTCAGATTTTAACTGTAGGTCCTTTTTGTCCTTAGTTTTGCCCATTCAGTTTTGGGACTGATCACATAATCAACATGGCCAACAGGTGGCCATCTTGGATTTTGTCAATGGAAGTTTGTTACAGCAATTTCTTTAAGTACCAGACGGATCTTTCTCAAATTGTACATTCTTCTTGGTCCAAAGTTGTGCCCTTTTGATTTGACCATCTTGAATATGGCAGTTAAAGATTAATATTATATTATAGATATGGTGATAGACTTATTACTGGATAGATATGGTGATAGACTTATTGCTGGATAGATATGGTGATAGACTTATTGCTGGATAGATATGGTGATAGACTTATTGCTGGATAGATATGGTGGTAGACTTATTGCTGGATAGATAAGGTGATAGACTTATTGCTGGATATATGATAGACTTACTGGATAGATATGGTGATAGACTTATTGCTGGATAGATATGTTGATAGACTTATTGCTGGATAGAAATGGTGATAGACTTATTGCTGGATAGAAATGGTGATAGACTTATTGCTGGATAGATATGGTGATATACTTACTGGATAGATATGGTGATAGACTTATTGCTGGATAGATATGGTGATAGACTTATTGCTGGATAGAAATGGTGATAGACTTATTGCTGGATAGATATGGTGATAGACTTATTGCTGGATAGATATGGTGATAGACTTATTGCTGGATAGACATGGTGATAGACTTATTGCTGGATAGACATGGTGATAGACTTATTGCTGGATAGATATGGTGATAGACTTATTGCTGGATAGATATGGTGATAGACTTATTGCTGGATAGATATGGTGATAGACTTACTGGATAGATATGGTGATAGACTTATTGCTGGATAGATATGGTGATAGACTTATTGCTGGATAGATATGGTGATAGACTTTCTGGATAGATATGGTGATAGACTTATTGCTGGATAGATATGTTGATAGACTTACTGGATAGATATGGTGATAGAATTATTGCTGGATAGATATGGTGATAGACTTATTGCTGGATAGATATGGTGATAGACTTATTGCTGGATAGATATGGTGATAGACTTATTGCTGGATAGATATGGTGGTAGACTTACTGGATAGATATGGTGGTAGACTTACTGGATAGATATGGTGATAGACTTATTGCTGGATAGATATGGTGATAGACTTATTGCTGGATAGAAATGGTGATAGACTTATTGCTAGATATATGATAGACTTATTGCTGGATAGACATGGTGATAGACTTATTACTGGATAGATATGGTGATAGACTTATTGCTGGATAGATATGGTGATAGACTTATTGCTGGATAGATATGGTGGTAGACTTATTGCTGGATAGATATGGTGATAGACTTATTGCTGGATAGATAAGGTGATAGACTTATTGCTGGATAGATATGGTGATAGACTTATTGCTGGATAGATATGGTGATAGACTTATTGCTGGATAGATATGGTGATAGACTTATTGCAGGATAGATATGGTGATAGACTTATTGCTGGATAGATATGGTGATAGACTTATTGCTGGATAGATATGGTGATAGACGTTATTACTGGATAGATATGGTGATAGACTTATTGCTGGATAGATAAGGTGATAGACTTATTGCTGGATAGATATGGTGATAGACTTATTACTGGATAGATAAGGTGATAGACTTATTGCTGGATAGATATGGTGATAGACTTATTGCTGGATAGATATGGTGATAGACTTATTGCTGGATAGATATTGTGATAGACTTACTGGATAGATATGGTGATAGACTTATTGCTGGATAGATATGGTGATAGACTTACTGGATAGATATGGTGATAGACTTATTGCTGGATAGATATGGTGATAGACTTATTGCTGGAAAGATAAGGTGATAGACTTATTGCTGGATAGATATGGTGATAGACTTATTACTGGATAGATAAGGTGATAGACTTATTGCTGGATAGATATGGTGATAGACTTATTGCTGGATAGATATGGTGATAGACTTATTGCTGGATAGATATGGTGATAGACTTATTGCTGGATAGAAATGGTGATAGACTTATTGCTGGATATATGATAGACTTATTGCTGGATAGATATGGTGATAGACTTATTGCTGGATAGATATGGTGATAGACTTATTGCTGGATAGATATGGTCAAGGTTAACTTATCTAGATACAATATTGGTGTTTGGTTTCAGATATATGAGCTGGCTAAGGAGACAGTGGTACTACTTCTGGACTTCAATCCTGATACACAGGGACTCCTCGATTGGGTCATTGATCGTTGTTATACAGGTGCTAATGAGGTGGCAGATGGATGCTTCAATGCACTTGCAGCTGTATTCCAAACAAGGTCAGTATCAAGGTCATATCTGTACCGTAATCCGTGAACAAGGTTTCTTTTCTGGGTACTTAGTTTGCCTATTTTTCTGCATTACAGCAAGTAATTGACATTCACACAAGGGAGACAATCATATACAATATCTACATCAAATATACACTAGTTTACATTTATATATACACTGCACACCTTTCCCACATACAAAATTATATCACTCCCACCGATAATAAACATTTATAAAGCAAATATAAAATTAATGATAAAGTATTTTTCTCGGTTACATGACGGAATCTGTCATGAACAGAAAGTCTGTTCCAATGTTGTCAGGTGGATATATGTAAACATGTCAATTTGATGTAATAAGTCATGTAGATGAGGTAAAAACAGAAGATGAAATAAAAGGCCACTGTGGCTGCAGTCCCAGGTCTCTGATCTCCGACTCTTATGTACACACAGGAAGTGTACATTATCGGAGATTCTAGTATAAGTCTCACCAACAACAAATAATTCCTGGTCTATTTGTATATACGGTGATTAACATATATTTCAGAATACTATATACACTATATACATACACAATGAATTGCGAGTTAAGCTGGTATTTCTATACATGTACTACAATATATAGTTTACATGTAAACGATAAACTATGCAATGATGTACATATACAAAATACTTCAACTGGAATTGTACTCCTGTAATGTACATGTAAACATGCATGTTACGCTTGAATGGAGCGCACCTGTACCTAGTCTCACCTTAACAATTCATGCACACTAAATACAATAAACACCTGAAGAAATAAGGAAGTATAAAGTGAAAGAATCAGAATGTAAAACACCAAGTACTCACCACATTTTGTGGGTAGTTTTAGTACAAACACCAAGTACTCACCACATTTTGTGGGTAGTTTTAGTACAAACACCAAATACTCACCACATTTTGTGGGTAGTTTTAGTACAAACACCAAATACTCACCACATTTTGTGGGTAGTTTTAGTACAAACACCAAATACTCACCACATTTTGTGGGTAGTTTTAGTACAAACACCAAGTACTCACCACATTTTGTGGGTAGTTTTAGTACAAACACCAAATACTCACCACATTTTGTGGGTAGTTTTAGTACAAACACCAAATACTCACCACATTTTGTGGGTAGTTTTAGTACAAACACCAAGTACTCACCACATTTTGTGGGTAGTTTTAGTACAAACACCAAATACTCACCACATTTTGTGGGTAGTTTTAGTACAAACACCAAGTACTCACCACATTTTGTGGGTAGTTTTAGTACAAACACCAAGTACTCACCACATTTTGTGGGTAGTTTTAGTACAAACACCAAATACTCACCACATTTTGTGGGTAGTTTTAGTACAAACACCAAATACTCACCACATTTTGTGGGTAGTTTTAGTACAAACACCAAATACTCACCACATTTTGTGGGTAGTTTTAGTACAAACACCAAATACTCACCACATTTTGTGGGTAGTTTTAGTACAAACACCAAGTACTCACCACATTTTGTGGGTAGTTTTAGTACAAACACCAAATACTCACCACATTTTGTGGGTAGTTTTAGTACAAACACCAAATACTCACCACATTTTGTGGGTAGTTTTAGTACAAACACCAAATACTCACCACATTTTGTGGGTAGTTTTAGTACAAACACCAAGTACTCACCACATTTTGTGGGTAGTTTTAGTACAAACACCAAGTACTCACCACATTTTGTGGGTAGTTTTAGCACAAACACCAAGTACTCACCACATTTTGTGGGTAGTTTTAGCACAAACACCAAATACTCACCACATTTTGTGGGTAGTTTTAGCACAAACACCAAATACTCACCACATTTTGTGGGTAGTTTTAGCACAAACACCAAATACTCACCACATTTTGTGGGTAGTTTTAGTACAAACACCAAATACTCACCACATTTTGTGGGTAGTTTTAGTACAAACACCAAATACTCACCACATTTTGTGGGTAGTTTTAGTACAAACACCAAGTACTCACCACATTTTGTGGGTAGTTTTAGTACAAACACCAAATACTCACCACATTTTGTGGGTAGTTTTAGTACAAACACCAAATACTCACCACATTTTGTGGGTAGTTTTAGTACAAACACCAAGTACTCACCACATTTTGTGGGTAGTTTTAGTACAAACACCAAATACTCACCACATTTTGTGGGTAGTTTTAGTACAAACACCAAATACTCACCACATTTTGTGGGTAGTTTTAGTACAAACACCAAATACTCACCACATTTTGTGGGTAGTTTTAGTACAAACACCAAATACTCACCACATTTTGTGGGTAGTTTTAGTACAAACACCAAGTACTCACCACATTTTGTGGGTAGTTTTAGTACAAACACCAAATACTCACCACATTTTGTGGGTAGTTTTAGTACAAACACCAAATACTCACCACATTTTGTGGGTAGTTTTAGTACAAACACCAAATACTCACCACATTTTGTGGGTAGTTTTAGTACAAACACCAAGTACTCACCACATTTTGTGGGTAGTTTTAGTACAAACACCAAGTACTCACCACATTTTGTGGGTAGTTTTAGTACAAACACCAAGTACTCACCACATTTTGTGGGTAGTTTTAGTACAAACACCAAGTACTCACCACATTTTGTGGGTAGTTTTAGTACAAACACCAAATACTCACCACATTTTGTGGGTAGTTTTAGTACAAACACCAAATACTCACCACATTTTGTGGGTAGTTTTAGTACAAACACCAAGTACTCACCACATTTTGTGGGTAGTTTTAGCACAAACACCAAATACTCACCACATTTTGTGGGTAGTTTTAGCACAAACACCAAGTACTCACCACATTTTGTGGGTAGTTTTAGCACAAACACCAAATACTTACCACATTTTGTGGGTAGTTTTAGCACAAACACCAAATACTCACCACATTTTGTGGGTAGTTTTAGCACAAACACCAAATACTCACCACATTTTGTGGGTAGTTTTAGCACAAACACCAAATACTCACCACATTTTGTGGGTAGTTTTAGTACAAACACCAAATACTCACCACATTTTGTGGGTAGTTTTAGTACAAACACCAAATACTCACCACATTTTGTGGGTAGTTTTAGTACAAACACCAAATACTCACCACATTTTGTGGGTAGTTTTAGCACAAACACCAAATACTCACCACATTTTGTGGGTAGTTTTAGTACAAACACCAAATACTCACCACATTTTGTGGGTAGTTTTAGTACAAACACCAAATACTCACCACATTTTGTGGGTAGTTTTAGTACAAACACCAAATACTCACCACATTTTGTGGGTAGTTTTAGCACAAACACCAAATACTCACCACATTTTGTGGGTAGTTTTAGTACAAACACCAAATACTCACCACATTTTGTGGGTAGTTTTAGTACAAACACCAAGTACTCACCACATTTTGTGGGTAGTTTTAGTACAAACACCAAATACTCACCACATTTTGTGGGTAGTTTTAGTACAAACACCAAATACTCACCACATTTTGTGGGTAGTTTTAGTACAAACACCAAATACTCACCACATTTTGTGGGTAGTTTTAGTACAAACACCAAATACTCACCACATTTTGTGGGTAGTTTTAGTACAAACACCAAGTACTCACCACATTTTGTGGGTAGTTTTAGTACAAACACCAAGTACTCACCACATTTTGTGGGTAGTTTTAGTACAAACACCAAGTACTCACCACATTTTGTGGGTAGTTTTAGCACAAACACCAAATACTCACCACATTTTGTGGGTAGTTTTAGCACAAACACCAAATACTCACCACATTTTGTGGGTAGTTTTAGTACAAACACCAAATACTCACCACATTTTGTGGGTAGTTTTAGTACAAACACCAAATACTCACCACATTTTGTGGGTAGTTTTAGTACAAACACCAAGTACTCACCACATTTTGTGGGTAGTTTTAGTACAAACACCAAGTACTCACCACATTTTGTGGGTAGTTTTAGTACAAACACCAAATACTCACCACATTTTGTGGGTAGTTTTAGTACAAACACCAAATACTCACCACATTTTGTGGGTAGTTTTAGTACAAACACCAAGTACTCACCACATTTTGTGGGTAGTTTTAGTACAAACACCAAATACTCACCACATTTTGTGGGTAGTTTTAGTACAAACACCAAGTACTCACCACATTTTGTGGGTAGTTTTAGTACAAACACCAAATACTCACCACATTTTGTGGGTAGTTTTAGTACAAACACCAAGTACTCACCACATTTTGTGGGTAGTTTTAGTACAAACACCAAATACTCACCACATTTTGTGGGTAGTTTTAGTACAAACACCAAGTACTCACCACATTTTGTGGGTAGTTTTAGTACAAACACCAAGTACTCACCACATTTTGTGGGTAGTTTTAGTACAAACACCAAATACTCACCACATTTTGTGGGTAGTTTTAGTACAAACACCAAATACTCACCACATTTTGTGGGTAGTTTTAGTACAAACACCAAATACTCACCACATTTTGTGGGTAGTTTTAGTACAAACACCAAGTACTCACCACATTTTGTGGGTAGTTTTAGTACAAACACCAAATACTCACCACATTTTGTGGGTAGTTTTAGTACAAACACCAAATACTCACCACATTTTGTGGGTAGTTTTAGTACAAACACCAAATACTCACCACATTTTGTGGGTAGTTTTAGTACAAACACCAAGTACTCACCACATTTTGTGGGTAGTTTTAGTACAAACACCAAGTACTCACCACATTTTGTGGGTAGTTTTAGTACAAACACCAAATACTCACCACATTTTGTGGGTAGTTTTAGTACAAACACCAAGTACTCACCACATTTTGTGGGTAGTTTTAGTACAAACACCAAGTACTCACCACATTTTGTGGGTAGATTTAGCACAAACACCAAATACTCACCACATTTTGTGGGTAGATTTAGCACAAACACCAAGTACTCACCACATTTTGTGGGTAGTTTTAGTACAAACACCAAATACTCACCACATTTTGTGGGTAGTTTTAGTACAAACACCAAATACTCACCACATTTTGTGGGTAGTTTTAGTACAAACACCAAGTACTCACCACATTTTGTGGGTAGTTTTAGTACAAACACCAAATACTCACCACATTTTGTGGGTAGTTTTAGTACAAACACCAAGTACTCACCACATTTTGTGGGTAGTTTTAGTACAAACACCAAGTACTCACCACATTTTGTGGGTAGATTTAGCACAAACACCAAATACTCACCACATTTTGTGGGTAGATTTAGTACAAACACCAAGTACTCACCACATTTTGTGGGTAGTTTTAGTACAAACACCAAATACTCACCACATTTTGTGGGTAGTTTTAGTACAAACACCAAGTACTCACCACATTTTGTGGGTAGTTTTAGTACAAACACCAAATACTCACCACATTTTGTGGGTAGTTTTAGTACAAACACCAAATACTCACCACATTTTGTGGGTAGTTTTAGTACAAACACCAAATACTCACCACATTTTGTGGGTAGTTTTAGTACAAACACCAAATACTCACCACATTTTGTGGGTAGTTTTAGTACAAACACCAAATACTCCCCACATTTTGTGGGTAGTTTTAGTACAAACACCAAATACTCCCCACATTTTGTTTTAGCACAAACACCGTCTGACCTGACTGTTCTATACATACCAGGGTGTGTCTTATTTAAGGAATACCAAATATGGAATATAAATATTATCCAGAAAATACTATAAAATACTTACCAACATAATATGATTTGTGACAGCACTGCATTCTTGTCTTCATATGTGGGTTTTTACATATTTGCTTTTATCATGAAATGAAAGTAAACAACATCTGAAAGAAAGTTGGTTTGCAGGATCTAATAATCAAAATGAGAAAAAGATGTACCCGAAAAAGAAAAATTATTTTCTTGATTATGCCTCCGATTTTAATTTGTAATGTTCTAAACAGTGAATAGTTGTATGTTGTTTCTATACTGGTTGTTATAGGGAATACCCATGTGACCATGTTGCTATGCTCAACCTGGCTGTATTGAATGTGGGAAGTCCGCGAACACAGACACATGAGACTGCGGTACATCTGCTCCATCTACTGGACACACGCTTCTTCCAGGAGACACCTGTCTTCACTGACTCATCTGATGATCAGCGACAACAAAGTCTGCCACTCAATGATATCTTAATCTCTGTATCATACTGTCACTCACAGATGTACTTGTCAGAGCAATTAGCTCGTGTGCAGCCTGACCTCACAATGCCGATGTTCTCTGGTTAGTAAATTCTTTAGTAGTAAGTAAGCTTGCAGTGTCCTCAGCAACATGATTAGTACCCATAAGGTTGAATTTGTCCTCTCAGTGGTGTGATTAGTAAGCTTGAATTTGTCCTCTCAGTGGTGTGATTAGTAAGCTTGAATTTGTCCTCTCAGTGGTGTGATTAGTAAGCTTGAATTTGTCCTCTCAGTGGTGTGATTAGTAAGCTTGAATTTGTCCTCTCAGTGGTGTGATTAGTAAGCTTGAATTTGTCCTCTCAGTGGTGTGATTAGTAAGCTTGAATTTGTCCTCTCAGTGGTGTGATTAGTAAGCTTGAATTTGTCCTCTCAGTGGTGTGATTAGTAAGCTTGAATTTGTCCTCTCAGTGGTGTGATTAGTAAGCTTGAATTTGTCCTCTCAGTGGTGTGATTAGTAAGCTTGAAAGATTATTTAGCTGAAAATGTATGGTGTCCATACATTCCATTTAAACCACTTCTTAGTAGCCCACAGACCAAATGTCACTGTTTTTGCTGGTGGATTGCTGGGATGAATCCCGTCAAAGTTTGGAGAAAGATTTGACCATGACCCTTATTCAAGGCCACAGGGGTCAAATTAATTAAAACATTTAAACAACTTCTTCTGACTAACCAAAAAGTGCAGGAGTTTGACTGATGGGTTCCTAGGATGAGGCCTCAACAAAGCTTTTGAAAAGACATTACTTTTGCTCTTTTACCCTTATTCAAGGTTATAGGGGTTGAATTCATTTAAACTTTAAAACAACTTCCTCTGACTATCCAAAATGCACAGAAGTGTGATATTTGGCTTATAGTTTTCTAGGATGTAGATTGAGAATGTTTGCAAATAAAGAAAGACTTTGTACCAAATTCAGGGCCCACAATTCCTCAGTTACAGAGCTACTGCCATGAGCTTTTGTCATGGCGTGGCATCTATCATCCGTCCATCCGGTGTCAACTTTTCCATTTAAATGACTTTTACAATAATTATCTGACCAAATGTCATGGTGTTTGGCTGATACGTTCCAAGGATGATGCCAGACAAAGTTTGTGAAAAGAAACAACCTTGATTCATATTCACAATCATAGGGGTCAAATTATCAAGTTGTAAAAACTTGTAAAAAGTCAGAGAAGCAGGTTATTTTGTGGAAAGGTGTTTCTAGATCAAAGTCCAACAAAATTTGAGAAAAAAAGAAATGACTTTTATCTATGGTCGAGGTTATCATGATCACTGTTTGGAGTTGAGTATTAGAAACTGTTTGTTATGGAAATAAGTTAAAATTGTTTGGATGTGCCCACTTCAAAGGCCAATGATATACATGTAAATGTATTTGTTACGAGCAGCAATTCTATTTGTGATGAACATTGAATACCAGATGAACGATGAAGGCTCATTGGGCCTCTTGTTAAATAAGTCCTCCTTTAGAAGATGGACACCTTTTCTGCCCAAAGGTTGTCCCTGTGTATGATTGATCCAACTTGTAAATGTTTGAGTTTGCTACATAATTTTATATGTATGTGGTTTTCTTTTCTTTTTTTTTAACAGAAATAACCCATCGGTTCCAGACTGCCAAGTCTGCAGTTCGTCAGATGTTACTGAAATATATGCTGCCTTGGTTACATAACATGGAGCTGATGGACCCATCACTACCACAGTCCTCTCCACTAAACAATTTTCTGACTCGGTTACATGACACACACACAGACACATTCAAGCCTCCTCTTAAAGGTGAAGGCTGGGGATCTCCGGAGGCTACCAAGATGGTTCTGAATAATCTTTTTCATCTCACAGTCAAGGTATGTTTAAATACATTTTTGTAAATATTCTGTATTTTGATAAAAATTAATTCTTGAGCATCGTTAATCACTATATCCGGATAGTACAAGATGAACCTTTTTTATAAGTTTGTATGAAGGTTCCCCTTGTCCCTAATTGTGCCTGTTTTTGGACTGATCCAAAAAACAAAATGGCTAACAGGCAACCATGTTTGATTTTACACTGGAAGTTTGTTATCGTTATTGCATATTAACAACTGGATTGATCTTCCGCAGATTTCATATGAAAGAGTCCCTTGGTCTCCAGTTGCGCTCTGTTGATTTTAGGCTGATTAGGAAAATGAAATAGCTTACAGGCAGATATCTTGAATTTTAGCAATGAGAGGTTGTAATTGCAATTGTTGGGACTGCGTGATTAAAAAGACAAAAATGACTGACAGTTGACCATCTCAGATTTGGCAATTAAAAATTATTATGGCTATTTCTAAAGAGAATTTTTCAATTTTTAACCATCGGGATACTGCAGTGTCCGTCCTCGGTTATCTTTTACGATATATTGCAACCATTCATGAACGACTGAGCAGAAGTTTATCAAATTTGATGTGAAGCATTCTTAGAGAAAGGGAAAGCAATTTTGTGTAAATGGTGCATCTGGCTCCCTCATTTAGATAGTATTGTACAGTTTCTGAGGTACATGAATATATTATTTAGCAATGAAGTTGCACTGGTTGGTTGACCTAACCTTACAAACGGTATTGTAATTTCTCTGTGTTTTCTTCATCAACCTGACCTCTTTATTGTAATCATGTATAATCTTTGTAATTTTTATAGTTTGGAGATGACCATCCGAGAGAAGTGGAAGATCTCTGGTCATCTCTAGTCATCTGTTGGCCAAACAACCTCAAGGTGGTCATCCATTACCTGGTTATCATCACCAACATGGCTGCTTCGGAACTGCTACAATATGTGAGTTCTTTCAGGACTCTTTATATTCCACTTCAGATCAATGATAATTTGTGTTTACCAACAGTTTGTATTAACACACAAAAATGTAATTGATGCACTAAAGGAACACCACTGAAGAAAATGAAACATAATCAAAAGCAGAAATATATGGAAAGTCATTAAGTAGGAACTTTAAATACCGGTGGTACCTTACTCTGTATTAGTATTTGCATCCCATATCTAGAAATTTTTTTCATCGCTTCAATGACTGAAACGGCTAACAACAAATGTTTAATTAAATGACTGAACAGCTCTATTAGTCAGATGAGGGATGCATGTGCCCCTTGGGCCTCTTGCTTAGCATAATTTCTTTAACTTCCATTAGAAATATTTCAAATTTGGTTACAATTATGAACAAAGAATGACAGCTTGATCGTTTGTTTATAATGATCCTTGCTGACCCATAGGGATTGATGAGTAGGGTAAAAGGGGTCAAATTGATTCAAATTTCAAAATTCTTCTTCTCATTACCCAGATATAGTAGAATCAAATGCTTTTCATAGATGGAAGCTTTACAAAAATTGTGAATTTCATGGCCCCAGTGTCTCACATATCCCCCTAGGGAGAGGGTAAAATTTACTGCAATTTATCTAGGGAAAGTTCATTTTTGAGCATAATTTGTTTAATTTCCACTGGAAATAACTTGGTAAGAATTATTAGAATAGGATGACAGTTTTGATGGTATGCTGATATTCTAGACCCTGGCTGAGCCTCAAGGGTTGAAAACATATCACTTCAATCTTTCTATCATCGATATTACAATATCTTTATCATGCTACCTAAAAGCTACTTACCCTTTAACCTTTATATTCAATATTGCTTATCTTTGGTGACTGTCAAGGTCACTAGGCCTTCTGTATGCATTAAGATGATTTTATGGTTTGAAGTTTTGGCTTTCATGGACATATTTATAGATACATTAATTTTATAATGTTGCTTTCTGATACTTCAGATAAGGAAGATATTAAGTTCCATGTCTTAACATCAAATTTCCTTAAGAAGGTCACAGAGGCAACCAATGAAAACTTTTATTAAGAGAATATTTCCTGATGAAGGTCACAGAGGCAACCAATGAAAACTCTTATTAAGAGAATATTTCCTGATGAAGGTCACAGAGGCAACCAATAATAATAAGAGAACTTTGTGAATAATCATCAGGCCACACATTAAGTAAGCATTTAAAGAATTTATGTCCTTTCAAATCATCATTTGTAAACTTTCAGGCTAAGCGTGTGGTGAGCTACCTGGGCCGTGCCAAGCCAGAGCGACTAGTCGACGAGCTGATGAATGAGCTACAGACTGTGGAAACGCTGAATATGAGTATAGAGCGCACACAGACTCCACCTTTCTTCCGGCTCTCTCAGATCAAGAAAAGTCTGCTACATATTAACACCACTGATGATGAAAAGGTGGCGACACAATTCACTGACCACCCCCTGGAAAAGGGTACACTACATACCAAGAGACACAGCGCCAACGATGACCTACCTAGTGAAAGGTACAGCTTATAGTAAACAAGTGTACAATATTTTCTGTTGAATTACCTCAAATAGAAGATAGAATCAAAAGTGAAAATGTATCATGTAGAATTGATCCGTTGTCATGGTAGGAAATATATACTCTCCAATTTTTGTTTAATTTTGTCAGATTTTCATTGTTTTTTAAAGGGGATACAATCATCATGAGTAAATTGTTCCTTGACACTTAAGTCTCATAGACACAAAATACTTTATCATGCTGGGTAGTTGAATATTGATGTAGTAGTCTTGCTACTCATCCTCTGTATGGCCTAGCCTTTATCATGCTGGGTAGTTAAATATTGATGTAGTAGTCTTGCTACTCATCCTCTGTATGGCCTAGCCTTTATCATTCTGGGTAGTTAAATATTGATGTAGTAGTCTTGCTACTCATCCTCTGTATGGCCTAGCCTTTATCATGCTGGGTAGTTAAATATTGATGTAGTAGTCTTGCTACTCATCCTCTGTATGGCCTAGCCTTTATCATGCTGGGTAGTTAAATATTGATGTAGTAGTCTTGCTACTCATCCTCTGTATGGCCTAGCCTTTATCATGCTGGGTAGTTAAATATTGATGTAGTAGTCTTGCTACTCATCCTCTGTATGGCCTAGCCTTTATCATGCTGGGTAGTTAAATATTGATGTAGTAGTCTTGCTACTCATCCTCTGTATGGCCTAGCCTTTATCATGCTGGGTAGTTGATGTAGTAGTCTTGCTACTCATCCTCTGTATGGCCTAGCCTTTATCATGCTGAATATTGATGTAGTCAATCCCATTATTACATGTCAATTTAGCACTTACGGGAGCTGAAATTATATTTCCTAAATCATTGTTTATATCCACATTGGTAACTACATATGATTACCACAAATGTGATAATGACATAGCAACAGATTTTTTGAGGGGTTAACATGTGTTATTGCTATCATGTGTCGTCTGTTGTGCACTGTCTGCCATGTGCTGTGCACCGTCCATAATCTTTTCCCTTGAGAACACTGCTTCTGTTTAATGCCTCTGCAGATTTAAATCTAATTTTTTTTCGCTTTGGTCCAAAATCCATAACAACGTAACACTCCTTGTTAAAGTCTAGATGGATGTTAACCATATTTGGTCAGAAGCGTTGTTATAGTTGGGAAATTATTTCATAAATACAGAAAGTTGGTTCGACCCTAGGTAGCTGTGGGTGAGGCCCAAAAAGGGGAAGTTACGCCAATGTTGTGCTTCAAAATGCTGCTCTACCATAATGCTTGATTAGATTTCATTCAGATTTTGTCTTAATCATCATTAAGGGTAGGCAATTAATTAAGAAATTCAGAAAGTTGATTCAATCTCAAAGAGGGGATGGGGGGTGGAAGGGAGGGGGGGGGGGGGGAACGAAAAGGGAAAGTTGGATAATATTTTGCTTCATAATGTGCTCCTTCTTAATGCCTGTGTAGATTTCAACCAAATTTGGTCTGAAATATTATTAGAGAGTTGCAATAATACCAAATACAAAAGAAGGGATCATGGTAGTGTCCTGACCAAATCTTATTTTTAGGTCTATTCCAAAATCGAACATATTTCATTTTAAGCAAATAGTCTGACCTACTTCTCAAGCTCCATTCACACATTGACAAAATTTGAATGGTGAAAGAAAAGAAAGAAATAGAGTGTTATTTTTCAGCCTGATCGAAGCTTCAACCACAGTAGTCATTTTTGTGAAACGATTGTGCAACTGTTTTTCATTTACAGAACTTACCATTTATGAGCTTCTGATACTTTTAAGGAATGTTTAAAATTTGAATTCATCAGATTTGTCAGACCACCATCTGTAAATTCTGTGGTTTGTCCATACATTCATCGGTTGTCAGAAAGTCTTAAACCTGTGATCATTTAGATGGAAGTTGCTACACACAAAACAGTGTCATTGATATGCATGATGTTTTCTGTAAAGTTTTGGACCTACAGGTTTTACAGCTTTTTGATTGGTTCTTTGACAGCACGCCTCGCACAGAATCAACCACATCACTAAGGAGTTCCTCCAGTGCTTCATCCAATCCAGACCAGTTTTTAATGGGTATGTAAATCATATGACATTCCAGCAACTTACCAGTATTCAAGGGTGCTGTTGATTCACATCTGTAACAGGTCACTCTGAAGGAACAACTATATCAGCAGACACAATATAAACAATTCATATAACATAATTACTTAATCACAATATATACTCTGTAAACAGTGAAAAGAAAGTCACATGTGACACAACATGAACTGACATATGTACAGTATATCTAAGTGTATAAGTAGGATCATTTATTTCATCAGACGAGGATCTACACATGCCAACTGGTGGCAGGGCTAGTGAACCGAGGCGGAGTGAATCACCACTACCTTATCCCTTACCAATGCCAGCTTATGGAGGGTATTTTGCTCCCCTCACTGAATACCTGCCAGAAAATCTTCATCCCACAGCTGGCTTTCATAGGTTTGTATCCTTTTGGTAAAACTTTTAATATTCTGAAAACCTGCAAATCTTAGTGAATTTTAATGTTTAAAAAATATTGTTTTGGTATTCCTGTCCACTGTAAAAAAACTTGATTTAATAAATAATTTTGAGTTTCAAGCATTTCTGAGTAATAAATGAACCTCTTTGATACAGGAGCAACATAGCAGTAATGTTCCTGTCAGACCTGGTACTGGACGGCCTGGAGATTGACTGGTCAGCTCATCTGCCACTCATGCTACATGTCATATTCCTAGGTAATGCTGGCCACTTCTCTCCCCTTTACAGCCCTCTCTTTTCCCTTTCCCTATCTTCTACCTAATTTCCTTTTCCATATTATGTTATCATAAAATTCTGATGGTCAAGTTTTCGTTATGATACTCCCGGCTTACACAGTGTGTTATTTCGACAAATATATATTCTGTAGATATTCTATTCTATAGATTATTGCTCCTTCTTTATGTTGTTTTTGTATCAGTTGTTATGAATTATTTGATAAACATTGATGATGCACTGAAATTTCTTAATTAAACATTTGCTATTTAACAAAAATAAGAATTGGTCCTTGGGTGTGGTGTGGTCCCACCCCTTGAGACTTAGTTTCTGGGTTATATATTTCAAACAGTTGAGTTCCCCACTCCATAACCCAATCCATAACCAAATATAGCAATGATGGGCATCAATTCATGATGTAAGAACTGGCCCTTTGGTCTGGCCCCACCCCTTGAGACTTAGTTTCTGAGTTATATCTTTGAAAGAGTGAGATCTTCACTCCTTAATCATATAAAGCATTGCTAGGCATCAGGCTCTGGGGTCTGGCCGCAACCCTTGAATTTTAGTTTCTGAGTTATATTTTTGAAACAGTTGAAATTTCCACCCCATAACCATGTATAGAATTTCTTGGTATCAAAAGATAAATACATTCTTGTTGCGAAAATTGACCCTTGGGTGTGGCACTCCCCTACGCACTTCATTTCGGGGTCATATTTTGGGCACATTGGAGATCCCCACCTGATAACCATATAAACTCTAACTAAGCATCAATACAGAAAGACAGTCATGATATAGGAATTTACCCAGAGGTTAAGTGACTGAGCTTTAATTTGGAAATATTGGAAATTCCTCAACATATTGGCATGTATACCATTGCTGGGATTTAAGATGCAGGTTAGCAATACAGGCCATATGGGCCTCTTGTTTGCAAGTTGCTGCCCCTTGAATAAGTACTGTTTTGAGAAAATAATCAAAACAATGAGATGATTAAAGATGATGTAAAACTTGAACACAGGCCTGGACCATATGCGGGGAATGGTGTATGAACACTGTAAAAAGTTGCTGGAGAACTTAATGTTACTTGCTGCTGCCCAGGAACATGAAGGTGTAGCCCGGATCCTGCTGGAGTACCGTAGCAATATCACTGACACTCTCCGCCTCATGGCAGCAGATGACAAGGACATGCCCAATACCTTAGGTATGTAATGAATCATCAGAAGTGGTGCTTCAACAAGGCAAGTTTTTACAGTATTCCATTGAGGGGTAAATGTGTTACATATTGTGCCTCTGAACAAATAAATGTTTCTCAAGGGTGGTTTTGTGTTGAATTCAAAGGGTCATCTGACTCATTAGGGTCATTAAGGGTCAAGATGGTTGCCCTTACGTCCCTAGTTGTGCCTGTTTTATATTGGTAGTGATAAGAATAACAGATTGACTTCCAGGCGACCATCTTCGATTTAGAAGTTACAGATTATCATCACTATATCTGCGAAGGAATATTGAAATTTCAAAAAAAAAAGAAAAGAATGGAAAAGATGGGAAAAGATCCAACTTTTACATAACAAAGAGTCACTGTCCTTTGTTTTTTTGAACATTTTTGTCTTGTTCAGATATCTTCTGCAGTTTTTAATCAATTTCTTTGAAACTCAGAAGGCTTTAAAATCACCACATGAGATTGTGAACAGCATTTTGATTCAATTATATTTAAAAAACAAGGAGGTATAATTGCCATTTGTTCTTATCAGCATTTTAATGTTGTATAGAGATTTCTGTCAGTTTTCCTCTATCTCTTAATATCTTGATATTTCTTGATTTATCATTTAACCCTAAAGCACTGTTTACCCTCTTGATATTTTTTATTCATTTTCAACATTAATTAGTTTCATATCTGAAATTCATTTTGATATGATAAATCAGAAATATTTCATTGACCGTTGGATGGGTGATTATTGGCCCGCCTTGTGATACACTTGTTGAGATGACACCTCCTATTGATTTAGCTCATAATAATTATATAAACTTTTCATTTGAAGGATTAAATAACTGACAGAAAGATTCTCATATTTTGATGTGTTTCCAGATGGTCAAGAGAATGAATCAGTAGGAAGGTCAACATTTAGCCTGGACAGTGGTCAAGCAGTGCTGACCCCAGACGTGTCCACTCCTATAGAACAACCAGCTGACTCGGACTCCCTTAACACTGTAGAGGAAGTTGTTAAGGCAATTCTGGATTTCATGGATGCTAAGTAAGAATTGAAAACTTTGCTGTTAAGATGAATTTATATAATATATCATATGCAGTGTCTGTGAGTACCGAGTATCATACATAGCTTCTTTGAGTGTCCTCGGCACTTTGATTCTTGTGAACACAATAACTTGAGTAGATATGAATGGATTTTGCTGAGACTTGGTCTGCTATCATATATCAATAAGATCTTGAATGAGTTTGACAGTGACATTGCAAGTATTGGTTACTTCATTCATGGAAACTAGATTATGGTTACCTGGCAGTATCTAACCTAATAGCTAATATCCCCTAACTATGTGCATGGTGCCAAGGAACTTTGTGCGGTTTTACTACCACATTAATGGTTCAAGCTAAATTTGTGCTTGATATTTGGCCACAGTAAATTGAGGTAAAGTTAATGTGCAGGCTAGATCTAATATTCGTTTTAGAATTGAAAATGAATCTGAATGAATGTCAAATTTCCATAACGTGCTTTCGATATGATTGGCAGACGTGGGCGTCCCTTATGGAGCTGTGAAGATATCACACCTCGAACACTCAACACCCAAAGTGCAGTGCGTCTGGAATATTTTCTCAAATGTGTTGTGAAATGCTTCAAAGAGATGCAGCCTTTAGCATTAGTGGAACAGAGATGGTCGCAAGTGGCACTCCAGCTAGCTCTGTCATGTTCCTCGCGCCACTATGCTGGACGATCTTTTCAGGTACTGGAGTTAATTTGTACACAAAATTTTTCTTGTCACTCTTTATGAATATCCCACCACTTTTTCCATGTGAGACATATTGATTCTTTTCTGTATCTATCTTATCAACCCTTTTACCAAGAATGCCTCATTATGTATGATAGGTTTCATGGAACTTGACACATAAAGTATTATAATAACCAAACAGGCGAGTTAAGTTGTAAGAACAGAAAGTTTATAGAAATGGCAGGGTTTTATTTATGAAGCATGCATTGCTTATTCCCTGACAGAGAGGTGGGGCCCGATGGGGAAATATAAATAATTTATATAAAGAATATTCTGTACATGGAAAAAACATCAAAATAAGCAGGATATGATGATATCACATATCATATTAAGCAGGATAATATTATATCCGATATTATGTTAAGCATCCTATCATAATATCTTATATTATATTAAGCAGGATATTATAATACCAGATATTATATTAAGCGGGATATCATAATATCAGATATTATATTAAGCAGGATAACAACTGATCTTGACACCCTATAATCCCTGAATATGCAGGCAGGACACCAGGGAACCAACACTGAAGACACAGTGGGGTTGAGTCTTACTATCTGGTTTTTTTATTGAGATATTTTATTATTGTTCTAGAAGTTTAATATTCAAACAATATTCATTACAGGTTTTGCGAGCCTTACATATCCGCCCATCAACACAGATGTTGTCTGATATTTTGTCTCGCCTGGTGGAGACTGTTGCAGAACAAGGAGAGGACATGCAGGTATAAACATCAGTTGCTTTTCTAGCTCATGTAGTAATGGTCCCCAATCTCAAGAAGGTTTTAACATTTTACTTCCATATTCCCAAAAAGTGATGTACCCCAAAGGTATTGGTAAAAAGATGTAAGATGTAAATTTTAAATGAAAAAGTCTTTAGAACTTATAAAAGTTATAAAACCTTGTATCTATATTGCCTAATTAGTAGACAAATATCACTTTAAACTGATTATGAATTTTCATTATGTTATCAGGGATATGTGACAGAAATCATTTTGACTTTGGAAGCTGCTGTTGATAACCTTGACCTTGAATTTCGGCCAATGGACTTCATGAGGGAATTGTTTATTTCTACTCCAAACCTTGCAAAAGAAGGGGGTTCTGAGGGAAGAAAGAGCTGTGCATTAATGGCTCCCCTCCAGCCTTCACCCCATCATGCCCGCAGCACTAGTTACTCCCAGGGCCCAGCTCATCGCACTGCCCCTCGTAAGCACTGGATACACAAGCATTCATGTTCACATTTAAAAACTTATTTGTTTACTATACTCATAAGTCTGGTAGTTCAAAAACTAATCCAATATATTCTTTAGATATAGAAGTATTTATAGAATAGATTTTCATATATCACAAATATCAAGCCAAATCAGCTGTCTGTACATTGTTGCTGCCTAATGAACGTGTTGACTATCACCACTTGTCTTCATCATAGTATCATTGTCATCCTGGGCATTATTTTTCAATTTTGTGTACATAGGATCATAAAACAGCTGATAAATTCTGTTGATTTCATTACCACCGTGTACACTGTACACCTCGGTGGATTTGCACTTGGATTTATTGTTCATTGTTTGGTGAAGGTGACAGTTTACTCATCGTTACATCAAGTACATTCCAATTTTCTAACCGGTTATTTTCAAATTATTTTGTCATCACCAACAGAAAAGAAATTTTCACAGTTTTCACAGTTTGAAATTTTCCATTTTGTCACCTTATGAATTAATATTGTTGATTTTGTGTTGCTGTCATAATGTATGGTTATATCTGTAGAATTTGCAATATTTTAGAATCTTTTGTCTATTAATGAAAAACTATTTCTTTTTCTACATTTCCTGTTTAATAGACTTAAGAATTCGTAGTGGTACTGAAATTGAGAGTCGCATACGAGCCAACATGCCTAGGTCACGGAGTGCACATTCCCTAAAGAATCTTGACCAGAATGGGACTGAGGACAAATTGACCATCATGTCACAAATGTTTTGGATAGCAGTGTCTCTCCTTGAGAGTGACTTTGAGTATGAATTCTCACTGTCTGTCAGGCTATTGAGTAAGGTGAGTATTTGGCACATATTATGGAACTTTTTGCCCCATTCCATGTCAGATGAACAACAGTCTATTTGCTGTTATACGTTAAGCTTTCTTTTGAAATATATTTCTCATTTTGTTGGTTTTTTTTAAAATTCACTTTGCATAAACAGTACTTCGCAGTTGTGAGCAAATTTTCCTTAGAAGTTATCCGAATGCAGCGAGGTTTCTGTATGAAGTATGCAGCAAGATATATATCAGTGAATACTTGATTTTTTTCTAAATATTTTGTAGATTTTGACAAACATACAACCAGAGAGACCAGAGTGTCGGGAACGTTTGGAAAAAATCCAACAGCAGATAAAGTGGACAAACTTTCCAGGGATCCAGACTCTTTTGTTAAAGGTACTTTTCACACTGTACACATCATATTGTGTATGTCATGTATAGTGTTATATGATCATTCCCTAACATAACTGTATCTTACATTATAAAATCACACCTTCCTCACAGTGGTTTTGGTCTAATACACTCTTACAATCTTTCTTTCCGCCCTTTAATTTGGCAATATATTTTATCTGAGAAAACACCATTAGCCAATTCAAAAGTTACAAAAACAGGATTTATCATTTACCTTCATCAATCCCTTCTTATTTCTTTAATCAGAGCCCCTTGGGATTATTGCATGATATATTGTCTGTGTACTGGGTTTATCATTCCATAAACAGCCAAGGTTAAAACTGGTCATTACATCAGTAACAACCTACCAGGGTCCCATCACATGCCATCCAGAACAATAAGAGTCTTACCCATAGATACAACTATGTCAGCACAGACAGTTCGCTTTTCCAGCTTACTGGGAAATTGTCATTGGTAGGGAATGTCCAACCATACACCTCGGATCTTGAAGTTATGCAAAGACAACAATAAGAGATTTTTAGGTCATCTGACCCTTAGACCTCTTGTTATAGTTTCAATGTCATTCAGTAGCTAGAAGAGTGACACCGAGATGTTATGAAACCTTACAGGATTTTATATTTGTTGCCTTGATATGCTGTTTAATACAAAATGTTTTCTCGTTTTCTTGTAGGGGTTTACATCTGGTGCCTTATCAGAGCTCACATGGTCACTGTTGTCGCGCTTAACCGTGTGTATAGGTGCCCCTGTGGTAGACCCCACAGAAAACTTGGGTGAGTATCTCCCCTCTGTAACCCCACAGAAAGTGTAGAAAATAATGCTTTTGTCATATACATAACTTTCCTCTCTTAAGAACTTTTCATTATTTTTAGGTATGTATCCCAATTAGGTCTGATGCATCATAGGTGAAGGGGAATAAGTTTGGTTTAAATTGTTGGTGGTTGTCTTCAAGGGCGGGAGGGAAAGTGCCTAATGGGAGATGTATATCAAATTCTCTGTAATCTTTATGGTGTAGAAATACACAGTCCAGATTTGGTAGGCGTAGGACCAAAAAGAGAAAAAAGTTCAAAAATCATTTTGTTTGGATAAAGCAAAACTCACGTGAGCAATGGGCCTGTTGTCACTTGAAACAATGCTGTATTTCAGGTTTCCCTATGAATGTTGTTGCACTGTTACCCTTACTGGTACAGAACTACGAGAATCCAAGCCAGGGCTGTCGGGACGCCGCTGACCATATTGCCCAGGTACATTACTATTAACGTTAAAGTGTATTTATTTTGATAAAGATGTTTTATATTATGTCAGGGTCAAAGTCAAGATTATCGCTTATTACAATCTTCAAGGATAAAGTTTTATATTTTTTCTGTTTGATCTTAACAATTTAAGTGATACCATAAGTTAACTTTGATTTTGCAACATTCATTAACTAATGATATCACTTCATTCTTCTAAGTAAATATTGAAGTTAGCCATGATATTATATACAATGTTGTAAGAAATACAGTTGACCCAACACCATGCTTGTTTATGTTTATCAGTGTAACCAGCCAGTCCAGGTTTCTTTGTTTATGAAATAAGGACATATCTGCTGATCTTATCTTTTTCTCTGATGAACCTCCATTAAACCTTTCAAGATACATATTACTTATATCTGTAATTATTGTGATTTGCAGGTCTGTCCTGATTTATTCCTGAAATGTATATTTAAAGTGTTGTCTACCTCAGTGAACAGGCCCCATTTCATGTTAAATCAGGCAATTGATTCTTCAGGTACACTTGGGTGAAAAACATTTTAAGTATCCTGACTCTACTGCCTGACCTTCCAAAGGTAGTAGAACTGTTGAAAGAGAGGTAGGCCGGAAGTAGAACTGTTGAAAGGGAGGGAGGCTGGTAGTAGAACTGTCAGAAGGGAGGTAGGCTGGTAGTAGAACTGTCAGAAGGGAGGTAGGCTGGTAGTAGAACTGTTGAAAGAGAGGTAGGCTGGTAGTAGAACTGTTGAAAGGGAGGTAGGCTGGTAGTAGAACTGTCAGAAGGGAGGTAGGCTGGTAGTAGAACTGTTGAAAGGGAGGTAGGCTGGTAGTAGAACTGTCAGAAGGGAGGAAGGCTGGTAGTAGAACTGTTGAAAGGGAGGTAGGCTGATAGTGTTTGTGTCTAATTTACGGTTGGATAACTGACAATGATCTAGAAGGTATATAAATCATATCTTAGAATTTCCTCATCATTATGGGTCATTGATTTGAAAATTATAGAAATTTGTTATCAATTGTCAATATTGGTATATGATATCACTGAAAGTAGATCATACTTTCCCAAGTAGCAATCCTTAAATTTGTAATGAAATAAGAAACCATTTAAAAAAAAAAGACACTATCCATCATTTTTTTCTTTCAGGTTTGTTCCCAGAGATCAGATCGCCTGAACAACTTGGGAACTATCATGTCATTATATAGCCGTGGAACATTCGGTAAGGACAGCTTCCAGTGGACAAAGTGTGTCATCAAATATCTCCTTGATGTTTATGTTCCAGCTTCCTACAGTCTCATCTCCTTCCTTGTAGAGGTAAGCTTGCAACTATTTCAATAATCTTGCTAAAAATCTCTTTTATGGTTGTAATCTGCTGTTTTGTACTTTTTTTGGAGCAAAAAAAAAACGTTCTGACACAAAAAAAAAGTAGCAGTCTTTTAGATTCTACACTGTATGGTACATGGCCTGATCTATATTTTATTTGTAGGTACTAGAGAAGGGTTCTGGTACAAACCAGTTAGCAGTCTTTCAGATTCTACACTGTATGGTACACTATATGGATATCAACACCACTCCAGCGTCTTCTCTTAACCCAGAGCTCTTCCATACTATCTCCAAGCATGTCCAGGTAATTAAGCTATGTATCCCTTATAAATGTTTATCCTCCTTCCATCGTCAGTCCATCTGTTAACTTTTTAGCTCATCTGGTCCAAAAGAGTAATGGGTTTATGTGATGATGCAGTGTCCAGTAACTGTCATCCATCAATTTTAAAATCGTTTGACCTGAATGATCAGGATGACCTATAGCCATTGTGTTTTGTCTGTCATAGTACGCTATGCTTACACTTTCCATTCCACTCGTTTCAATAACCATAATGCTCAGAGTGGTGATATTAGGCCTGCAGCATTATACCACCAGAATGGATTTGTCACAAGGAACTTACAGGCCAAACATGAAAGCCTTACCTCTTACAGTGCAGTAGTTATGGCCAAGGTTGAAGTTGACAATAAACAAGCTGCAAAACAATATGCCCAGGCCTGCATCAGAACCTGAAAATAACCAGTTAATTGGATAAACAATCAAGTAATTGTAACTGGTCATGGATGATGAAATCTCAACCCATCTCCATGAACACTACAAAATATTCAAACCATCTGTGCCCTATAACCATGCACTACACTGCAAAAGGTGCAGATTTCAGAGTCACGCTTGACTGGACATGATCAGTTATCCCTCTCCAGCCACTCATCCACCCTAATGATCATATGAAGATCTTATCCTGACTATATGTCTTGAATCTTTATATAATTGATATATCAATTCCTTTACTCCTTCATTTCATTACACATCATTCTCAGCGCCTATGAGTGTCCTTGACACTACTAGTCAACAAAATAGAGTTTGAATCAAGTTTGTGTAAATGGTGGGTCTCTGCCCCCTTAGGCCTGAGGGACTGGCCCCAATATGGGATTTAGAGCAAAGTCTTTAAAATCTTTCTTCCTCTGTACGAATGCCTTGATTCTGTCCCAGCTTGGTCTAAATATTGTTGTTTAGAGACATATCAGTTTTGTGTAAATAATGGTTCTTGGTCCATTGAGGCTGTGCCCATTTGTGGAAATAAAGCAGAATCTTTGAAATAGATGGCATGGGAGGGAATGGACCCAGTATGCGAAATACTACAAATTATTTTAAAGTCTTTCTCTTTTGTGGGAGTTGATAGGATTCTCTCCAAATTTGGTCTGAAGCATTCTTGAATGAAGGAAATTGAGTATAAATTGTTTAGCTGATCCTTTAGGGGCAAAGGATCCGAGGTCGATGGGGAAAAGGTCTTTCAAATCTTTTTTCCTTGGAAAAAGTAATTTTAGAGAAACAGCCAGATGAGCAATACAGGCCCAAAGGGCCTCATGTTTATGTAATCTTGAACAATCACATTTTTACTGAAAACATAAAATCATACTGCATTTTAACAGGAGGTCAAAGTTCAATGCACTGTTTACAGGGTTTCCATTGGAGGGAGGCATTGAAGATCTTAAAACTAGCTGTAGGACGATCATCCACGCTTACTGCCGCACCACCTTCAGCCCATACAAATGAAGTCGGAACATTTATGTCGCATACATCTTTTGCCGAGGCTGAGGTCATTACCCGCAAGGAACTGCCAGGTCTGTTCATTGTTACAAAATGTATCATAATCTGCCACCCACGATGGTTTTTGACAAGGGGTACTTTTAAAGTTTTCTGCGGTTTATGGTACCGTGGAAACCACTTAATGTCACATATGTTAATGTCACTTTAATGTTAATATCACGTTTACTTGAAACACCAGTTTTTTCCCTATATCTTCTATTTAATCTTATGTCTTATGTCACTTACTTTCATACGTGCAATGCTTGATATCACTACATTTTGACGAATATCACAAAACAACACAAACGGCTATGCCCCACCTAATGACCCATGTGATGATGATTAAGAATGGATTGTCGTTGACTGATATTGTAGGACGCACACTGGACTTTGCTGTAGACTTCAGGGAGGTGGGCATTATAGGGAGAAAGTTTGTCAACACAGAAATCCATGGCTCCCTGGATGGCATTCCAGAGGTTCAGTCTTCTCCTGCAAGGAAAGGAAACCAGGATCATGACTCTGTTTGGAAGAAACCACAGAATTCACAGGTAGGAAACACTATTTGTAAAGCAAGGAATTCTGGGATTGATTTTATTAAGAAACGGTTTCAAGATAACTGGTCAATCGAGGTAACTTATTGGTCTAAGAATAAGTCTGTTGCCTTTTGTTTTTAATCAATTTGTTGACATGTTACTAGCCTGATGTCTATGGTCCAAAATCTGTCAAATATTCTTCTTATCACTATTTCTTTAAAAGTACTGGATGGTTCTTTCTTAAATTCAAATGTAGGTTAACTTTGGTTCCGGGTTGTATGCATTTGATTTTGGAACTGATATCTAAAACAATAAGGTTGACAGGTACCAGCTCAGACCTTGAAAGTTAGTTATCACTAGTTCTAGATAGGCACGGGATGGATCTTTCTGCATACATAGGTTACCGTTGGTCCCTAGGCACGGGATGGATCTTTCTGCATACATAGGTTACCGTTGGTCCCTAGGCACGGGATGGATCTTTCTGCATACATAGGTTACCGTTGGTCCCTAGGCACGGGATGGATCTTTCTGCATACATAGGTTACCGTTGGTCCCTAGGCACGGGATGGATCTTTCTTCATACATAGGTTACCGTTGGTCCCTAGGCACGGGATGGATCTTTCTGCATACATAGGTTACCGTTGGTCCCTAGGCACGGGATGGATCTTTCTTCATACATAGGTTACCATTGGTCCCTAGTTGTGCCTGTCTGATTTTAAAATTGATCAGAAAAGGGGAATGGCTGACAGGTGACCATTTGAGATTTAGCAGTTAAAGATTATTATCACTATTTTTAAAGAGGAATTTCAAATTTCTCATGATCAAGAGCAAAACAGAGGAAAAGAAGGGAAAATCTCTGTCTTTAAAAGAACAAATAATATTGGGTGACAAGATCCTGCTGAGATCTGTAGTATTTTCAACTTATGGGATCTAACATAATTCACATACTGTATTTACCTAGCAACAAGTCCTGCATATTGTATGCATTAAAATGATATTTTGCTATATTCAATTATATAAGTGAATTAGTGTGAAAAGATCACACCAGTGTGGCAAAAATCAGAGCTGAATAAGACCTTGCAGTCAGGTTGGTTAATATAATGTATTTTTCATCAACATTATGTACTGAATGTGTTTCAGACAAGGGTACGTGAGAGACTGGCAGAACTACTGACATGCTATGGACAGAAACGTCTACCAAAGAGCCCATCGGTATGTATCGAGACTTTCTTTATCCTTTCTTATAGTTCTGTATTGTGTGCTTGCTCTAATTACCAAAAGTGTTTGTATGTGATCCATGAAACAATATCAGTATTTAGTACCTGCAGTAGTCACAGTCAGATCATAGTACATAGCATTTAGTACCAACAGGTCCAGTAACCCTTCAGATCACTGTACACATTGTACCAGTACGTCCAGTAACCCTTCAGATCATTGTACCAGTAGGCCCAGTAACCCTTCAGATCACTGTACACATTGTACCAGTAGGTCCAGTAACCCTTCAGATCATTGTACACATTGTACCAGTAGGTCCAGTAACCCTTCAGATCACTGTACACATGGTACCAGTAGGTCCAGTAACCCTTCAGATCATTGTACACATTGTACCAGTAGGTCCAGTAACCCTTCAGATCACTGTACACATTGTACCAGTAGGCCCAGTAACCCTTCAGATCACTGTACACATTGTACCAGTAGGTCCAGTAACCCTTCAGATCATGGTACCAGTAGGTCCAGTAACCCTTCAGATCATTGTACACATTGTACCAGTAGGTCCAGTAACCCTTCAGATCATTGTACACATTGTACCAGTAGGTCCAGTAACCCTTCAGATCACTGTACACATTGTACCAGTAGGTCCAGTAACCCTTCAGATCACTGTACACATTGTACCAGTAGGTCCAGTAACCCTTCAGATCACTGTACACATTGTACCAGTAGGCCCAGTAACCCTTCAGATCACTGTACACATTGTACCAGTAGGTCCAGTAACCCTTCAGATCATGGTACCAGTAGGTCCAGTAACCCTTCAGATCATTGTACACATTGTACCAGTAGGTCCAGTAACCCTTCAGATCATTGTACACATTGTACCAGTAGGTCCAGTAACCTTTCAGATCATTGTACACATTGTACCAGTAGGTCCAGTAACCCTTCAGATCATGGTACCAGTAGGTCCAGTAACCTTTAGATCATTGTACACATTGTACCAGTAGGTCCAGTAACCCTTCAGATCATTGTACACATTGTACCAGTAGGTCCAGAAACCCTTCAGATCATTGTACCAGTAGGTCCAGTAACCCTTCAGATCATTGTACACATTGTACCAGTAGGTCCAGTAACCCTTCAGATCATTGTACACATTGTACCAGTAGGTCCAGTAACCCTTCAGATCATTGTACACATTGTACCAGTAGGTCCAGTAACCCTTCAGATCATTGTACCAGTAGGTCCAGTAACCCTTCAGATCATTGTACACATTGTACCAGTAGGTCCAGTAACCCTTCAGATCACTGTACACATTGTACCAGTAGGTCCAGTAACCCTTCAGATCATTGTACCAGTAGGTCCAGTAACCTTTCAGATCATTGTACACATTGTACCAGTAGGTCCAGTAACCTTCAGATCATTGTACACATTGTACCAGTAGGTCCAGTAACCCTTCAGATCATTGTACACATTGTACCAGTAGGTCCAGTAACCCTTCAGATCATTGTACTAGTAGGTCCAGTAACCCTTCAGATCATTGTACACATTGTACCAGTAGGTCCAGTAACCCTTCAGATCACTGTACACATTGTACCAGTAGGTCCAGTAACCCTTCAGATCATTGTACCAGTAGGTCCAGTAACCTTTCAGATCATTGTACACATTGTACCAGTAGGTCCAGTAACCTTCAGATCATTGTACACATTGTACCAGTAGGTCCAGTAACCCTTCAGATCATTGTACCAGTAGGTCCAGTAACCCTTCAGATCATTGTACACATTGTACCAGTACGTCCAGTAACCCTTCAGATCATTGTACCAGTAGGTCCAGTAACCCTTCAGATCATTGTACACATTGTACCAGTAAGTCCAGTAACCCTTCAGATCATTGTACCAGTAGGTCCAGTAACCCTTCAGATCATTGTACACATTGTACCAGTAGGTCCAGTAACCCTTCAGATCACTGTACACATTGTACCAGTAGGTCCAGTAACCCTTCAGATCATGGTACCAGTAGGTCCAGTAACCTTCAGATCATTGTACGCATTGTACCAGTAGGTCCAGTAACCCTTCAGATCACTGTACACACTGTACCAGTAGGTCCAGTAACCCTTCAGATCATTGTACCAGTAGGTCCAGTAACCCTTCAGATCATTGTACACATTGCACCAGTAGGTCCAGAAACCCTTCAGATCATTGTACCAGTAGGTCCAGTAACCCTTCAGATCATTGTACACATTGTACCAGTAGGTCCAGTAACCCTTCAGATCATTGTACACATTGTACCAGTAGGTCCAGTAACCCTTCAGATCATTGTACCAGTAGGTCCAGTAACCCTTCAGATCATTGTACCAGTAGGTCCAGTAACCCTTCAGATCACTGTACACATTGTACCAGTAGGTCCAGTAACCCTTCAGATCATTGTACCAGTAGGTCCAGTAACCTTTCAGATCATTGTACACATTGTACCAGTAGGTCCAGTAACCTTCAGATCATTGTACACATTGTACCAGTAGGTCCAGTAACCCTTCAGATCATTGTACCAGTAGGTCCAGTAACCCTTCAGATCATTGTACACATTGTACCAGTACGTCCAGTAACCCTTCAGATCATTGTACCAGTAGGTCCAGTAACCCTTCAGATCATTGTACCAGTAGGTCCAGTAACCCTTCAGATCACTGTACACATTGTACCAGTAGGTCCAGTAACCCTTCAGATCATTGTACCAGTAGGTCCAGTAACCCTTCAGATCATTGTACACATTGTACCAGTAGGTCCAGTAACCCTTCAGATCACTGTACACATTGTACCAGTAGGTCCAGTAACCCTTCAGATCATTGTACCAGTAGGTCCAATAACCTTCAGATCATTGTACACATTGTACCAGTAGGTCCAGTAACCCTTCAGATCACTGTACACACTGTACCAGTAGGTCCAGTAACCCTTCAGATCATTGTACCAGTAGGTCCAGTAACCCTTCAGATCATTGTACACATTGTACCAGTAGGTCCAGTAACCTTTCAGATCACTGTACACATTGTACCAGTAGGTCCAGTAACCCTTCAGATCATTGTACACATTGTACCAGTAGGTCCAGTAACCCTTCAGATCATTGTACCAGTAGGTTCAGTAACCTTTCAGATCATTGTACACATTGTACCAGTAGGTCCAGTAACCCTTCAGATCACTGTACACATTGTACCAGTAGGTCCAGTAACCCTTCAGATCATTGTACACAGTATTTCATATTTAGGATTGAAATATCTTTTTCTTTTTCTATAATCTATTAGACCACAAACTCTTTCTTAAAGAAACTGAAAAATTTTGGCAATTTCATTGACTAAGTTTTTAGCTCACCTGGCCAGAAAAGGCCATGTGATTTTATGTCGTGGAGCATCGTCTGTCCATCATCTGCAGGGGTCAGATATGTTAAAACCTTTAAACAACCTCTGACTAACCAAAAGATGCAGAACCCTGGTATTTGATTGATAAGGATGAAGCCCTACAAAGTTTGCAAAAAGAAATGACTTTATTGAAGACCACAGGGGTCAAAATTGTGGGAACATTAAAACAACTTCTTCTGACTAACCACCTGATACAGAAGGATGATATTTGGGTGATAGTTTTCTATGATGGAGCCAAACAAAGTGTGCAGAAAAAATTTACTGTGACCCTTATTCAAGGTCATTGAGGACAAATTTGTTAAAATGTTAAAATGACTTCTGCCTAACCATATGGTGAAGAAGTATGGTATTCGGCAGACATTTTTCTAGGTTTAAGCCCAACAATGGTTGAGGAAAGAAATGACCTTGACACTTATTCAAGGTCACTGGGGTTGAATATGTTAAAAACTTAAAACAACTTCTTTTGACTAACCAGAAGGGGCAAAATCATGATATTTTGCTGATAGGTTCCTAATATGATGACTGACAATGTTTTTGAAAAGAAATGACCATGACCCATATTGAGGGTCACAGGGATCAAATTTCTTGAAACTTGCGAAAGACTTCTTCTGGTAAACCAAAAGTCTGAGAAGCAATATATTTGACAGAAAGGTATTTCTAGGTCAAAGCCTGACAAATTTTGAGGAAAAAAAAAGGCATTTACTTAAAATCCATATGTCATAACTGTTGTTGTTTATAGCTGTTTGTTGTGGAAATTGATTAAAATGGATTGGATATGCACACTTTGAGTGCCAATAATGTACATTTCAATGTATTTATGATATTGACACCAATTCTTTTTTTTGATGAACATTGAACACCAGGTTAGCAATGCAGGCCCATTGGGCCTCTTGTTCTTATTTCTTCTTTGCCTAGCCTTTTAATGCACATAGGGACAACATCTGTTACATGCTTTTTCAGTCCTCCCAAAAATCAAATTAGTTACCTTTACCATGAGTTAAATGGAAAGTTGGGAAATGGAAATGGTTCTTGTCTAGCTCATGACAGACATGAATGGTAATGGTTATAAGAATCCTCCAAGGAGGAAAATATATTAGTTTGATTTTGAAAGGATGATAATTCAGAAGCAATCCTGATCATGTAATTACTAGCTGTAAGATATGTAAGGTATCTATGATATACAGTGTGATAAGTTCAACTCTTGACTGACAATTCTGAAACTTTGTCCTTCTTATTGATAATTTGATAAAGGATTTTGATCATTTTGTACCCATGTGACAATGTATTCGTGTTAAGGATAATGACATTTAAACAGCGGACAGTGATGGAAAGCTTGATATGTATGTGACATTACCTATTGTATGAAAGAAAAGTATTATTATTTGAACATTTCATATTGATCCGTGCAAGACAAGTTCCAACAGATAATTTGTTAAGATAATGTAAGATAATATGTATGAGATATTGTGATATTTAGGGTAAACTTTACTGCCAACAGGCATGTTATATTAACCTGCTTATCTTTTATCTATGCTGTGTATGCTTCATTAGGATACATTTATTAACAAGGTAAGGGGGAGATACCGGTTACCATGGTTACAGGCAACATCACTGCATGCTGCATGCCTGTGAGACAAGTCCATTATTTTCCTTTGTGGAAAGTTTTTTTTTTTTTTTTGGATAATTCCATTCTTAAAACATGACTTACATTATCATTATTGATTTAACTACATGCATTTGATAATTGAAAGGATACAATAATTATTATTATTGAAGTGAAAATGTTAAAAGAAAATATTTGAAAAAATAAAAGAGAAAGAAAGTTGAAATCAATTATGAATTCAATAGCAATATTATTAATTTTAAAATCTGTTAGTTTTGAAACAAAGGAAATCTTGGATGTTGATGTATACAAAGTGGTTAGCTTTGGGCCCTGTATTCTACCTGTTCTTTCCTCTGCCTCCACTTTCATTGTCCTCTTCTTGGGCTCACTGCCATAGATAGATGCTTCTTGTTAGAGTCCTACACACTTCTAGCTGATACAATGACGTAATGGATAGCAGCTTCTCTGTTCATTAGAAGACTCTTTTTGATTCTTGATTGGATACTTGAATATTATATTAAGGTTTGATCTACATTTTAATTAATGTATATGCTGGATATTAATTTAATGACTTATGTTTCAATACATTCTTATATCTCACTGGAATAGATCCAGGCATTACTTATGAGTAACCTATAAACGCAGATAAATACAGGTTTCTGAAGTTTTTCGTATACATTTTGTATTTTGTGCACTACGTATGTGATTTATAACAGTTTGGGGATTTGCTTCTTTATTTCATTTACAATTTTGATTCCAACAGTTGACATTAGAGGAATCATGATTTAAAACATGTCATTCCTGAATTAGGTATAACCAAGGAAAACAATGAAACCTACAAAAATCAGCTTTAATAACCACCATTATCTCACGTCATTACTGTAGTAAAACATGCAATAGATTGTTGACAGGGTTTAGCTCACCTGGTTCAAAGGAGTTTAGATTTTATGGCATGACCCCTTGCTTGTCTGTCATCCATCCGACAACTTTTTCTAAAAATTGCTACTATGACTGAGCAGATTTTTAACTAAATTTGGTCATAAGCATTCTTTAGGGGGAGGGGAACATACTTTGTACAAATGTTGGGTCTAGGGCAGGAGGGGTGTGGCCAAATCGAGCAAATTTTTAATATCATTCTCCTTCCATAGGAATTACTGGACTCTGTCTAAATCTGGCCAGAATTATCATGGGGGAAATAAAATCAATTCTGTATAGAGATTTGGTCTTGGACCCCTGGGGTGGGAGGGGCGAGGAAGAAAATAGGTGTAATAGGGTAAATTTGTGAGATCCCCTTCTTCTGTAGGAAATGTTATAATTAAATTGGATCTGAATCGGCCTGGGATAAAAAGGAATTTTGTGTCAGCAGTAGGCTCCCTGCAGGGAGTGAGACCTGGGGCTAATAAAGCAAATCCTATAACTCTTTCCATACTCGATTCAAATTTTGCGGTTGCTGCTGGAAGTTATTTTTTGGTCGTTCCTTTGCACATGACACATAACAGAACACATGGGTGTTGTGCTGGCTTCGGTAAAAGGATTATATTTATGACTGTGTGGTGCTATTAATAGGTGACATTTATATGCTGTAATTTATCCTACGAAATCCTGAAACGGTTTTTATAGAATATCATAAATACGATCAAATCACTCAATAAAATGACTGGAAGTGCAACTTTTTATGTGCTCACCATTTCACTTGTGTGCAATTTATCACTCATTCATAACCTCATCTTTTGGTTGTGTGCACAAGTTATACATATTCCTATTTTATTTTGACATAAAACCATACTCAGTTTTATATGTTTAATTGTTTTTAATGGTTTAATTCTATTTTTCTCGTCATCATTGCCTCAGAAATCAATCCAGCTGCATCTCTTATTGTTTTAATAAATGAATACACTTGAAAGAATATCATCATATGTTTATTACTAATTATCTGTTTGATTAACAGTTTGTCATCCAATTCCTTCATATGACTATTCCTAACTGGCGAATAACACAAACATGTTTTAAATGCCTCAAAACATTATGAAAGATATGGGAACACTTTTTTGTTATGTCTCAAGTATGCAAAGAGTTAAAAACCTATTCCTCTAGTAGGAATGATTGCATTTTGTCCCATTTTGGTCCTGCCCTAACAAAGATGTCAAGTGACTGAACATGTTTGAAATACCTAACCTATAGGCATGTATACCATTCCTAGGCTGTAAGATCAAGGTGAACAATACAGGCCCTATAGGCCTCTTGTTAACTCAACTTCTAAGATGAGCTGATGCCATAGTGTCTGTCAATTGTCCATTGTGTGTCAGCAATTTTTTGAAACAACTTCTGATCCTTAACCAATGAATAGAATTTTGCGTAATTTGGCTGGAAGCATATGAAGGTGGTGGAGATTGAGAATTCACCCTTCAGGGGCTGAGGGATGGTGCCAAAAGGGGGAAATTTTGGTAACATTTATTCCTAAAAACTTCTTCTCTAGAACTATGAACTGGCTATCATTCACTCATTCTGTTGGCATCCCTAGGTGGTGGAGATTCAAAACCTTTTTAAGGGGTGGGAGTTGGGGAGGGGGAGGGGGGGGGGGTTGTGTGTGAATCTCTTAAGGGGATGAGGGTACCAAAAAGGGTTATTTGGTTCTGATTGTTTGAAACAGCTTATTCTCTTGAATAAAGTAATGGATATCACTTATAGAATCACTGGTAGAACCCTGAAGTGGTTGTGATTTAAAATTGTAAAATCCTTCTTCTTTTGTAGAAATATCAAGATTCTTTCCCAATTTTGTCCAACTGATCCTTGGGTGGAAGGAAATATATTTTGTTTAGATGGTGGTTCTAAGCCCACTGGGGTAAGAGGGGTGTTGCCCAATGAGGAAAGTAGAATAATTTCTTCAAAATCTCTAGGCTGGGCTCTTTGGAGCAGGAGAGGAAAATCTCAGTAGAGGAAACAATGCAAATTCTTGAAAATCTCTTTTCTTCTGTAGGAATACCAGGTTTCTTTTTCAGTCTTTCATCTTTGGTGAGGGAAATCAATTTTGTACAAACGATGGATCTCAGGTCTTCTAGGCCTCTTGTACTTTTAGGAACTTCTACATGTACTGAATTGAAACATGTAGTGTGTTTCTTTGCCATGTTTATATCCAGTAATAACATCATGATGGGTAGATTGATCTATTTGCTTGTCAAGGTAATAGCTTCGGGTGAAAATATGTCACCATGGTTACACTACCTGGTTGTTTCTGGCTCTCCAGCACTTCAGCCTACAATATATTTTACATACAATGGCACTGCAGTTGTTTAAGTTGAGGGATGACAGAGGTGGTTGTTTGAAAAAAGCACTGTTTAAATTTATCACCATTGTGTATCAATCAGTGATAAGGTCTGAAAATAATTCTGTAGGAATTTTTCAGTTCTCCTTGGTCTAAACATTTCTTCAGTTGATATTTCTGGGTGAAACTCTATGTCCCTTGCTTATTTTTTACAACTTTTTTTCTCTCATTTTTGTATCGAATTTTGTAGAAATTTACTCTATGTACTCACTTGCAATATAAATCTTGTGATTTTGATCATTAAAGTATTAAAATCATCCTAGGTATATTCCTCCTAGACTTCAGTTTGCTTAACAGCTGTTATAGATCTATCTTTGAGTTCTGATGCTTACAAACACATCATATTTTTATATCTATTGCTTATTGTTACTGCCCTTGTAAACTCTTTGTTTAATCAAATGTCATTTTGTAGGGTACTCTTGTCTCTTCACTTTGTCTATAAACACAATTACAGAATTTAGAAATTGTCTTGGAAATATCCTGACCATTTTTGCAATTCAAGCATTAATTTTACTTTAATTATGCAGTTGTTCCTTAAAAAAATACAGATATTTTCAATTTAGATTATATATGAATATAATATACTCTTTTTGTATATGAAATCAAAGGTTTCATCTTTATTAGGCTACTGATAAAAGCAAACTTTTCATGCTTCTAAATCATAGGATCTTGATGTGTTTTTACTGTGAGCAGTATACAGCTCCCAATACTACAATATAGTAATTGGTAAACTGGTATGTGTAGAGAATAGGTTAACTGTATCCTTAGTACTGATTTTAGAACAGGATGACCAACCTATGAGAGTTTTTGTTAAGATCATGTATTAAGATACCAGAGGTCAACAATCTACAAACTTTATGTGTGGATTGGTTGGTTACATGGTGACCTTGACATTGACTATTCTTCAATGTTGTCCCTCTAAGGAATGTCAGTGTTCTGGCAATATTTTTTTCTTTATTTTTTTTTATTCACTCTCGGATGCTGCTTTCCACATTATATCTTTTGAAGGACTGGCAGATTTTGATGAAACTTGGTTGGTACACTTGTTACCTTAATCCCTTGCCCAAGTTTTATTTACAGCAAATTTTGTGCATAATTAATGAAGATGCTGTGACCTGATTGGCTGATGTCTTTCGGCACTCTAATTGAATGTTTTTCACTCGTTATCTTTTGAAGGAACAAATGAATTATGATGAGACTTGCTTGGTAGACTTGTTACCTTAATCCCTTGTTAATCTGCTGTGACCTGATTGGCTGATATCTTTTCCAATTTTCCATGTTGCTCACTTTAAATGTATATATGTTACAAATGAACATGAGTGGGGGATCTTGATGACTATGTCCTTGTTCTGACCTTGACATTAGAACAAAAGCAAAGCTGATATATATTCTGTTTTTGCACTGATTACATCATTATAAAGGAGTTACCTTAGTTTCATAGGAACTCAGCGTGTGTGTACTCTGGACTTTCTTGATACAAATCATTTTGCTGGCTCGTTTTTGTGTTTTTAAGTCACTTGAGCTTCGAGGTGACCTATTGCGATACCCTTTTGTCTGGCGTTCTCTCTCATGCATCCATAGACTTTGTACATTTTCTTCTGGAAAACTTTCATGACCCCAGGATATCTTTCATTTCCATCTGGGGAAGTAATAAAGTTAATATAGTTTATATAGGTGTAATAGAGGTCATTTTTAATCTCAATGCCTCCGCTAGGAATCAAACCCGGGACCCCTGGTTTACTAGTCTGACGCTCAACCAATCGAGCTAAAGAGAGATTAAAAATGACCTCTGTTACATAGGAAAAAAAAATTGGAACCTAATTTATTTATTTTCCATTGAAAATAGATCAGACTTGGTTAGAATTGTTAGTAAAGGACGGCAGTTTGTTGTTTATGACACTGTCTGACCTGCAGGGGCTGATGGGTCAAAAGGATCGGATTAGCTGAAATTTCAAAAATCTTTTCCTTAATGCTGTTATAGAATGTAGCCAACATGGAACACAATACAATTTTTATGTAAGGGAATTGTTTATGTTATAGAAACCGTGAGGATCATTTTGGTAAAATAAGGTATACCTTGTACTTTCCCTACCACAAAAGTAGCATGGTGATTGATCGATGATTGACCCACTGTTAAATTTATTGAAATTTTTTTGTCTACTAATTCATATAAATTTTTTTCCTGTTCTTTGATATTGCATCAGAGATTAAATGTTGATAATGAACTGTTTAATAATATATATCTGTCATTCTCTCTGAGATTAAAGTCAACTTTGGTGATTTTAATTATCTGGATCGAGGTATACACATGATGTGACTACACCTAAACATGAGAACAAAATGCTTATACGATGATATTAATCAGATTAAAACATAGATCTGCAGTCATCTAATGTTTCATTACGTAAATGGTTGTGTATTTCCACCCAAGCTACACAATATTTAAATAAGTTCTGGTTGTCTCCCTTGTAGGTGATCTTCAGCCAGTCAAGTGACACACTGGATCACCAGCACAGTGTAGCCTCCAGTGGAGAAGAGACCTCCATACCAGATAATGCTGCAAGTAAGTCTCTAAACTTTTATCCATACAAGTCTCTAAACTTTTATCCATACAAGTCTCCAAACTTTTATCCATACAAGTCTCTAAACTTTTATCCATACAAGTCTCCAAACTTTTATCCATACAAGTCTCCAAACTTTTATCCATACAAGTCTCCAAACTTTTATCCATACAAGTATCCAAACTTTTATCCATACAAGTCTCCAAACTTTTATCCATACAAGTCTCCAAACTTTTATCCATACAAGTCTCCAAACTTTTATCTATACAAGTCTCCAAACTTTTATCTATACAAGTCTCTAAACTTTTATCCATACAAGTCTCTAAACTTTTATCCATACAAGTCTCCAAACTTTTATCCATGCAAGTATCCAAACTTTTATCTATACAAGTCTCTAAACTTTTATCCATACAAGTCTCCAAACTTTTATCCATACAAGTCTCCAAACTTTTATCCATACAAGTCTCCAAACTTTTATCTATACAAGTCTCTAAACTTTTATCCATACAAGTCTCCAAACTTTTATCCATACAAGTCTCCAAACTTTTATCCATACAAGTCTCTAAACTTTTATCCATACAAGTCTCCAAACTTTTATCCATACAAGTCTCCAAACTTTTACCCATACCTGACAGTCACTATTCATGTAGTAATGTCCCAGTTACATTTAAATCTCAGAAATCAACATTCTTTTTGACAACATGAAGCATTCCGAGACGGTCCTTTCCCTTCCCCTAACATACATATTTCTTCATAAATTGAGCACAGCTTTTGAGTCCCAGACACTATTTATTGTGTTTTTTTTTTCAATTAACTTGAGCTTATTTTAACGCTTTTATTCTCAGACAAAATTATCCTGTATATCTGTCTGCCTGCAAACACAAACATAGGTATTAGTTGGTGATATACAGCTCTCATTGCTTGTCATGCACTCATGATAACTATATATCTCATTTTCAACATGTTTGGGGGTGGGGGTTTGTAGGGGGGGGGGGGACAGTGTCTGATCATTAAACACAGCTAAATGACAATCTATTTTTACCTGTAAATCCTTTATTTCTAAAAGATTTTTTATGCTCCCTGAAAATGTTCAGGACCCTTAACCCCTCAATTAGTCATTGCCCTTTGTTAAAATTTTCTATCTGGAGCATAACTTTGGTTGCATTTAAGCTATGATAACAAAACTTGGTATAGACATTGATCACACTAAGACAAAGTGCAATTTATTAAATTCAGTTTCCTTCACCCCTCATTTACAGAGTTATTGCCCTTCATGAAAATTCGCCAATTATTCATGTCCCATGCATGGTTGGTTTGGAGAAGTTTCACTGTACATTGATAATTCTATGACAATGTGGTGTGTACCGAATTTAGGGCCCTCAACTCCTCAATTACTGAGTTATTTCAATTTGTTAAAAATATTTTTTCAAGGGCATAACTTTGCTTGCATTTAAGTTTGGATAATGGAACCTGGTGATCATTGATCATACGAAGGCAATGCACAGAGTACCAGTGTTAGGGCCTGCAACCCATAAATTACAGAGTTATCGTCCTTTGTTAATGTTTTGTGTCATGAGCATAGCTTTAAAACCAGGATCTTGAAACTTGGGTGTGTACCTTGGTCATGCTAAGAAAGTGTGTGTTATATTATATTGAGGTCCTGCAACCCCTTAAATACAGAGTTATTACTATTTGTACAAGTTTTGTGTCCAATAAAGTCATTTTAATTGACAGAAATTTCAGTGAAATTACATCTGCTTCTCAATTTGAACACAAAATAAAACACTTGGGCTTCAATAATTTTATATTCAAACTGAAATTGGAAATTCATTTCGTATTGATTAGTGAATTATATACTCAATGCTTCACGACAGAAGTGAAGTTAGTTATTTTCTCTGTAAATCACTTGATCCCCAGATTTCAATGAACCTATTAATTAATGGTATAGATTTAAGCAATACTATAATATAGAAGTGTATTACTGGCATCCCCCATAGGTTAGCATCTTCAGCATGACAATATAACTCGTTAAGGGAATGAGTTGTCCTTGAATTTCAGTCTTGCCTGAAAAATTTTAGGCTTTGACTGAAAAGTCGTTCAACTTTTGTCTCTGATGTTAAAATAAAATACCAAACTGACAAGGCAATTAAAAGCAGATCTTCAGAGTGTCCTGCTACAATCTTGTCAGAGATATATTTGCTTCCTTTGTTGCAGTTGTTACAAACATATAGTGGTGACCTCCCATAAAACACTGAATGTAAATCATAATATACTGTCATATATAAGGTTACCTGAATCAGTGTCCCTGAAAAAGTTTTGGTCCTTGTCAGAAAGTTTTAGATAGGTCTGGAATCCGCTTCTTAAAATATATGCAAACATTGGTTTGTGAACAGGTGTTTATAAACTTCTATACTTTGTTTATCTCGTTGGTTTCAGGCGACATCCTGCTCAGTGAGCCGAATGTTAACGACATTAATTTGACCATCAAAGGTTTCGACTTTCTGGACAACGAGTTGGAGGATTCAGAGGTAAAGAGACAGAAGTCGATATATAGGAAGATCATGTGGTTAGATGTTTGTTTTGATGATCGACTGGAATATTCAGAAATGTGGTATTTGATTGGTTGGTGATCTAGTGTTATTCAGTACAACAACCAATCAGATACCTCGTATTCTGTGACAAGTTATTATGTTGTTTTATTATTTGGTTAGTTATGCCTTTACTGATTCTTATTATGGTTTAGGATTTATTTCATTATGGCCTTGAATAAATTGAATTTCTTTTTATTCTTATTTTGAATCTTCCAGGAGAATGATTTCTATCCAAGCTTAGACAGACGGCACTCATTCAACCTCAATTCTCCAGAAATTGAGAGGGAGCGTCACCATCACTTTGGTAGTGTACCTGACCTTAAGCTTATTGGTCACCTGGCCATTGCTGAGAAACCAGTGACACCTAGTGACAGCATCAGTTTAAAAGAGGAGAGAATCTCAGACAATGAGGTGAAGTAGTTTACCAGCATCATGAATATTGAAAGTAGCCAACTTTTCCAAGCAAACCAATGAAGTGATTGTAGAAAAGTCATCATTATCACATAATCTAATGTATTCCTAATAGAATATCACATTCCCAATTTTATAACCTCACCAAGTCTAAACGCTTAATATCACTTCATTTTGCCGACTATCACAAAAAAAAAAAAAAATGGTTAATCACAGGTAAGTGAGGAAAGGATCTATGGATTCATGCCTGAAGGGTCATATGTCACACCTGAATGCATTATGTAAACATTGTCACTGACCTTTTGGCCAACTTTTCACACCAAGCGTGCAACTCCTAAACAATAAGATTGACCTGTTTACCTGTTAGTTCTTATCAAAAAACAAATAGAATTTTGAATCTATCTTCAAACAATTTCTGTTACCAGGTAATCTATGGGTCTCCTGGTGCAGGGCTAAATAGGGGAAATAGAACAAATTATTTAAAATCCTACTCCTCCTGTAGTAATGATTGGATTTTGTTGAAATATGGTCTGTATGGTGCAAAGGTGAAGGGAAATCAATTTTGTATTGAGTGTATGTAACTGCCCCTTGGGACAGGAGGGGAGAGGACCATCAGGGGAAAAAGAGCAAATTCTTCAAAATTCTACTCCTCTTGTAGAAATGATGGGATTTTGCCCAAATTTGGTCCGAAGTATGTTTGGGTGAAGGGAAATCAGTTTTGTGTAAATGGTGGGTCTTGGACTTCAAGGACAGGAGAGGAACAGGCTCAATAGGGGAAACAGGTTTTATCTTTGAGATTCTCACCCCATAACCATATAGAGCAATGATGGGCATAAAGTGATAAACACAATCATGATGTTAAAATTGGCCCCTCTGGACTTCAAATTTCTGAGTTGTAGTTTTGACATGGCTGAAATCCCTATCCCATAACCATATGTAGAATTGCTTGGCATCAAGAGGTAAGCACAGCCATGGTGTAACTGAACCTTGGGTGTGAATCACCTCTAAGGACTTAATAAGTTGGTTAAATTTTTAGCTGGTTTGAAGGACCATTGACTTTATGCCATGGTGATCTGGCATCCATCATCTGTCCATCATCTTTTTCCTAATAATTGCATGAATAGTCATGAACAACTACACAGATTTTGACCAAATTTAGTTAGAAGCATTCTTTTGGGGAAGGGGAACCAAGTTTGAGTAAATTTTGGTTCTCAGCCTCCAGGGGCCAGAGGAGCAGGGCCCAAAAATGGAAATTTTGTAAGTTCTTGAAAACCCTACTCCTGTAAGAATGATTGGATATTGCCCAACTTTGGTCTAAGGCCAGAGAGGTGGGGTCCACTTGGACAAATATTAAGTTCTTAAAAATTCTTCATACGTTCAGGGGTAGTGTCCAAGTTTAGTCTGACGAACATTTTATAAATAGTGAATCTGACTTCTGTTTGACCACAAGGCTGGAACCCAATAGACTTTACAATAGAATTTATTTGTTATATCTGAAATTCTTTATTAAAAGGCTGAATAGCTAAATTACCAAGGTGACCAATTAGGACTGAAGTATCATTTGGATGACAGGGGTAAACCAACGTTTTCTGCTTTCTGGGGCAGAAAGGACAGGGTCCTATAAGGAGATAAAAAAATTTCTTAAGACCCTCCTTCATTTGTGGGAATGTTTATATAAACAGTGGTTCTGGCTTTCATATGACCAGAAGGCTGACTGAATGGCTGAATTAGCTAGGTGAGCTATACAGTCCCTATGGGCCTCTTGTAGGACCTAAGGTGTGATTGTTATTGTATGATAACTTGGTGTTTCATTTGGTGTAGAGTGAGAACATGACCCCTGAGGACGATGGCGTGCCCCAGAACCTACCAATGGGGACCACCATTACCATACAGAACCCCATGTTGGATGAGCGTCGTCACTCAAGTCCAATAACCACAAGCTCCACGTAAGTAAATAATTATTTTTCAGTGTGTCAGGGAAAGATACTACCCAGGCAACTAGGTATGTTTGAACTATAATAAGATAAAAAATCACTTAAAAAAAGTTATCTTGTCACTTAATCTTATTAGGGGACATAGTTTACCAAAAAAAAGTATTTTTCTCTAGTGATGATTAAGCAGTTTTAGCCCAAGCAAGCTGAGCAATACAGGTCCTTTGGGCCTCTTAATATCAATACAGACTGTTACGGTATTTAGATGTTCTTTCTTGTTTATCCTAAATACGGAAGTTGTAGAATATAGGACAAATGTGCTGGTAAGTGTAGTTTTCTTGTGTATGTTTCCTAGTCGCAGTCTACACAGTACCAACAGTGAACTTGATCTGGTTGAACTGAGTTCCAGTACGGCCTCCCCCAGTTTCTCTGGTCTCCAGTCAGTTTACCTGTACCTGACCATGCAGAGTGACGAGGTCGAGGATGCATGGAAATCTCACATGGGGCGTATCATGTCAGGATCATCAGCCACCCTGATGCTCAATACCACACAGATCTTCCCAAGGCTGTACAAGGTAATCTGGTATCACAAAACTGTTAGTCAGTAGATTAAAGGACCCAACAGTTCATGTATATCTAGATGCTGCAAGAGTCATGTGACGTACATGTATATCTTGGTGCTGTAACGATCATATGACGTACATGTATATCTTGTTGTAACGATCATATAAGTTACATGTATATCTTGGTGTTGTAACAATCATATGACGTACATGTATATCTAGGTGTTGTGACAATCATATGATGTACATGTATATCTAGGTGTTGTAACGATCATATGACGTACATGTATATCTAGGTGCTGTAACAGTCATATGACATACATGTATATCTTGGTGCTGTAACAGTCATATGACGTACATGTATATCTTGGTGCTGTAACAGTCATATGACATACATGTATATCTTGGTGCTGTAACAGTCATATGACGTACATGTATATCTAGGTGTTGTGACAATCATATGATGTACATGTATATCTAGGTGTTGTAACAATCATATGACATACATGTATATCTTGGTGCTGTAACAATCATATGACGTACATGTATATCTTGGTGTTGTAACAGTCATATGACATACATGTATATCTTGGTGCTGTAACAATCATATGACGTACATGTATATCTTGGTGTGGTAACAATCATATGATGTACATGTATATCTTGGTGCTGTAAGGTTGATGTGAAGTAAATATATGTCCTGGTGTTGTCATATTAATGTGAAGTACACGTTTATCTGGATAGTGTCAGGTTAATATTATGTACATGTATATCTGGGAAGTGTAAAGTTGATATGAGATATCTGAAAACTTTGAAGTTGATATTAAGTACAGGTAAATTTGGGTACTGTAAAGTTGATATGTACATCCTGGTATGGTCAGCTTAATATGAAGAACATGTATATATGTGTACTGTAGTGTTGATATTTTGTACATATATCTGGGTATTGTGCGGCTGATATGAAGAACATGTATATATGTGTACTGTAGTGTTGATATTTTGTACATATATCTGGGTATTGTGCGGCTGATATGAAGAACATGTATATATGTGTACTGTATTGTTGATATTTTGTACATATATCTGGGTAATGTGCGGTTGATATGAAGAACATGTACATCCTGGTATTTTCAAGTTGATAATAAGTACATGTATATCTAGCTTTTGTCATGTTGATACGAATAACATGTATTCTCACTGTTTGGGATCCTTTTTATTGCTTTCTGTAAAAATGGCAACCATTAATTAAAAAAATAAGTCTTTCCAATTTTAAATCTAAGGTATATTTGGTGTAAATATTTAAGTCTTGTTTATTTAGTGATGTATATGTTGTAGGAATTACGTAGAAGACTAGACACCATGACCAAGGAATCCAGCTACTACATTGCAAAAACAGAATCACTTAAACAGATTGCCACCTATTTCAGTATCCTTAACTCAGTTTCTATCACTTACTATATAGATACATGTTTGCTTATCTCAATCTAATTGTACTTTTGGAATGTTATACAGTCATCCTAATTCACTTACTTTCTAGGATACTCTATAAGTCATCCTTAGTTACTGTCTAGGATACTCTATAAGTCATCCTTAGTTACTGTCTAGGATACTCTATAAGTCATCCTTAGTTACTGTCTAGGATACTCTATAAGTCATCCTTAGTAACTGTCTAGGATACTCAATAAGTCATCTGTAGTTACTTTCTAGGATACTCTATAAGTCATCCTTAGTTACTATCTAGGATACTCTATAAGTCATCCTTAGTTACTGTGTAGGATACTCTATAAGTCATCCTTAGTTACTATCTAGGATACTCTATAAGTCATCCTTAGTTACTGTCTAGGATACTCTATAAGTCATCCTTAGTTACTGTCTTGGATACTCTATATGTCATCCTTAGTTACTGTCTTGGATACTCTATAAGTCATCCCTAGTTACTGTCTAGGATACTCTATAAGTCATCCCTAGTTACTGTCTAGGATACTCTATAAGTCATCCTTAGTTACTGTCTAGGATACTCTATAAGTCATCCTTAGTTACTGTCTAGGATACTCTATAAGTCATCCTTAGTTACTATATAGGATACTCTATAAGTCATCCTTAGTTACTATATAGGATACTCTATAAGTCATCCTTAGTTACTGTCTTGGATACTCTATATGTCATCCTTAGTTACTGTCTTGGATACTCTATAAGTCATCCTTAGTTACTGTCTTGGATACTCTATAAGTCATCCTTAGTTACTGTCTTGGATACTCTATATGTCATCCTTAGTTACTGTCCATCCCTAGTTACTGTCTAGGATACTCTATAAGTCATTCCTAGTTACTATCTAGGATACTCTATAAGTCATCCTTAGTTACTATCTAGGATACTCTATAAGTCATCCTTAGTTACTATCTAGGATACTCTATAAGTCATCCCTAGTTACTATCTAGGATACTGTATAAGTCATCCTTAGTTACTATCTAGGATACTCTATAAGTCATCCTTTGTTACTTTCTATTATCCTCTGTAAGTCATCTGATACATATTGTAGTTTTACAACTAAATCCCATTGAAGTAAATTGACCTTAACAGAGCTCAGGGCAGCTTCTGGATACCATGTTCATCCATATTGACTGTCCTTACTTCTTCACTGACAGTGACACGGTGAGTAATTCATATACTTACTTCTAGGAAGTAGATATAAACCCTTACATGGAAAGTATTGGCTAAAAGATGGCTCTCTGTGGCACCACCTAAATTAAATCTCAAGTAATAGGATTGAAATTATCCCAGCTGTAGTTCTTCACGACTAAGTACATCAAGGACATTAGTAGTTACTGACTGTACTTCTGTTATACTTCAGTTGAGTGGAAGTCGTGTTGCTGACAGACACAAGTTCAGCCTCCTAGAGATGCAGGAGTGTTTTGAAACCTACTGTATGAGGAAGGACCAAGCAGAACAGGTAAGAACTCTTCGGACATGATAAATGCCTGAGGAATGTTTCTGATGATGATGGGTTATTTAAAACACCCTATGTCCATGATCCCTCATCCAGCCGTCTGTCCCTCCCTCTATCCATCCGTCTGTCCATCCCTCCCTCCGTCCATCCATTAGAAACAGTGATAACAAGGGTTGTTAAGTGATGGACGGACAGTTCAACTGTTATCACTGTTTCTGGAGAAATACATGATGTATTTTTCTTGAATTTCATATAAAGGTTCTCTTCGGTCCCAAGTTAGCTAACCTTGCCCGAAGGGGAAACAACTTCTTCTAAAAAACAAACGGACCAAATATTTAGATATTTTGCAGGTATCTTCCTAGGATGAAGCCTAATGAAGTTTGTTAAAAGAAATGACAATTAAATCATCTACTGGGTTTCTGGAATACATACAATTAAATCATCTACTGGGTTTCTGGAAACATACAATTCATCTACTGGGTTTCTGGAAGGTATACAATTAAATCATCTACTGGGTTTCTGGAATACATACAATTAAATCATCTACTGGGTTTCTGGAATACATACAATTAAATCATCTACTGGGTTTCTGGAATACATACAATTAAATCATCTACTGGGTTTCTGGAATACATACAATTAAATCATCTACTGGGTTTCTGGAATACATACAATTAAATCATCTACTGGGTTTCTGGAATACATTCAATTAAATCATCTACTGGGTTTCTGGAATACATACAATTAAATCTGGAATACATACAATTAAATCATCTACTGGGTTTCTGGAATACATACAATTAAATCATCTACTGGGTTTCTGGAATACATACAATTAAATCATCTACTGGGTTTCTGGAATACATACAATTAAATCATCTACTGGGTTTCTGGAATACATACAATTAAATCATCTACTGGGTTTCTGGAATACATACAATTAAATCATCTACTGGGTTTCTGGAATACATACAATTAAATCATCTACTGGGTTTCTGGAATACATACAATTAAATCATCTACTGGGTTTCTGGAATACATACAATTAAATCATCTACTGGGTTTCTGGAATACATACAATTAAATCATCTACTGGGTTTCTGGAATACATACAATTAAATCATCTACTGGGTTTCTGGAAGGTATACAATTAAATCATCTACTGGGTTTCTGGAATACATACAATTAAATCATCTACTGGGTTTCTGGAATACATACAATTAAATCATCTACTGGGTTTCTGGAATACATACAATTAAATCATCTACTGGGTTTCTGGAAGGTATACAATTAAATCATCTACTGGGTTTCTGGAATACATACAATTAAATCATCTACTGGGTTTGTGGAAATGTATACAATTAAATCATCTACTGGGTTTCTGGAAGGTATACAATTGAATCATCTACTGGGTTTCTGGAATATACAATTAAATCATCTACTGGGTTTCTAAATCATCTAATATACAATTGAATCATCTACTGGGTTTCTGGAATATATACAATTAAATCATCTACTGGGTTTCTGGAATACATACAATTAAATCATCTACTGGGTTTCTGGAATACATACAATTAAATCATCTACTGGGGTATACAATTAAATCATCTACTTGGAAGGTATACAATTAAATCATCTACTGGGTTTCTGGAAGGTATACAATTAAATCATCTACTGGGTTTCTGGAAGGTATACAATTAAATCATCTACTGGGTTTCTGGAATACATACAATTAAATCATCTACTGGGTTTGTGGAAGGTATACAATTAAATCATCTACTGGGTTTCTGGAATACATACAATTAAATCATCTACTGGGTTTCAGGAATACATACAATTAAATCATCTACTGGGTTTCTGGAAGGTATACAATTAAATCATCTACTGGGTTTGTGGAAGGTATACAATTAAATCATCTACTGGGTTTGTGGAAGGTATACAATTAAATCATCTACTGGGTTTCTGGAATACATACAATTAAATCATCTACTGGGTTTCTGGAATACATACAATTAAATCATCTACTGGGTTTCTGGAAGGTATACAATTAAATCATCTACTGGGTTTCTGGAAGGTATACAATTAAATCATCTACTGGTTTTGTGGAATGTATACATTTAAATCTTCTACTGGGTTTCAGGAATACATACAATTAAATCATCTACTGGGTTTCTGGAAGGTATACAATTAAATCATCTACTGGGTTTCTGGAATACATACAATTAAATCATCTACTGGGTTTCTGGAAGGTATACAATTAAATCATCTACTGGGTTTCTGGAATACATACAATTAAATCATCTACTGGGTTTCTGGAAGGTATACAATTAAATCATCTACTGGGTTTTGGAAAATTAAATCATCTACTGGGTTTGGTATACAATTAAATCATCTACTGGGTTTCTGGAAGGTATACAATTAAATCATCTACTGGGTTTCTGGAAGGTATACAATTAAATCATCTACTGGGTTTCTGGAAGGTATACAATTAAATCATCTACTGGGTTTCTGGAAGGTATACAATTAAATCATCTACGGAAGGTATACAATTAAATCATCTACTGGGTTTCTGGAAGGTATACAATTAAATCATCTACTGGGTTTCTGGAATACATACAATTAAATCATCTACTGGGTTTCTGGAAGGTATACAATTAAATCATCTAGGAAATATACAATTAAATCATCTACTGGAAGGTATACAATTAAATCATCTACTGGAAGGTATACAATTAAATCATCTACTGGGTGGAAGGTATACAATTAAATCATCTACTGGGTTTCTGGAATACATACAATTAAATCATCTACTGGGTTTCTGGAAGGTATACAATTAAATCATCTACTGGGTTTGTGGAAGGTATACAATTAAATCATCTACTGGGTTTGTGGAAGGTATACAATTAAATCATCTACTGGGTTTGTGGAAGGTATACAAAATCAATTAAATCATCTACTGGAAGGTACATACAATTTCTACTGGGTTTCTGGAAGGTATACAATTAAATCATCTACTGGGTTTCTGGAAGGTATACAATTAAATCATCTACTGGGTTTCTGGAATACATACAATTAAATCATCTACTGGGTTTGTGGAAGGTATACAATTAAATCATCTACTGGGTTTGTGGAAGGTATACAATTAAATCATCTACTGGGTTTCTGGAATACATACAATTAAATCATCTAAATCATCTACTGGGTTTCTGGAATACATACAATTAAATCATCTACTGGGTTTCTGGAAGGTATACAATTAAATCATCTACTGGGTTTCTGGAAGGTATACAATTAAATCATCTACTGGGTTTCTGGAATACATACAATTAAATCATCTACTGGGTTTCAGGAAGGTATACAATTAAATCATCTACTGGGTTTGTGGAAGGTATACAATTAAATCATCTACTGGGTTTCTGGAATACATACAATTAAATCATCTACTGGGTTTCTGGAAGGTATACAATTAAATCATCTACTGGGTTTGTGGAAGGTATACAATTAAATCATCTACTGGGTTTCTGGAAGGTATACAATTAAATCATCTACTGGGTTTCTGGAATACATACAATTAAATCATCTACTGGGTTTCTGGAATACATACAATTAAATCATCTACTGGGTTTGTGGAAGGTATACAATTAAATCATCTACTGGGTTTCTGGAAGGTATACAATTAAATCATCTACTGGGTTTCTGGAAGGTATACAATTAAATCATCTACTGGGTTTCTGGAATACATACAATTAAATCATCTACTGGGTTTCTGGAAGGTATACAATAAATCATCTATTAAATCATCTACTGGGTTTCTGGAAGGTATACAATTAAATCATCTACTGGGTTTGTGGAAGGTATACAATTAAATCATCTACTGGGTTTCTGGAATACATACAATTAAATCATCTACTGGGTTTCTGGAAGGTATACAATTAAATCATCTACTGGGTTTGTGGAAGGTATACAATTAAATCATCTACTGGGTTTCTGGAATACATACAATTAAATCATCTACTGGGTTTCTGGAATACATACAATTAAATCATCTACATACAATTAAATCATCTACTGGGTTTCTGGAATAAATACAATTAAATCATCTACTGGGTTTCTGGAAGGTATACAATTAAATCATCTACTGGGTTTCTGGAATACATACAATTAAATCATCTACTGGGTTTCTGGAATACATACAATTAAATCATCTACTGGGTTTCTGGAATACATACAATTAAATCATCTACTGGGTTTCAGGAAGGTATACAATTAAATCATCTACTGGGTTTCTGGAAGGTATACAATTAAATCATCTACTGGGTTTCTGGAATACATTCAATTAAATCATCTACTGGGTTTCTGGAATACATACAATTAAATCATCTACTGGGTTTCAGGAAGGTATACAATTAAATCATCTACTGGGTTTCTGGAATACATACAATTAAATCATCTACTGGGTTTCTGGAATACATACAATTAAATCATCTACTGGGTTTCTGGAATACATACAATTAAATCATCTACTGGGTTTCTGGAATACATACAATTAAATCATCTACTGGGTTTCTGGAATACATACAATTAAATCATCAATTAAATACTGGGTTTCTGGAATACATACAATTAAATCATCTACTGGGTTTCTGGAATACATACAATTAAATCATCTACTGGGTTTCTGGAATACATACAATTAAATCATCTACTGGGTTTCTGGAATACATACAATTAAATCATCTACTGGGTTTCTGGAATACATACAATTAAATCATCTACTGGGTTTCTGGAATATATACAATTAAATCATCTACTGGGTTTCTGGAATACATACAATTCAATCATCTACTGGGTTTCTGGAATACATACAATTAAATCATCTACTGGGTTTCTGGAATACATACAATTAAACCATCTACTGGGTTTCTGGAAGACTTACAATTAAATCATCTACTGGGTTTCTGGAATACATACAATTAAATCATCTACTGGGTTTGTGGAATACATACAATTAAATCATCTACTGGGTTTGTGGAATACATACAATTAAATCATCTACTTGTGAGGCCTGTATTAATAATGAATATTTATAGGTATGTCCCAGTGTATGCCTGGAAGATCTATTTAAATTGCTGACCAAAGGAACAGACCCTAGCTCCACTCCGTCTGAGTAAAGGAGACTGTACACTAACATATGTTTCTTTTAGATGAATGATGATGTATTTTTATTCCATCAGAGTCTGGAGTCCATCAAGTCCTCTATCAAACAGCAATCCTTGGGGGATGGAGGTAACAGTGTAGCCGGCTGTAGTGAGGAACAGGTAAGGAACATCACCAAATAGGGAAAAGGACCCTGGGATCTCCCCCAGAGGAGGGGGTAAAATTTATCATAGTTTATACATGAAAATCACATTTTTTGAATTGTTTATTTTCTATTGAAAATAGTTCAAACATGGTTAAAATTATTAGTATAAGGTATTGATCCTGGCTAACCCCTAGGAGCTTATGGTCAGGGTCAAAAGGGGTCAAAATGACTCCAATTTCAGAGATCATCTCAATGCCAAATACAACCAATCTATTAAATACTGTTTCTGCATGGAAGAGTTATATAGGAAAATTACATTATTTGGATGTCATTTCTTTTAACTCAGACTTGGTTAGAAGCCTTAGCATGGGACTGCAGTTAAAGTTAGGCACAGTTTACATGTGCATGACATGAACAATGTAGTCCAGGCATCTTACTTTTATTAACAAGGTTGTTTCTGTGACATGATACCAGAAGCATTGTAACTCAGGTGACTGTAACGGCCCTTGGGCCTTTTGTTATGGTAGCAAAATAAACCATTTATAATCTGTTGTAAAGTCTGGGTTCAATATCCAATAAATTGTTGCTAAGAATTGTATATTTTGCACCAATTTCACTGATTTGATGGAAAATGTATCCAATGTTTGGCTTTATAGTCATCTTCTATAAAAAGTGTTTGATTGTTTTGCATGTGATGGATAATATCTTACTTCAAAAGTAACAGTTTGTATATACATTATCAACATATTAATCTTTTTGTTAATTTCATTCCTCTGATTCTGTTTTTACAGAAGCTAGATCTGTGTCGCAAGCTGTATCGTCTGATTTTCCAGCTCGTCCAGCTGTTTGAGAACTACATTAAGCTGATGGAGGTGTTCACCAACGTGAGAGCATCACCACAGGTAGGTGTAATGAGTGTTTGGTCACCACCAAATAAACGACATCGTTTAAGAAATATATTGTCATATTTTGTGGATAGTTTTACCATTTTCTTGTTTTTACTATCTAAAGGCTAAACAAGTAATCTGTCTGCATTTAAGGATACAAGTCAACTCCAGATTTGTTTATTACACCACACAAAATTATTTTCTTTCCTCTGAAGATCAGTTTCTGTGACACAATTTTAGCAGCATCAAATTTTTAGCACATTATCACTTTTTGTTTCTGATTAGTGCAATGATGAAATAGCCCTGAAACCATTATATGTCTGTGTTCATGGTGGAGGTACATGTTCACATGTACAGTACTCATAGGACTCTTTCTCATGGCAGGATGTTTACTTTTGTAATTCACTTTCTACTGTTTAATCCTTAAGTTGGATATTGAATTTTTTAATCAATTGTTGAGCTGAAAAGGCTGGAATCTATCTAAAACAGAAAAGTAATATCTGTTTTTAGCTCACTTGGCCCAGTGGGTGAGCTCATGGCATACTGTTGTCTGTCCATCAATTTGTTCACACAAATCAGTATTAGTCATAAACGACTTACAGGATTATGACCAAATTCATTCAGAAGCATCCCAAGGAAAGTAAAACAAATTTTGTATAACTGGTCGGTCTCTGACCCCCAATTGCCTGCGGAGCAGGGTCTAAAAGAGGAGATTTATAAATCCTTCTTCTTCCGTAGGAATTAGATTTTGCCCAAATTGGGTGAAAGATGATCCCTTTTTGTATAAATAGTGGTTCTCAGCCCCCAGGGGCTGGATGTGCCTAGCCTAATAGGTCAAATTGAGCAAAATATTTGAAAATCCTACTCCTGTAGGGATGATTGAATTTTGCCCATATTTGGTCTGATTGATTTTTGGCTGAAGGGGAATCAATTTTGCCTAGGTCCCCTGGGGCAGCTTGTCAGCACTAGCTCAAGTTCTGACCTGACTAAAGATTGGCTAGACTGCTCACTTGTGACAAGGTTTTCACAGATCTGTCGCTGGAGCCAAAAGTATACCAAGTGACAAGGTTTTCACAGAGCTGTCACTGGAGCCAAAAGTATACCAAGTGACAAGGTTTTCACAGATCTGTCATTGGAGCCTAAAGTATACCAAGTGACAAGGTTTTCACAGATCTGTCACTGGAGCCTAAAGTATACCAAGTGACAAGGTTTTCACAGATCTGTCACTGGAGCCAAAAGTATACCAAGTGACAAGGTTTTCACAGATCTGTCACTGGAGCCTAAAGTATACCAAGTGACAAGGTTTTCACAGATCTGTCGCTGGAGCCAAAAGTATACCAAGTGACAAGGTTTTCACAGATCTGTCGCTGGAGCCAAAAGTATACCAAGTGACAAGCAACAGCATATCAACAGAACTAACATTTGTTAAATGAGAGTCGTTATGCCAACAAAATCCTCAGATTTTCTAATGATGAGATTTAGGGTAGGTAATGCTTTATCTAGATAACATTCTACATTTATCGATAACTATCAGTAGTTTGTGATTAGGAATGTAACAAACATATCATGAAATAGGCTGTGGTTAATAGCTCGCGTCTATATCCTGTAAAATTAGATCCAGTTTTGTCAAATTGGTGGAGAGAGGTTAACAAATAGTGCTAAATTCTAATTTAGTGAAATAAATAGCTGTGATGTAATGGAGCGTTTTGTCTCCCAGTGTGTGGTTAGCATGTTGTAAATTACCATAGTAAGCATGTGATACTGCCAAATCATACACATGTCACTTACATAGCATGGATTTGGTGTGAATTATTTCATGTCTTGCTACGACATCATGCTCATACCAGCTAATGTCACTTGAGCTTCCAACTCTGTATTACCAGCGATCACAGCACGGAATGTTAGCATGTGTATTGTTAAAGAACAGCAGTGTTTCACTACTCATTTAGATAAAAATTGCACCAGGACTGTCCTTATTTATTACAGCAATAAATGATTGTAAGACTCCTAGACACACACAAATGATATGATTTTAATAAACAGTCTGTACCCTGAAGTCTCAATCCACACTCGTTATATGTCAATGCTAACTTCTGTCAATACACAAGTAGACATAAGCTTTCACAGGCATACATGTGATATCCAACATGATGAAGAATGAAATGAAACTTGTCAAGTTTTAACAGGGGAGTGTTTCAAAGAAAATTATATTGCACAATCAACACATTCTTCAACATTAGAAACAGGCCATTGTCTTAACTGTGGTTCCTGCCTTCCCCCTTGTTGACACTTAGTCATGATTTTTGGCAATGTTGAATCTGAAAGTTCAAATATATTTTCACAAGTGTAATATACAAACGATTCCATAATATTAATATAATTTTGTTCAGATTGACCAGAGTTCAGAACGGATAACATACACGATGGATTTCTCTCTCTTATGTAGGTTTCCCAGGGACCATTATTGTGCCCTCCTAATTTTAGGACTGATCAGGCAAAATGGCTGACAGGTGACCTTAGATATTGACATAGGAAGTTTGTTATCATTTATTTCTCAAGAAGCAGTGGAGGGATCTTTTTCAAATGTTGTATGAAGGTTGTCCCGTGTTATGCACTTTAAATTATGGGACTTGTTAGAAAAAAAAAATGTCTGACAGGTGGCCATCATGTATTTTGACAAAGAAAGGAAAGTTTAAGAACATAGGAAGACCAAACAATACTGGACGTCAAGATCCTTGTGGGGTTTTTTTTGTCGGTATAGCTGACATTGTTTTACTTTATAAATACAGGTGGTAGATATATCATCACAAGTGTCATCTCTGAAGGAGGAGGTCACACAGGCACTCAGTGAGATGGAAAATGGTCAAGACTCGCCTGTCAACATTGACTCAGGAAAGGTACTTTCCAAACAGGAGGCATTATCCAGCTTGGCTGAATATGTCAATGGTCAGCAGTATGTAAAGGCCATACAGCTTCTCCGCTCCTTCAGGTATGATCTCACTCTGGTACTCAGCCTTCAGGCAATGAAATAATTATTTACAATTAATATTTCTGTAAATATAGTTTTAAAGATGATCTATATCACAGAATTATTCAAAGCTTCAGTCATTTTAGTGTATATTTCTTCAATCCTTGTCATTCTGTCCTTATGTAGACAGTATAGATGGTGTTTATATTATAATATCATTCAAAATGCAAATACAGGTGTTCTCATAAAGATCTGTGTGATAGGCCCCTGTGCTGTATGAAGATCTTTGTGACAGGCCCTTGTGTTATAATAGTGATCTTTGTGACGGGTCCTTGTGTTATGATAGTGATCTCTGTGACGGGTCCTTGTGTTATGATAGTGATCTCTGTGACGGGTCCTTGTGTTATGATAGTGATCTCTGTGACAGGTCCTTGTGTTATGATAGTGATCTCTGTGACAGGTCCTTGTGTTATAATAGTGACAGGTCCTTGTGTTATGATAGTGATCTCTGTGACAGGTCCTTGTGTTATAATAGTGATCTCTGTGATGGGTCCTTGTGTTATAATAGTGATCTCTGTGACGAGTCCTTGTGTTATAATAGTGATCTCTGTGACGAGTCCTTGTGTTATAATAGTGATCTCTGTGACGGGTCCTTGCATTATAATAGTGATCTCTGTGATGGGTCTATGTGTTATGATGATCTCCAGGTCCTTGTGTTATAATAGTGATCTCTGTGACAGGTCCTTGTGTTATAATAGTGATCTCTGTGACGGGTCCTTGTGTTATAATAGTGATCTCTGTGACGGGTCCTTGTGTTATAATAGTGATCTCTGTGACGGGTCCTTGTGTTATAATAGTGATCTCTGTGACGGGTCCCTGTGTTATAATAGTGATCTCTGTGACGGGTCCTTGTGTTATAATAGTGATCTCTGTGACAGGTCCTTGTGTTATAATAGTGATCTCTGTGACAGGTCCTTGTGTTATAATAGTGATCTCTGTGACAGGTCCTTGTGTTATAATAGTGATCTCTGTGACAGGTCCTTGTGTTATAATAGTGATCTCTATGACAGGTCCTTGTGTTATAATAGTGATCTCTGTGACAGGTCCTTGTGTTATAATAGTGATCTCTGTGACGGGTCCTTGTGTTATAATAGTGATCTCTGTGATGGGTCCTTGTGTTATAATAGTGATCTCTGTGACAGGTCCTTGTGTTATAATAGTGATCTCTGTGACAGGTCCTTGTGTTATAATAGTGATCTCTGTGACGGGTCTATGTGTTATGATAAAGATCTTTATGACAGGTCCTTGTGTTATAATAGTGATCTCTGTGACAGGTCCTTGTGTTATAATAGTGATCTCTGTGATGGGTCTATGTGTTATGATACTATGTGTTATGATAGTGATCTCTGTGACAGGTCCTTGTGTTATAATAGTGATCTCTGTGATGGGTCCTTGTGTTATAATAGTGATCTCTGTGACAGGTCCTTGTGTTATAATAGTGATCTCTGTGACAGGTCCTTGTGTTATAATAGTGATCTCTGTGACAGGTCCTTGTGTTATAATAGTGATCTCTCTGACAGGTCCTTGTGTTTTAATAGTGATCTCTGTGACGGGTCCTTGTGTTATAATAGTGATCTCTGTGACGGGTCCTTGTGTTATAATAGTGATCTCTGTGACGGGTCCTTGTGTTATAATAGTGATCTCTGTGACGGGTCTATGTGTTATGATAAAGATCTTTATGACAGGACCCTTGTTGTAATAATGAGCTTTGTTACAGGTCTCTTTGGCCCAATGACATGTTTGGTCAGGCTACAGAAGATGATATCATTGTTCTGCTTAACATCTTCTGTACCTCCCAGGCTGATAAAAGGACAGGTATGTTGGATTAACAGGCAAACTCTATCAAGTAACCTATACATAGAGAAAACGACTTTTAAGATTGTTTTTTGATCTCTATTCAGAAAATGGTTTACCCATATTGATTCACCATTAAGTTGTTTTTTAGTCGTAATGGTATTTATTGATTTGAGACAAATTTACAAATCACTGTTATTTTTAGTTTCCTGTAACATCTTTATTGTAATGGTAAGAAACAATGTGTTGGCCTTTTTGACATAAAATACAGAAAATACCAAGCCTAGTTCTGGTACGTCAAACGTAATATATGTGATTATAAATAAAATCTTTATCTATTTCTATCCTCAGGTGTATTTGCCCTTATTGGGTTAGATGTAGATCTCAGTCATGTACACAGCCAGCTCATGACCATTAGTGTCCAGATGTCTGGTTGGTCACTTCTTCCACTCGGAGTATCTAAATCTACACCAGATCTGACTCACCTCAGCCTGACATCTGATTCAAGTACTTTGTGACTAGATGAAGAACCGACTTCTAGCACCATGTGACAATGCCTAGCGCCATCACTAGCACTGTAGATTGGGTGTTCTCTAAAATCATGCAATGATGCTGATGGTCATCTCCAGAATCATGTTTCTGATGCCGTTAGTGAACTCCATCAACAGACAAAATCAATTTTTTTGTGGAATTCTATTTTCACTGATTTCTGAAATTTTTTTTTCCATGAATGGATGACTTTATAAACTGATAGAGACATGACATGGAATTTTAGTATTAGTGGATTTCTGAGTATTCTGTATCCACAAAAAATAAGTGCCCTTGAAATGGTAATTTTTGGGGAAACAAAAAACAAAAAATTGGGAAACACAGGATTTGTCAGAAGTTAGAGACTGTATGTTGTTGATACTTTCATACGACTATAGTGTAAGGTGTATATTCTATCAGAGCCAAGTACTTTATGACTTAACCAATGATAAGCTTGAAGAGCAAAGGATTTCAGTGTCATAAGCAAGACTCAGTGAAGAAAACAGAACATTGACCAGCACTGAAAGTAAGCAATAATATATATTAGTCCCTGTGTATACCAAAGGTTGTATGGACGCTGGTGATGTATAATAAGGAATCCTATATAAACATTTGTACAGTTATTTATTTTAAGATATTTAGAAGCTGTCTCTTTTTTCTCTCCGTTTGACACCTGTGACCGACTCTTTGTAGATATGACTTTACTGTAAGAGTGAATCAAGTTGTTTTGTGATATTTGTATCTGTGTAAACTACTTCTAGTCAGGAGATACAGATTTTGCTGATGTATTGATCAATTTATCTATCTGCTTTGCTGTATTTATACATGAATGATATGATACAGTATAATTATACTGATATAAATGAGAAAAATACTGTGACTGACCAGCTTTGTTCACTTGTTTCTTTTTATAGGTAACAAATTTACATATGTCAAGTAACATGGTGTTAATTACTGAGTACCATGATGTTTTATGACTTAGTAACATAATTGTCCTGTTAGTAAAGAGTTATGTCCCTTTAGTTTCTACACCTAAGTGAGGTGCATTAGTGAATGCAGCTACTTCGAACACATGACAGCATGAACATTTTTTGTGTCTCTTGAAATCAGAGAATCCAAGATGTAAGTGGCATGTCAATTAACATAAATGGGATAGATTAATGATATGTAAGTGTGAAATTAGGGTTGTTTTTGAAAAAAAAACGACTGACTTGAGGTTGTCTGCTGCAGATTTATTTTGGGCACGAAAAAAATCCCTAAAAAGACAAAAACATGACTATACAAGCACATAAAAAACTTTTACAATATGTTATCGAACGTACTACACAATTGCTGTACAATACAGAATGCGAACAACTGGACATCTGAAGTAAGAGATAATATATGTGTATGTTTGAAATACGAAAGACCGAACTTGTACAGCAATATTCATAATTTATGGGTAATAATCGTTAACAAATAATTCACAGCAATTTATCCTGCATGTGGTGCTGGGGATGTGTACTTATATCTCGAATAGATACAATAGATATAGTTGCAGTAATAGGTTCAAACTTCAAACGTCCAACCACTTTGAAATCTGGTACCTTTCTGAAAGGAAAGACCGAAACACTGGAAAGGACAGGAAAATAGGCAGCGGGCATGTGTCCAGAGTGGTCAGTCTGGTCAACAAAAGAATACAACACATCACATGACATCAAACATGATTACACACAATGCGAAATACATACAAACCGAAAGTGGCGGTCACGTGATCTAGCGACACGAAGCGTTAATTGTTAATAAACAATAATTACAATTGCCATGGACAGTATTAAACAAAGGAAATATTACCGTACAGGATTAACTAAGCATATTTATTAAATACAATTATAAAATATTTAATTACTTGATCAGGGTGCCACATACAATCCCCTGTTTGAGGAATGTCGTCTCAGACATATCCACGCAGATGCAGAAGGAAAAACATCACATCAGCTAAAATATTATCAAAGAGGATTAAAAGAAATATTGTAATTCTTATATAACTACCATGGTCCATCAATCAGGGGCAGCCACAATGGAAATAATCGCCTCCAATAGTTTACACGATTCCGGGGCGAAAATTCCTTTTGGTGCTAGAGACCTCCAATATAAGCCTTCCTAGTCCATACACGTAAACTCCTCCCATCTCCAGCCATCACGTAGTCCTGAAACTGTACTGGTTTCCAGCGAACCCTCCCAGACCTCCGGATAACTGGAGACCTCTGTTCGTCTGGAATGGTCGAATCATCTTCCCCGTGTTCTGCCCTTGCCCCACTATCAGATCCCTCCTCTGGACTGCCTGGCATCTCAGAAGAGTTATCTTCAGTAGGTTTCTCCTCCATGGTCGACGCATGGACCAGAGTGTCACTTATGACATCAGCTGCAACATCACCTGACTCTCTCGGTACGGAGGGCACCGTCACCCACACACTCCCTTCTCCATCACTGCTGGATTCCTCCTCATCACTGTCATCCACAGACGATGGCAGTGGTGGTTGAGTCCTGAGATGGGGTTTGGGTGTTGGTCTTGGCTTTGGGATAGGTTTTGTTAAATTTGGGGGTAAAGTCGACAACTCGTTCTACGCACATTGTGTCAGATTGAAGTGTATAAATATAACCAGCAGAAAAAAAAACCTACTCTACTTTAGTCTTTCAATTTGATTCTTCTTTAATTTTAGCTACAGACAAAAGGCATTCGTCTGCAATATATCAAAAACATAACATTCAATAGAAACACAGATAATAACACACCATTAACAAATTAAAATAAAAGTTTGAGAATGATTAACATTTTGACCATCATCAGACAATTACATTAATGGTGGCATCTGACATAGGATTATATAAACATTCGTCAATATGTCAATAGTAATGAGAACTGAGTTAACAAAACTCGCCCTAAGTCAGGTAGATGAGACATAATCACAATCCTTCTTCGCTGTACGATAAATCTCGCTGAGATGAACACCTGAGATGGACAAACAATCTTTTTCAATAGAAACTTACAATTCATGAAAAATAGAAGAATAAAATTCAGTAACTTCCGAGATTCGAACCTCGGCTACGAGAATTACAAAATCATCGCAAACTACAGCACCACGACGTTATCCATTACACTATTGCAGACATTACCAAATAGTATTAAAGCAAATATATTGATTAAACACTTCCGATATAATTACATGTATGTAGATACAGGTAAAATATTAATCAATTGCAGCGATCACAAATACATTAAGTTGTGTTAACACAAACTTTTTATACACCAGTCGAAAGACGGACATATGGTATGGCGCTGTCTGTCCGTCCGTCCAACATAAACTTTTATTTGTCCGGATATCTCCTACATTTTTCAGCAGATCTTTATGTAACTTGGTAGGCTTAGTCACCGTGATATGAAGTTGTGCTTTCTGAACGGGGTTTTGATTTGGTGATTTAAACAAGAGTTATGCCCCTTTGTTTATTTCACTATAGAAATCTTGTCAGGAGATCTCCTCCAACATTTTTCAGCCGATTTATGAAACTTGGTAGGCTTAATCACCATGATATGAAATATAAAAATCTTGTCTGAATATTTCCTCTAATCGATGTTTATGAACTTTTGTAGGTTTAATCTCTATAACATGATTTTACTCTTCGACCTTAGACTTCCATCAAAGTACACCAGGTGGAGGACTGTAATTCTTGAATTATCTTCTTTGTTTTGGATATTCACGGGCGTATTTTGTTCCGCTTTGCGGTACTCTTGTTATATTCCAGTTATACTTATACATAGTAAATCATAAACAGATATATTACTTAGAAATCAAATTGCTAACTTAGACATTTTGAAACAGGTACTAACGGTCTGCTGTCAGATCTCAAAATGCCAGATCGATCACAAAGAAATTGATTTGAACTCATGCTGAAATTCGATTGGTCGACACAGTTCGTTTTATTCCGTGAATAAACTTTAAATCTTTTATCTAAATTACGTACTCATTGTTACATATACTGACAACATCTATATAGCATTATATGGATAAAACATTAGCGAACGAATATCAGCAAGGAAATACAAATGATGTACAATTCACCATGTTAAATATATATGGGATAATTCATACTGATTGTAAGTTCAGTCAGTGATTACAACTTATACATCAGGATGTATATGCAAATGATAGTAACTACCACATGACAGCTTGATTTGAGTATAGGTTTATTTCTCACAAGTTTGGAAGTCTAGTTTATATTCATTTGCCCCAATATTAATTATCATCCATGGTATGCTTGGTGTCCAAATGTGCAAATGGAAGTATTTTTTGTGGTGTTACTGTATTTACTTCATTAATAATAAGAATACTGCACTCCTGACCTCAACATTGTTTTGCCAGTGGGTTTGAATTCTGAAATTTTGAAATACTAGTTTTTGTGTTTAGCTCACCTGGCCCATCGAGAGCCATTTATCCGAGTTGCCCTACCTAACCGGGTCCCCGAACGACTACTCCTGTAATTGACACCTAATTATCTTGAGGTGTTGAGGGGCTCTCAGTGGGGAGTAGGCATGAAGTTTACCTGTAAACTTCTTACCTGTACAAACAGGTGAGTTATAAGTCTTATTACAAAATGACACTAGATAAGCTCAGAAGCATAAACTATATATTTTATCATAGCATAGTATTGTAACAAATGTATCAGAGACGTCTCTGAATGTATGTAGCACATAAAATGTAATAATATGTATTTATATTGATATTGCATATGTACTGGATACAACTCGAGTTAATTTAATGATATTGACTGATAGATTCAAAAAGATTTCTGTTACAATTAACCTATTCAACATATTTCAATATGACTGGAACAGTTATCCGAGATGGATGAGTTGGGATGCAGAATCTACATATGTCATCAGGTCAATGGTTCTGTTCTGGTATCTTTCCTGAACTGTCGATAGGCGTCGGTCAATATTCATTGGCATTCTGTATATCTTTGAACATCTGGATTGCGGAATATATATTTGGATGGGCGTGCTGTGTCATCTTCTTTATCTTGCTGTGCCATCCTTCTTCACTGTTGGTGGTACGGGGTCCTTCGGTATGGAAATGGTTCCAAAGCTGTCGGTCTCCTTCTATCCACTGCTCTGTTACATAGTCTGTGAAGGTCTGTGTCTGCTGGGTAAGGTCTGCGTCATCTCGATCTTCTAAGGCCTGGAACCAGACGTCTTCAATGTCTTCCAATGCGCGTCTCACTAAGGTCTTCACTGCGTCGTTGTCTTTATAGAGGATCTGTAGGCCTGTTGCTTGTGCTCTTCTCTATATGCTCGGTGTATTGTGGAAGAGCAATCCCTTGGTTGTAGTATCTGGAAAGACCTCTCTAATTGAGTTGTGGACTGCAGTCTCGAAGTCGGCGAGGACACTGGTTGGAGAAAATCTTAAGTTGAGTTCAGCCATCTTGTCTTTTAGTAGCTGGAAAAATCTTCTGTAGATGGCTTGGCTCTTTCCTGGGAGAAAGGCATACACGACTGGTGTCATCTTCTCGTCAATCGGGATGTGGATACTATTTAGTTTTCAGTTTAGTGTAAATTATCGTAACTTTTGTCATATATACTAGTTAATCTTGTACTTTTCCAGCTTAGTGTAAAGTGTGTTAAATTTGAGTGATAGTATTTGTGTGGTTTTGATACAAGAACAGGATGGCTAACGCTCAGATCAACGTTAAGTTCATCACCAACAGAAGAGACAGACAGAACCTTTCGCATAATGGATTCATCTACAGATAGATTCGAAGGAACGGCACTCTGGAGATGATCAGCATCCCTCTCGACAGTAGAAAACACATTAGCTTACTTTGGAAGAAATCCACACAACCACACCTCAGACCCAGCCAGTGTTGTAGCCAAACAGTTCATGAACCAGATCACCAATAAATGTGTAGAATCTGTCCAACCCATTCCGTCCATCTTTGAGAAGGAGCTCAATCAACTCCAAGACAACGACTGGAATGACACTCCCAAGGCCGTGGTCCAGCAACTGCCAACATTCTACACAGCCAAATCGTCTCTCTACCGTGCTCGCCGCAAGCACGTTCTTCTGTGATGGCACATTCTACACCTGTCACCAGATTTACAACATCCATGTACCGTGGCAACGATGACGTCAAACTATTTTACGCCGAGCTGCAGTTCTGTCACTCATCCCCTTAAACCGCACTGAGCACGTCTGGTTACAAACCCTTGAGGACGCTGATGATGCTGACATCCCACATCCAGTGTTGTCATTCACAGATTATGTCACAGAGCAATGGATAGAGGGAGATCGAACCACCTGGAGGAACTTCTCAACTTCTCAACAACTTCTCGGACTACCAACCATCTTGAAGCTTGGCAAGGGAAACTGAAGAAGAAGGTACTGCATGTCCACCTCAACATCTACACCGTCATCCAGACGCTTAAGGACATACAGAGCATTAATGACGTCAGCCGGATTCAGAGAGATGCAGGAGTCACCATTCAACCCCGGAAGAAGAAATACGCCAACATTGACATACGTCTGGCCACCTTGAAGGACGGTTATCAGACTGGGACGATCGACCTGATGACCTATGCTGATTCAGCATCCGAGCTTCTCCATCTTGGATAGAGTGTTTTGTGTTTCCTAGTAGAGACTTCCCTAGTACTTGACTTTCAAAGGTTGCAAAAGGACATAATATCTAGATAAAGAGGATAATGTATTGTCATAGATAAACGAGTCAGTGCTAATTCAGCTTCATTTTGGGGTTTACTGTTTCTTTTGAATAATAGTTCATTTTAGTGCATAAAATGCTCATCTCGTCTGTGCCAGCACGATGCTTTCTCTGCAGCTTCTGCCAAATGTCTGATCGCTGCAGTTCGAGTTCTTCCTGTGATCCCTAGTGTCTGCAGCATCCTCCATAAGGATTGGGCCGGGAACCCTCTACAGCCCACCTCCACATCAAATAGCCAAACAGTCCATCCCTTCTCTCTGCACTCCGCCATCAGCTCATCATACTTTGTTTTCTTCCTATCATGGGCCTCCTAGCAACCTTCTTCCCATAGTACTGTTAGCTATATTGCGAAGAGGAGTTTGGACTTCTGCGATAACATCACGATGTCAGGCCTCAGCGTTATCTGCACGATATCCGGGAAGACAAGCTTTCTGTCCAATCTCCTATGATTGAACCCTGTCCAAGATAGAAGTGATGCTTCTTCTCCTCCCTTCCCCTCTTTCACCATGCCTATCAAACCGAATAGGGGTTCTGCTGCTGACCGATTTGTCCTCTTCTTCCGTCTTTCCATCTCCAGGATATCAGCCAATACTCTCAGTACATTGTCGTGCCTCCATCGATACCTTCCTTGTTGAAGTGCCTTCTTGCATCCAGCCAGATATGAGACTTTGACCCTTTCTGATTGCATAGTCTGCAGTCCAGTTCTCTGTCTTTCCCCACTGGTGCAGATTGACGGGCGATGGAAGAGTGCCATATACTGATCTAAGCATGAACGAGATCATGAAGGATTCCATCCTCCGCAATTCAGCCCATGTAAGCTTTCTCTTCGGGAGGTTCTATCTGGTCCTTGCAACCTGCTTACTCAGTTCAACAGATTTCTGCTTCCGTCTCTCCTCTTCTACTCTCCGTACCGCATTATGAACCATCTCTCGCCGCTCCAGTGTGTTTTCAGCAGTCGCAGACCACTTCCGTCCCGATCTGTATTCCTGCCTCACTGATCTTTGGATCTTTGGAGTCCCGGAGTGTCATCAACAGTCTGCATTTGGACACTTTGAACTCCTCACTGACTCACTGACACAAGTAGCAGTTGTAACTCTGTAGAACGTCCATACAGACCAATATCTGTGAAGCTTGGCGGGACTCCTAGCCATTTTCTCAGATACCTGTTCACCACCCTCTCTAAAGTCTCCTCTGCGTCATTGGGATCCCATACAGCAACTGCAACCATGTCAGTCTCGGTAGCATGCCATGCTGGTGCTTCCAAGCCTGATACTTTCCCGGAAGTCCTGACTTGTTTATCCTCTTCATCCATTGGTGTACCTGGTCCTGGGTATTCTTCTGGTTGTGACCATCTTCCACGGTGTCGTCGAACCATTTTCCTAGGCATTTGATTGTATTGCCAATGATTGAAGGGATCATCTCTCCCTAGGCCTTCATTGTACTCTACTGGCTTATTCTTCCTCTCCTCACAATCATGCAACGAGACTTCCGAGGTTTCAACTGTATCCTTGCCCATGAGACCACCTCCTTGCTTGATCATCGTGGGAACACTTATCACTCCAGCTCCCTCTACTGCCACGAGATAACACTGAGGCCTGGAGACTGCATCACATATATACATGTATATGTGCTAACAAGTTACTTTTCAAATGTATGTGTATTTCTATATCATTGTTTAAATTTCTGTATAAATGATATAAAATTCTTGATTCTATGCTTATTTTGTTTTTTTAAAAATAGATACAAAAATTTGTTATGTCCTATATAACATTGCTTACTTTTAACGGACGTCATTCTATTTTTCTGTCACCCAGATTGCATTCATATTGACAATAAATGCAATCTGAAAGACGTTCAACGGTTATATTTACATTTTTGTCATTTTTTTTATTTTTAGAAATAATTGAAATTCAAATTTCCCGCTCAATCTTTAGTGTTGCGATGTTGATGGAACAGCCATATTGACGACGACAAAAATAGTGCGTGGAAAAACAACAGTAAAACAATGACAGACTGATAAAACAATAAAGTTTGAAACTTTATTAGCTGACGAAATGAATATGTTTAACAATTTCAACGATTACTATTTAATATCAGTACTTAAATCAAGAGAATTAAAATTTCACTACGCAGGTATAACCCGTGCCGGTCCATTCATTCAGAAAAAATGGCGGCGTAACGTCACTTCGAGTTAAAAGTGAACGAACAGTTTGGAAATGATGAGCCGGCGAAGAAACTTGGTGTAGCCGTATTGGTTTGGACATTTACATTCATGTTTTTTCTGAGTGAGTTTAAAGGAAGAGGATTATCGTTTGCAGAAACGGACTCCGATGAAACACATGCTACGGTTTGTGAGGAAACTGCTTGTGTTTGGGGATCTCGAAACTGTCGCTGCGTGATCGGTAACTGGGGATCGCGAAACTCACGCTGTGTGATCGGTAACTGGAAGTGTCAGGGTAGACAACGATGCACTGAATGACTTTTTATGCTAAGAGCATTTTCAATGCTCTTCAGCATGTTGCTGTCGCCCCTGGCCCTGAGTATCAGTACTTCGTTTTCATTGGTTCATAAATCGAAAGTTTATTCCTACTCCATCTGCCGGACATTACCGTAATCATTGGATTATCGCCCCTACAAGTTGCTGATCCCAGTCATTAAATGAAACAACCTTATCGACATTTTCTTCATTACTTGTACATCAAGAAAACGTTTTGTGTTGTGTATTAATGATAATCAGACATCGAAATTTGTAAATACAGTGATGAAGACTCACGTTTTATGGTGGTAAATTTTGCGAGGCGATGCCAATATGGCGGCTTAACTTTCTTTCCCGCGCGATGCATTGTGGGTGTCATATATCTTTCTTTTTTTTTCTTTTTCGAAAATTTTCATCCCGTTTAATACTGTTGAAAACTTTTGAAAATACTGAAATATGTAGTTGAAAATAAGAATGAAACTAAAATAAGAATGATTTAGAGTAGCATAAAAACGGAAACACGGAATTGCTGCTGGACCCTGAAAGAAGACGGCGGCAGAAAGAAGATGGCGGGTATTTGATGCAAGTAAGTATCACTATATATTTATAAGCTGAATTTAAAGTCAATAATTAAACTGAACTAGCAATTGCATTTTTTGCAAAATACTCATTTGAAATGAGCTATCGCATGTATTGAATTTATGCTCGACGGCGACGCGCAAGCTGGGCACTGCCGCCATGGCACTTTTTTCAAAATATTTTCAAGACTTTTCCTTTGAAGCAGTATGCATTTGAAAAATGTTATGTAAGCATTTGTTGCTTCCGTAAAGTATTTCAGTGTTTTGAAATAAATTTAATTTTGAATGATCGTGAGTGGCCCAACAGATCGGAAATTAAACAGAAAAAAACTTATCCGTAATATTGTACTGTACTACTTACGCTACCGTGAATAAATCTAGGAATCTATCTGTGTAATATATCGATTTTACTTTAAAATATCGGTCACTGTCCGTGCTATTGTAGATCTAGCTCTTTCAAATTTCTGATCGGAGATAATTTATAAGTACCCCAAGTCCAGGGTATGAAATCGTACGGGAACTCTACAGCTATTCCAATTGAAGTTTATATATATAGTTTTAGCTTAAATTTAGTTTTTGTCTTTCTGACATGATGTCTCGTTGATTCTGTTGAAGAGTGATGCATGTGAACGATTACAATATGAAGATTGGGAATAATGAAGATGTCAATTAACATCTGAATCCCGGAAAGTGTTTTAATGAAGATTAGGATAAACCTAGCAAAGTGTTAGGTCCCATTGGTACAATTCTTATTATGCCTGAACTTTTAATATATGTACTGTATTTGTTCATCTCAGAAATTTCAGTATTATGTCAACTGCGTCAACTTTCAGTTCAACACTTGATTCATCAATTTTACACAGCCCTAGGCTCAATATTTGTCATTAATTGTCGACTGTTTATAAGCATTTTAGAGTTTTGTTTCCATAGTGAATGGAATGAAATGGGATAAATAGTCTAACCAATACTCCTCAAGAGCTTATTAAGACATTGCAGTATTATCACATTGGGCCTTATTAAAAGTCAAATTGAAACTTTAAGAAACTCAAGTGACCGGAAGTACAACAATAAGATGTTGATAATCAATGAAATTGATTAATTGAGAGGACATTGTCTGTACAGATAACCAGGCTTTGTAGTGGTTTGTTCAGAACTGTAGTTCTGGTTAAGTAACCATTAATTATGTCCTTTCAGCTATAATGACGTACATTTTTGAAATACCTCTACTGTAGCTAAATGTGGCATTTGTAATAGACATAGCCAAAGTTAATTTTGTGATAGATGTAGCCAAAGTTAATTTTAGGATCAGTTAGGACAGCTACTGTTTGTAACAGGCATGGGTTCAATTACATGATGATGTAATTAATTAAATTACAATTACATTATGAAAATGGCATTGCCACTACAGGTATTTTCAAAATAATTAAATAACCATTACATGACGGTCGAATGTAATTAATTAAATTATACATTACTTTTCAAGTCAAAATGATTTTTTTTTTGAAATGCAAATGTCAAAATAAATTATCATACTGCACAGATTTATCACACAAATTTAATTTTATGATTCAATCTCTGTATGACCATGGTCAAGATATTATCATTTTGCTAGCTGTCCATCGCTTAATAATTTGACAGTCCTGAACGTCAAAGTAATTAATTACAGTATATTTAATATAGACTCCTATTGGGAAGACTATAAGCTTATACAGAAGTGTGTATTTTTTGCACATAATCATAGCAATAATGAAATATAGTTATTTATTTCCCTTACTCTCTTTCAGCAAGTGAATGTCCCTGAAGAAATGAAATCTGGAATGGTAGAAGGTATCTCTATTGACTCTTCTAAGTTGGAATTGGCCATGGTGACCAACAATGGATTTGAGGACCTTATGGTGGAGAAAAACGTCCTTCTTTCCGGCCTCCAATTAGATGTTGAAGATGATTAATCACTTGAGGAGATGCTAACAACCATGTTGCCTTTTAATGTCACAGTACTCTCTAAAGGCGGAAATATATTTACCATCACAAAAGAAGAATCAACAAATGGCGGAAACTAAAAAAATGTGGAAAAGATCATTGTATACTGCATTTGTAGTAAATTTGTATACAATCTTCAATTTACTTGAGTAGAAAGATTCACTAGTTATACCAAGTTTGTGTAGAAAGGATCACTGTATACTGAGTTTGTAGTGTACATAGAAAGGTTTACTTATTTGTTTTTTTTTCTGAGTTTAGTGTATACGATATATAAAAAAAAACTTTTTGTAGAAAAGATCACCGCATACTGAGTTTGTTGTTTACAAATGTGTAGAAAAGATCGCTGTATACAGAGTTTATAGTTTACAATTGTCTAGAAAAATCACTGTATACTGAACATAATATGACTTCTGTTTAAAACTTTCATTTAAACTTAGGCATGTATTTTTTTATGTATCTTAAAAGTCTACCTACAGCAATTTTGTGTATGCAATCTTGTACTAGGATATTGACATGACAAGATTACATTGCTGATCAAAGCATGGAAAGAATACTGTATCTAAAAACTTAATAAAACAAGATATAAGCATCTGTATCATGTTTTTTTTATTATTATTATTATTATTTTTCCATAATGTCTGTCCACATGGAATTTGTAAGCACTCTTGTGCGTTCTTATACCACCAAAAGGGTGGGTAAACTGGAATCAGGTTGTCTATCCGTCCATCCATCTGTTTGTCTGTCTGTAGACACATCTTGTCTGGACAACTCCAATGAAACTTTTCAGTAATATTCGGGACAATGTGTAGATGTGCATGCACCATTTTCCCTCGAAATATTCATTGCCATGGCAACTGGTCAATATAGACGGGTTTTGCTCGTCGGTCAACTTCTAAACCTGTGGACCAATTTCAACAAAACTTTGCAGGAATGTAGGGGAACGTGCACATGCCGCTGTGTTTCAGAGGATGTTTCTGTGCAAAAGGTCACCATGGGGAGATAACTAAGGCTGTGGGTGTTGGGGGTATTAGTTATCATTTGGATTACAGTTTCAGTTATCCCTGGGCAATGTGGAGAGGATATAGTAATGATTTTGAGGATTGAATGTAGAGGTCACAGTACTTGCATAAGTACTATATGATTACCTTGTAAACGCATTGAGACTAAGACAGTATACCTTAATCAAATTTGGAACATGTATCCCTTATGGGAAGTCGGTTTCTTTAGAACTTCAGGGTCAGATGTCGAAGATCAAGGTCACAGTCAAAAAACGGATAGATGCATGGGGGTGTTCTTTGCATTACCCTCATTTTTCTATCAAATTTCACAACCTAAAAGATATTCACATTTTGCAAATTTCAAGGTTCAAGGTCACTGTTAGTATGTAAAAATTATAATACAAGAGGAATAAAATATCTTGCGACAAGTTTTAGAGAACAAAGAATATATAAACATGTCAACAGAATTGTAGAACCAGTAAAACAAGTGTAAAATTGAAACAAAGGCAATATCTACTCGAAGATTCCCTGAAAAAGTACAAGGAGAATAAGACCAGGTGTTCCGAAAGAACAGGCATCTTTTATTTTAAGATATGGTGACATATCATGTTTGTTTTAGAAAATTGGCACTCTTATGCAGTCATTTACAGAAAATCTGGAAAATGAAGCTGCCCAATATTTGTATGTAGCATGTTATTTGCATGATGGTCTAACTAATGGTCTTAAACCAATAAGATACGCAGTCTTTAAAGTGATAATATGGTGTCCAAGATCAACATTTCCTACAATGTATCCAAAGAAATGGACAACTTCCCTATCATTGCATCTTGGAGCCTACTTGGGACATGTATTACATAAGTAATACTACTATGCTTGTTATTTCTGATATCTGCTGGTCATTTTATGGGCTGTAATGATTTACTGCTTGCATATAGTTGGTTTCAGTATATAGCAAGCTAATAACAAAGAATTTGTTTTTTTAATGGTCTTAGCATACCAGTACTTTCAGTACTTTGATTCTGTGTTGTCGAAACTGTGCGGTTATAGGACCGAAGCGAAGTTTCAGATTTATGGGAGCTAATGAACATGATGTGTCTAGCCTGAAATCCTTGATCATTCAGGTATTCGATACTATTTGTACTTAGCCTACCAAAGAAAAAATATTAATGCGCACTCTCTGAACTGCATCTACAATACTGTGAATGCAGTCCAGATGAATATAGACATAATGGGTGACCACAGAGCAAAATGTAAATATTTTTTATAAATGATATAAAATTTTTGATTCTGTGCTTTTCTTATGCTATATTGAAAGAATATATATACGAAAATTTGTTAGGTCTTATATATATCATGACAGTATTAGTAACCTAACTTTTATTACCCAGTATAGCAATTTTCACACATTATCACCTACCAAACACTATTGTTCACCGAAACAATAGAGTCTCACTTTCCTGACCTAAAAATTTGATCCAAAAGTTGGGAAAGTGAGAACACGCCACGGGAACATACATCGTTATAGTATATTATTGCTATATTGTCTCGTAATCGACACGCAGTGTACTTCCGTAGCAGTATAAAAATTGTTACATTAGCGGTAATATAAATACAACCACGACGCTTAGTGTAATAATTTATTTTGTATTACTCGAAGCGTAACAATTGCAACTCTTAATGCAATAACGATAGGTTTATGACATTAAGCGTAACGGTCTCAACGCTTAATGTAACAATTATTACATCAGCGCCGTTATTACATTAAGAGTTGCGACATCAGGTGTCAATAACTAATTACCTACTTAAGTCACCATAACACCCGCAGTTACCTCTAATCAGTGTCAAGGTAACGCTAGTGAATCCAATGGGTCACATCCCTGTTCTAAAAGCCAGAAAAAGTGATGTTTATTGAAATTGTTCAGTACTGAAATTTATCATGTTTATGTAATGACAAGTACAAAACTCAAACATGTTACTGATAGCATTTTCTTTCAATATAAATTTAGAATCTGATATACAGTCAGATAATGAATATGACTGCATCATATATCACTTGTCAGTGAAAACATTTTTTTTGAAAACAAGTAGGCGACTGAGAAACATCAAACTTTAAGGTTGAATGCACTCTGTAGCAAATCAAAACGAAAAGCGAAAATTTGTTGCGGCATTCTTCACGCTTCCAGGTTTATGTTTTCTTTTCTTCTCTAATGTACAAAACAGATAAAAACAAAATATCCGGACTTGAGGAGATTGTAATTTTAGAAATGACTAAAATATTTCCGGAATTTTTATATACGAAGTTCCTGACAATTTGTTAATGTAATGATATAATTTATCAATATTAATCAACTATTTATGCATTTTCTATGTCTCTAAACAGGAATACAACAACTCCCCCAATTTCAAAATCTCTCAGTTGCCTCTTGGGTGTTGAAATCAAATCTCATTCAATAGGAATTATAAAGCAATTTCATCGGAACTGACATTAAAATTAAAAAGGAGACAAGAATTTTACTTTTAAACTCTGCAGAATGGTTTCTAAACTTCACACAAGTATAACATAAGTTATTAACCATATCGCTAACAGTGAATTGACTTGGATGAACGTTGGTGTTATCAATACTGGTAGTTATATCCCATTCATTCAAATAAGTTACCTTATCATGGAATTCCTTAAATTCTTCGTAAAATAATTGTTCGTGAATTTTTCGTATGTAATCTAAAGGTTTAAGAAGATCGATAAACGTTGCAGAGTGTGGTCCTTTTACAAACACCCTAGCTCCAGGGACTCTTTTAAACAATCTGCCTATAGCAAATTTGACATTCCGAATATGTGCACGAAATTCCGACGGCGTTGTTCTTGCAAAATGCATCATATTATGTATAACTATTGTTACGTTTTCCCTTGTAGGAACATGATCTATATACCAGGCTACGGACTTGATATGTTCCCTCGGGGAGTCTTCTCCAGTATAGAAAGGAAGTTCATGAACAGCCCATAACAGTGTCAGATTCAAATCCTGTCGTTCAGCTTCCCTCAAACTGAACCATCGTTGTCCTGTCAGACCTTGTTTATTCTTCGGTATCTTCATATTCACTCTAACTTTTATATGATCAAACCACGAGCGGATATTTGAATCGCCAATCAAAAACAGGTACTGATTCCGTAAGCACTTTTCATATGAAATCTTGGTAGGTATAAAGGTGTTTCTACAGCCCCGTTGGTGCCTTTTTCCGTGATAATAAAAACCAACAGGAGACTCCTCTAGCCATGTTTCGTTACTTGGTCTCTTGTAGCATGGCAGATCTGGAGATCGTATGAAATCTGCACCTATAATTAAAATGATATATGTAAATTGCTGAAATATTACACCTGAAGAAACAATAAATAGATATCCATATCCAACCACTTGTTTCAATGATATATTATTAAACGAATCTCCTAAATGATCTGTAGATCTATCATATATCTTCCTCTATCATAATGCCCCTAGCTAGTCTATAGTTCCACCAGTATTTACCTCCTGATGTCCCTAGATAGTCTATAATTCTACCTGTATTTACCTCCTAATGTCCCTAGATAGTCTATAATTCTACCTGTATTTACCTCCTGATGTCTCTAGATAGTCTATAATTCTACCAGTATTTTCCACCTGTATTTACCTCCTGATGTCTCTAGATAGTCTGTAATTCCACCTGTATTTACCTCCTGATGTCTCTAGATAGTCTGTAATTCCACCTGTATTTATCTCCTGATGTCTCTAGACAGTCTGTAATTCCACCTGTATTTACCTCCTGATATCTCTAGACAGCCTATAATTCCACCTGTATTTACCTCCTGATGTCTCTAGATAGTCTATAATTCTACCTGTATTTACCTCCTGATGTCTCTAGATAGTCTATAATTCTACCAGTATTTACCTCCTGATGTCTCTAGATAGTCTATAATTCTACCAGTATTTACCTCCTGATGTCTCTAGATAGTCTATAATTCTACCTGTATTTACCTCCTGATGTCTCTAGATAGTCTATAATTCTACCTGTATTTACCTCCTGATGTCTCTAGATAGTCTATAATTCTACCAGTATTTACCTCCTGATGTCTCTAGATAGTCTATAATTCTACCAGTATTTACCTCCTGATGTCTCTAGATAGTCTTTATTTCCACCTGTATTTACCTCCTGATGTCTCTAGATAGTCTATAATTCTACCTGTATTTACCACCTGATGTCTCTAGATAGTCTATATACCTGTATTTTCCTGATGTCCTAGATATCTTACCTCCTGATGTCTATAATGTCCTCCTGATGTCTCTAGATAGTCTATAATTCTACCTGTATTTACCTCCTGATGTCCCTAGATAGTCTATATTTCTACCTGTATTTACTGATGTCTCTAGATAGTCTATAATGTATTTACCTCCTGATGTCTCTAGATAGTCTATAGTTCCACCAGTATTTACCTCCTGATGTCCCTAGATAGTCTATAATTCTACCTGTATTTACCTCCTAATGTCCCTAGATAGTCTATAATTCTACCTGTATTTACCTCCTGATGTCTCTAGATAGTCTATATTTCCACCTGTATTTACCTCCTGATGTCTCTAGATAGTCTATATTTCCACCTGTATTTACCTCCTGATGTCTCTAGATAGTCTATAATTCCACCTGTATTTACCTCCTGATGTCTCTAGATAGTCTATAATTCTACCTGTATTTACCTCCTGATGTCTCTAGATAGTCTATAATTCTACCAGTATTTACCTCCTGATGTCCCTAGATAGTCTATATTTCCACCTGTATTTACCTCCTGATGTCTCTAGATAGTCTATAATTCCACCAGTATTTACCTCCTGATGTCCCTAGATAGTCTATAATTCTACCTGTATTTACCTCCTGATGTCTCTAGATAGTCTGTAATTCCACCTGTATTTACCTCCTGATGTCTCTAGATAGTCTGTAATTCCACCTGTATTTACCTCCTGATGTCCCTAGATAGTCTATAATTCTACTGTTACTTACTTCCTGATATCGTTATTTCCGGACTTTTCTGTAAATGCATATGTTTGTGGATCCTGTTAAAAAAGAATATCACATTTTGTTAATATATTTTGTACAAATGTATGAATGAATTAACAAGAGTGTACGCTAATTTTAAAATAACACAATTACATTGACGTTACTAAGTATAGTAAATATCCCTTTCGACTGCTAAGATTATGAACTTACATTTTCATGGAATTTACGGTTATATTTCTTACAAAATGTCATTTAAAATTTATTATTCAGTGCTTTAAAACTATAATGAAACATCAGAACAAACTACAGTTTTACATGTCCATGAAGAAAAGATTCTTCGTTGGATATAGTGATCTTTTCCTCAGCTTTCATCAGTTTTCGTTAAATTAAAGTTGACGTTGATTTCCTTTGGTTAGGAATCTCTATGAAAGCCTTTGGAATATTTGGACTGGTATCAAACCGTTGAAAACTAGCCGCAGAAATGGACTTAGATTTTAGCTCACCTGGCCCGAAGGGGCGAGGCCCAATAGGGAATTTTTTTTTTTTCAATTTCTTTAAAATCTATTTTGTTCTTTAGGAATTGCAGGATATTGTCCAATTTTTGTCTTAAGTATGCTTAGGTGAAGGAAAATCAATTTTGAATAAATGGTGGGAATAGATAGCCGGGGTCAAATAGTGGACACAGAACAAATTCTTTACAATCTTTATTATGTTGGAACTGAAGACATTCTTGGTGAAGAGAACTTAGTTATTTACAAACAGGTGCATCTAACCTCCTTTGACAGGAGGATCGAGTCTATTAAGGAGAAATACTTTGCCCTTAGTTAAGATTAATAAATTTCAGCCAACAAATCAGGTGAGCGATACAGGACATATGAACCTCTTGTTACGTCCAAGCTTTCGCCAATGTAACACCATAAATACTTATTTCGTTTTAGTAATAAAGCTATCATCTACCTTGCAATTTTCCTCTCTGGTTTAGTTAAATGATCTGTACGATGACCTTTTGTGAACTTCCAATCCTTGCAATTTAGTGACGGATTGCTTGGCTTCCCACAGAACCAGTGAAGACCATAGTTATCGTTGGTAAAATTACACATGTCCGTCAATCCTAACACATCGGGTTTCACACTGCAAGGCGTTCGTTCTACAACATTATCTTTTGTAAATCCAGCCACCATATCATGCAGTAATCCATGTTTTTCTATATATTTTTGAACGACTGCAATTTGCTCTTTAGTTGCCGCTATCGATGTCTTAATGACACTTTTACCTGTCCATAAGGCAATCACGTGACCTGTGTAGGACCCATTTCCGTGATCAATGACGTAGCCATTGGCATTTGCGTTATTGGCTGTACTTGTCAGCCATATTCTGAGAACATCTCCGCCGTATGTGAGTGGTTTTCCGTATCCATCATAAAGTCTGATGTTAACCTTTATAATTTCTCCCAGAGAATATACCGCCTTGTTTACAGCAAGTGTTTGTGTGGAGGAAGTATTATTGGCTAGACTTCTTATGTCGATAATATCTTCGATAGAAAGGTAGGCTTTGTAAGATGACAAAACCGCTTTTGATACAGAGGCTGAATAATCCGACACAGGGATAGTCTTAATTGCATTTTTGAAGATCTCCATTATATGCTCTTGCGGATTAGTAGTATTGGTTCCTTGGCGGGAAGTCAGGTTTGATGTAGCAAAGTGTTGGAATAAGGGATACACGTACTCATATTGTCTGAAACATACAAACATATTGTTTAAACATGGCAGATTACCATTAACAAATATTAAAAGAAAACATTCGCTATCAAGGGTAGATTGTTCTTCTGAGGTTATTTAAAATTCTAATTATTCAAATTACATAATAACTGATAAAAATCGAATGGAAAGGACTATTACCCGGATGATAGCATTCTATTGATTTATGTATTGTAATTGGGTTTCTATTTATACCCTTACTGGTTATACGGCATGACATTTAACATTAGCATAGTAATGTTACTACAAAAGCATACATAATTTTTGCCGGTTTGGTAATTACAAATGTAACATACGGCAACATATCGGAACCAGGAAAAGAACCCGAAAGTATAACGAAGTCACCAAGACAAACCTACTTTATTGACGATTCTGTTCTTAACGCGTTTTTTTGCATAACAAATAACTGCATTTAATTCTTCATTGATTCGAGGTAAATAACTAAACTTTTTTATTGACCCGTTTGCAAAGTCTACCTTTTCATTTAACCGTAACGTGATATCAATGAACACTCCAATGAGATACAACTTTTATTTATCACACAAAAGTATTAGAATTGACTGTGTGAAGGCAAACACAAAACATATTAGCATGGAGTACAACGAGTTCTTATCTTTTTTTAATGAAATGAGGAATAATTTATATGAACAACTGAAGCTATTAAACTCATTCAATTATAATTGATGTTACAATTACAATATAAAACTAGAAATTGTCATAGACAATTTTGACAGGCTTTTTACCGATTTTGGCCTGTAATTAAAGTCAATGCTTACAATACATTGGCACTTAAGGTCAGGTATTGCTATTAATATAATTGGTCCCTATTGATATAATTGAGCCATCTGACCTTGAAAGTGGATCAAGGTCATCATTTATATGTATTGGATATCAAGTCTCTTTGACCAAACTTGAGAAGAAGTTTCGTATACGTTGGTACCCTACAATGAAGTTTTGAAATTTGACACCTAAGGAAAACCGGAAATTGGTCTTTTGTGGAAGTTTTGCTTAAACCAACCAAACAGAAGTCTCCGCAGAAGGTTGTTTATCAAACCACGTAACTGTTTCCTCTTACAAAGGAAGTAAACATCATCTAATGGCATTAATATAATTAACCCCCATGACATAGGAAGTGGGTCAAGGTCATCCATCAATAGACAATAATTTTAACAATATATTTGTGAACTATAGAGCCTTTAGCCCTTTCCAAACTTCAGAAGAAGTTTCCGGTACTTGATACCCTAAATTGCACTTTTGAACTTTGACCCCTACCGAAAACAGGAAGTTGACGTTTTAAACAAAAATGTCCCTAGAAGAAGAGCTATTAATTTTGAATTCTATATAACATATCCAAAGATGATTTCAAAATGTCACATCATTATTGAGATATTGGTGAAAAGCCCTAATAATTTTACATACTTAAAACAGATAATCACACCAATTTCATTAGAGGCCATTCTGTTAAAACGATTTAAAATCTGTCTATATATAAACAATAGAATGAAATCAATTGTTTCAACGTCAGAAAGTGAGACGTAGTTATAAAGAAATTCACATTTCTTGATTTCATCAATATACATGTACCTTCTTTTGGTAAAAGTTGTGTACGAATGTACGAAAACGTCATCGTTTACACAACGATCGGAGACTATTTATACAAGTGTCTTAAACAAATATTTACCTATTCGATAGTAAATATTCGTCAAAGTTTTCAATATGTAGACCGCTGCAATAAATGAAACGAAAACTAAAGGATCTGGGTATCGTTTGACAGTTACAGCTAAATATCGCGTACCTTCAAACACACGGTTAGAATCTTAGATTAAGTCTGGCAAATGTTGAAATAAATATATCGTCAAGATAATAACCTTGGTCAGAGAATATGCGTAGCTTACACACAACAGTTTTGTACAATGCTTCAACCTATTCGGCAGGTCATACTGACCAATTAGTCCTTGTAATGTTTGGGGTTTAGCCCCGCAGACTAACACAACACCATGTGGTTTGCAATATGGCGGTTTATTAACAATATCCCACAATGCCCTACACGGGCCACACTAACATCCGGAGCCGGAGCCACATCACAATTAGTTTTTTTGATTTCATTAAAATCCCTCTGAGTGTCTAGAAAATGATCACACGAACAATACGATATATCGCTTTACTGTGTATCTCGAATAGCTTTCGAGTAATATGGATTTTCCCGCATGGTGTGTTTTGACCAATTCTGCTCTCAAATTAGGAAGAAAGGGAGGTAATTTGAAAAATTAAAACCTCAATAAGTCTTAAATTTACTTGAATAAAGTTGCAATTGAAACTGAATCAAGTAGTTTGTGCTTCTGTGAATTTAGATAACTGAAAAGCAGATTGATATTACATATATAAAGTCTGATGTTATGACGTCATGGTAACAGCTGATGTCATCGGTACTATGACGTCATCAATTGCTAATGATGGCTTCACCAATGCACTGTGATGTCATAGTGAAGGCTAGAAATCCAACAAAAACTTCAAATTAGCATCTAACACATTTCTCGAAAGTAATTAACAGTGATATGACATAAGATATTCTTAAATGTCATGTATATGGCATCACAAACACCTATGCTTACTGCCCCCCACCCTTCTTCACGTGTAATATTAGAAACCCTATGACATTGCAATGTTGTTCGAAAAAAAGTCTTATTTACAGCAGTAACTATGGAAATGTAATTTTATGACAATATTAACATGATTGTATGCCCAATCTATGAGAAATACACACATTATTGAGTAAAAATCATCAAAACAGAGAATTTATCCAAAATTCAAATCTCATACTTTCCTTCTTAGTTACCATGGATACCACACCTTAAACTATTGGAATTGCCCTATAATCCAGTCTAAATACATTCTAAGGTTGTTACTGACCTATTTTATACCTGTTACCTACTGTAGAACAGTTTTCAAACTGATACCAAGCCTTTTGAAAACAGCTGAAATTCTCACCCACAAGAGCACCCAAATTACCTCCCTTGATGCACCCCTGATGAAATTAAAATAAAATCATTATGAACAAGTTTCAGTGTGTGTTTTTGTGTATTCATAGCAATTATGGAAAGGATTAAACTTAATCAAACATAGTAAAGCACATTTTAAATAGATTAATTTTTTTAATGTGCTTTAAGGTAGCGTATATATATTTATAAACGGCATAACAATTACATTAACAGTAGAGAGATGAAATTTGTGTAAAAAAAAATTTCCTCTGATTTCTGACATTTGATTGTCATGGTTACCTACTGAAAAAATGCTAAAAATACAAAAATACTGCTAATTCCAACCCAACACTACAACTTTCTAGGAGAAATTTAATTCTAAACACCTATCTTACAATCAACAACACTGGCATGGTAACAAAGTACTTACATTTCAGCAAATTCCAACTCGGAAATTCTTCATAACATGACCACATGTAAACACTGAAAAATTCACTTCCTGTCAGGCTAGTTTTTGGTACGTAGACACAGATTCGAGACTGCCCAAATCTCCAACACAAAGCTAAAATATTATCCTGAAAAAAAATGAAACCCCACATTGTCCACTTTAACATGACAGGACCAATTTTAGCAAGGATTTTTTTTGTTCATTTTTAATTAAAACCTTTATAATGGGGTAATCTAATGAGCAAAAAAAATCACCCATGGCCACACCGAGAAACTGTGTACTGCTACCTATACACAACAGTCCTATCTTATCTATTTTTAATCATATTTCGTATACGGAATATTGAATCGTAATTAGGCATTTGTGTCTGATTAACACTTTGAACAAATCACTTTTGTCATTCCTAAGACTGTTTAGTTTTGTGGTCTTGACTTAACTACATATCGTTTGCAACACCATGTCATAGAACTCATGTCTCAGTGAGGATTTTGTCGAACAAACTATCTACAGAGTTTGTAGGTGACAAAATTCCACACAATCACAGTTGATACTACAAGAATTACAAGTCCAACGAATACCTGTCTAACTGCCATCGTCTCGATCAACTTTCTGTCCGCATTAGATACGACAAAAAGGTTTGTTATACTCTATCTATTTATAGGAATGTCTACCAACAGCATTCATAGTCTTCGAGTTACCAGCCTTGTATTGTCATATCAATGTATAACCTGTTATCGAGTTTCAACAGCACACACTTAAACAAACCATTTTTACATCACGGTCAGGTAGGGGTAAGTCGGGGAGCGGTCCTTAAGGCGAAGAAACAAGCAACCAGGATTATTTTTAATGTACCATTCGATACGCCTTCAACAGATGTTTGAAATTTTACGATGGATGCCTATCGATAAATATTTTTAATTTTAGAAAGCTATGTATGATTTTTCTTAGATATTTTCAAGAAGATGTCCTGACTACTTTTCAGCAATGTATCTTTTAGTTAGAACAGAGACGTATATATCACATATATGTGATATATACGTCTCTGGTTAGAAGTAGACACAATAGAGCTACAACATACGCCTGTGAAAACAACATTTTAGTGACAAAATATCAAACTATATTCTACTCAAACCACTATTTTATATTCAGTATCAAAGACTGGAATCTGGAATGTTTTACCGTGTGAATTTAAGGAGACGAAATGTTTGACCCATTTTAAAAGATAACTAGTAAAAGACTTACTTGAAATTTAGTGTGTGTGTGTGTGTGTGTGTGTGTGAGGGTGTGTGTGTGTGTGTGTGGGTGTGTTAGGGTGCGTGTGTGTGTGTGTATGTGTGGGTGTGTTTGTGTGTGTGTATGTGTGTGTGTGTGTTTGTGTGTGTGTGTTTTAAATTATTATTCCATAGTAACAACAAAATATATCGTACACTGTATGTGTTTACATATCATCATTT